CCCCCCCCCCCCCCCCCCCCCCCCCCCCCCCCCCCCCCCCCCCCCCCCCCCCCCCCCCCCCCCCCCCCCCCCCGCCCGGGACAGGGAACAGGGGACAGGGAGATCCAAGCCAAGCCCCCAGGGCAGCCTTAGCGTAGGCAGAGCAAGAGATCCGAGCCTGATGACAACAAGAAGCATCTGTCCCATCGGCGCGGACTGGGTGCGGGTTGCGGATGAAAAAGAGATATGATGGCTTCTTCATGTAGGATCCGCTCTGGCGTACTGCCACTGTGGAGGGAAGAGTGTGTGCGCGAGCCGGGTTGAGCAGGGCGCAGAGCTCCAACATGGCCTCTGTGATGTAGAATCCCCATTCCAGAGCTACTTTAGAGCTGCATTGGCCTCCCGCCACATTGTGACATTGCAGCCTCTATCGGCCGGCTGTCGTCTCTGCCGTGTGTGCGTGCGATCGTTGAACCGGGATCAACTCAGGATGATTGACCATCCGTTGGCGCCAACAGACAGTCACCCATGTCCATCTGTCTCGCAGTCACTGTCCTAACGCCGACATGTCAAAGTCAGAACCGCTGCTCCAGGTAGGTGATTTTGGTATGGGTCATGGACCCTCATCTCGTTGCATTGTGAGGGGGGACCACACAAAGCCTCATACGTAGTGCTTTTGTGCCTTTGTGCATGCAAGGGATTAACAGCTCAGCGCTATGGCAAAGCAATATTGAACCTGAACCTGCGCCTTCACGTACCTTGCGTCCCAACGTAGAAGTCAGTAGCCACGTTCTGATGAGCTCCTCCCAGCTCGACAAATCCCTAGCCAACAAGAGCCAGAGGACTACGAGTGTAATGATGGCCAGGATCTGCACAGGGCGTACGGATTCACGAGAGATGTCCCAGAAAAGCGGTGGACGTTGTGGTCTGCCTGCCAGCCGTCCTGGGAGCGGCAGCGCGATGCAATGCAAGGGTGTCGATCTCCTCCAGGCCGCAGCAGTGCCTCGTCGCTGGTCCTTGGGTGGGTGCGTAATCGCCAGACGCGCCTGTTCCCCCTTGACGTGGAGCAGCGATCGCAATTAATTGCAATATATTGCTCCTATGTTGGGCAATTGCCAATTTATTGACGCCTAGGAGACCTTATTGCCGATTTCGAGGCAACTGGACACGTCAATGCGAGGACGTTGCTTCTGAACAGCATTAAACTCCAGTCCGTGGCGGATACGGCCGCAGGGCGTGGCACTGCATTCCAGTCAGCTGCACGCGCTTCGCTACAATGTGCTGTTTTGCTCTCTTTTGCGACTGGACGTGCTTTGCTTTTTGTACTTTACACAGGTGCATCATCGGCTGATGCGCTGCCATTGTCATTGATGCGACAAAATGCTGAGCGGATCGCTCCCTGCGAGAATTGGTCGCTTTTCCGTTCCATCCATTCCATGGCCGTCCCCCCCCCCCCGGAGAAATCTCGACTGACGTTTCTCTCTAAATCAACAATTAATGATGCCAATACGTAAGGTGGCACATTCCAGTCGGCGACCAGAATCAAATCCGGGGTGGGCGCCAAGTCCAACTGTGCCGCTGATTTGCTCCGAAGCTCTAGCCCTGGCCCCTGGTCTTCCGTGGTCCGCAGCTAATCCCTGCTTAGCTGGGACCACATTGCAGGTCTTTCAGCTTGGAGCAGAAGCAATTCAAGCAACCAGACTCAACAACGTCGGAGGCAGGATGTTTACTCGGACGCGGCGAACGAGGGCGTGAGGGAAGCAAGCGATTGGAGCGTGCTCTTCCAGCACACCAGAACTGATTGACGCTTACCTTTGGTAAACGGACGGTTGAGCGCTGGAGTTGACTTTGCGGATATACGTGGGTAGTGACTGTCATAGGCGCGACTCGCCCGTCCGTGCTCAGCGTGTCTCACGGTCTTGTCTTCCGGTCCTTGGTTGCAGCTGTCAGTGACAAGCTAGTCAAGCAAGTCATCGTCCGTGTATTACCGGTCACATCACTGTGTCACCGCTGCCTATGCAGCCTTTGGGTGGGAAAGACTGTTGAACGGTTGAACCCCGCTGGTGTGGCGCCGATAGTGTGCCTAGTCCTGCCTCTGGCTGTTGGCTTGAGAAGATGGTGAGTCGTGGGATCTTGGCGGCTGGGGCTGCCTGGTGAGTTTTGATATCTTGAAGAGAGGCGAAGACAGGCGGATACTCTTGCACTGTTGCCAACTCTGAAGGGATTCGCGAGGACATATTGGCGGCCGAGGCAACTGGAGCGTGTACTTTGCAATATCCGAGGAGCCAGCCAGCCAAGTCGATGCTGCTGTGTAACGAAGTTATTTGATGCGCTCCCTCAACGAAAAATGAGAGACTGTATGTAGGTGAGCAGTTGCTCAACAGCCAAGCCAAGTGACCATGCTGGGGAACTCAGGCTCAACAGGCCGTCGATCACGCAAGCACCCTGTTCAACCGTGGTGCCAGCGCCCGAATCTTGCATCTTTTGCTTCGATGTGGGATCTAGCCTGTCGGCAAGCAGCATGATCTCCAGGCTCAGTGCATAGTCTCTCACGCATGAATGTTTCACCAGCTCTAGGAGTCATTGATACCAGGGCTTGGCGCATGAGTGATGTTTCGTCTAGGCCCGGGACCACGGCCGGGTCGGATTCGAGTCTGAATGAGGAGTTGAGGCGATGCTTCTTATTGCGACCAGGCTCTATGTCCGGAGTTCCTGCTGCATCGACGTGTGGGTACGTACTATATCATTTGATGCGTCACAAGAGGTAGGCCTCATCAACCAGCTGATTCCATCGCGCAATCGTCCGCGTGGGTGCAAGAGCCAGATCATGGATGTGCGCGTGAGATCCAGTTCCTGCGGGTCGAGTATTGGAGTGAGCGGCGCAGGGCAATGCGAGTTCTTTGCTGAAGCCGGAGATGTCGTGGAGTGATTGTTTCGTTGGCACGGGCAAATACGGGGGACGAAGCAATTCGAATGATTTCAAGCCGGGTTATGGGAAAATGGTCAAGGATTGATTGTTGGGGAGCGGACGTCATGGTGTCATCAGGAGCTTGACGTTTGCGGCAGGTAACTAGTTACCAGGAGCTTGTGCCTACCCTGTACCATTGATAGCGAATCCATACATGTTTGCAAGTGATGCATGATAATGCCTACCTTAGTTTGTTAAAAACATACTTTTATTCTCTTCGCATAATTTAAAAAGTACTGTACTTTCTTCTTCTTGATCACATGCGGGACTAAGGCGCTTTTCGCCGAACATGATCTTCACTACCATCCACAAACAACAAGCCTCAAATGACCAACCACAAAAGGTTTTAATATAAAGTTATCAACTCACTTCCGTACATCTATCCATAATTGCGACAAAGAGAGCTGTAAACACCAAGCGTTGAAGACCGCTTGTATTATATTATCTCGTCTAGATTGAAACTGACAACAGGCACCTGTGATATGCTCATGTCAAGTGCAGTGTGCACCCGATCAAATCGCCAAATTGTGTCTCTACTTGACTTTCGCGGGGAGCTTGTCACCGCCATCATTGGCTCGATTCGTCCGGCAGACCGACTGATTGCCCAATGTTTCGCGTGTCACTTCTCACCAGATCTCAGACACTGGAGGCGATAGAGGTGTCCGATCGGCCAGACCCTGCAGGGCATTGTACCTCGCCAAACCTCCTTCATGCCCCTGAAGGCTGACGGTCCTGCAGCAACATGCCACTGTGTCGGGTCGGACATCCCAATTTCAGCTCGACACTTGGTGACGATCATTGACTGACCCACCACGTGGATCTGAATCATCCAACTGACTGACAGACCGTTTCGCGGTCCGCGCCGTGTTTGTTTACCTGTCGCGCTCGGGCTCCAGTCACCGGCACCCTAAATCAATCCCTAAAATTGAGTCTCGCTAGGCCTATCGAGCGTCTGCCAATCGGATCGTGAATCAGGTCCTCAAAACTACTGTCATAAAGCAACAATCAATGGCCCCTTGCTGTTGGGAAATGAGAAAAGAAGAAGCCAGCGCATTGTCACTTGTGTGGTGACCGGGTGTCTGCTGTGCCGCGAGCGTAGGGATGACCCTTGCAGCATCGGCGGGACCGCTTTGGCGCGCGCCCACAGCACCGGGTCCTCTCCTTTCTTGACTCCTCCACTTCTCAACATGAAGACTTCTGTTGCCTTTGATGGTCGGCGTTTGTGATGTTGGGGGGGGGGGGACCATCGGTACAGAGAAAGAGAAATGAAATCGTGTGTGCCATGCTGACGGTCGTAGCGCATCGTCTCAAAAAAAACTAAAAAATAGAAGAAAATCATAGAAGTTTCATAAAATGAAAATATTTAATAACAATTTGAAAAAAAAAAGGGAGCAAGTCATTGCCTACACGTAAGTGCCCTTTAGGTCTTCGAAACCTCACTCGGCGGGTGTACTAAAGCGCACCCCAAGGCTCCAAGTTACGTTCATGTTCGCACGCGCACACTAATATTCCCACAGCCACTCGTTTAAGGCGCAAAGACTCGCTGCTCGATCTTCGGCATACGCTTGATGGTGGAAAACTGCAACTAGCCACTCCCGCCGACCCTTTACGTCTCCCACCCGTCGAGCAACACGCTTTGCACCTGATTCTGTGGCTGATCTCTCATACCCGCCCCGAGAGCGTGGTGAGACCGTCAAGTGCACCAAATACCTAACGGTTCTTGATGAGGCCAGAGACGGTGCAGTACTTGCCATCAGGACCAGAGCCGATCTTGGTTGGCTCCTTGGAGGTGGAAGAAGTTGATGTTACCGTAGACCGTCACTAGAAAGTTGCTCCATACCCGAACCGATTGTACACTGTTTGCAACCACACTTATCCCACCGGACCAGCATGCGCCAGTCTCCTGAGTGGCGTGAGCACTTGATCGTGAAACTCCAGCGCAGCAGGTCGGTCCTGAGGGTCTAAAGGACCCGTGTCCGCGTAGGTGAGACACCACTCTACCACGCGGCGATACTCACTGCCAGCCCGAAACGCAAGCTCTCTTTCGACGCGTTCCTTGGCCAGCTCACGGAAGGCGAGCGATTCCTCTCGATGGAAACGCCTGATACCTTTTGACACCTCGTCCCACGTGGGAAGCGGCACTGTCACCACCCCAGTCGTGCTGCTGCTCCTGGTTGCCTTTTTGGCCTCGAGGAAGCTCTTGATGGGAACCCAGAGTGCAATCTCGAGAAGGACCATGCCGAGGGAGTAGATGTCATACGCCATTCTGTAGCCCTGCGCAGCCTCACCCTGGTAGTCTGGGTGGCGGTACAAGGCCGAGTCGACGTCGGTGGAAGCACGAGCTCTGTCAATGCTCTGCTGCTCCGTCTCCCGTCTGGAGTAGCCAAAGCCACCCACGAGAGGATTGGATAGGAGAGCGGCGAAGAGTCTGGCGTTCTCCTCCCTCTGTACCTTGGCTTCTTCCTTACTCACCTCCCTGCCGGTGATGTTTGAACTGCCGAGACCCTTCTCGGGAGCCTGTTCACGAAACAGGATGTTTCGGCTCGAGATGGCCTTGTGCAACCAGTTACTCGAGTACAGCTCGGAAAAGGTTGTGCAGATGGATGCTGCGAGTCTATATCGCACCTCGAGTGGTGGTCTGAATTTGAGTTGCGGGTCAAGAAGGGCCAGCAGAGTCAGCGGCTGTGGCATCGGTAAAGGGCCGATCAGCGCCAACGGTCGATGCAACGGGAAGCGGAAGACGAGCCACCAGCAGGTGTTGGCCAAGTCTTGGATGAAACCGACGGCCGTGGGAACCTGGAAGCCATCTGTTCTGGTATTACTCAGCAACTGCACCAGGCGCTTGATTCTGTCTGTCAGTGTGTCCAGTTCCTCGGGCCTGAGGCTTTTGTCAAAGCCCTTCTTCTCGAGGAGATAGATGGCCGATGTGTCGCCCTGGGCAGACCTCGCCAGGAACTTTTCCTGCTCGGCATAGTCTCTTGGGAGACGGAAGCGATCTTTGGTCAGTTCCTGTTCAGAAAAAGGACCCACTGGATCCGACCACGGCTGGTCCTCCAGCATGGCTTTGCGATCAAGACGTGCTACCATCTCTGCGGCTTCCGGTACCTGGCCAAGTGTCTGCCGCAGCGCCTCGAGGGTCTCTGCGTCTTGAATGGCTCCTACGAGGACGATCTTGACGCGCTCAGAGTCTTCCCCCGCCTTCCGCCGCTGACTCTCTGTGAGTAGTTGGTTGAGCAGTGAGACGTGGACAGAGAGGCTGGCAATCATCTCGCTCAGCTTCTCCTTGTCTCGCAAACCCCATCTGATCCGATTGAGCACACCAGGATCCTCCCTCGCCGGCGCATCTGAACTGTCTGCTGCATCCGGCGATGTCGTCGGGGCGTCGCTTCTGACTCCAATCACGCGCAGAGACCGTTTCATCAACCTGAGTGACTTTTGCAGTTGATCTTGGGATGGCGGCGCCGCCAATTCCCCGGTAGCCACAAGGCCGTAGCGCCTCATCATCTTGTCTGCACCCTCAAAGTCGGCTGATATAGCAGCAAGCTGTCGTTGCACAAGCTCATGCACCACTGTCAGCGACGGCTCCAAAACACCCTCCTCAACGCCGCTGTTCTTGCCCCATATCTTGAGGAGTTCTCGGTTGGCCTCAAGCCTGAGTGCCAGAGTGCCAGATTCCTCAAAGTAGTTGAGAGCGCTAGCTACCGCCGCCACGCTCTTCTCGGCGGCCTTGTAGCCTAGTTGCGTCGCCATGATGGACCCAGGGTCGAGCATGACAATGGTCGCTCACTTGTTGCGAGGCTGAACAGATAACGGTCGAAGCTTCTAGGTGGAGGACACGATGCATGTAGTCATTTGGCTCAGCGCGCAGACGAGGCGAGCACTGAGGCGCAAAGTTCAGAAGGGTGTGAGAGAGGGCGAGGAGAGCCGGGAGCCGGGGTCTTGCATATCGCGTCGAGAGTCTAGGCCTTCAGCCCAAAGTCGAGCTGACCTGCATGCAAGCGAAGTCGTCCTCAGCTTTACTGCGGCTGAAAACCTCACTGAGTTGGTACTCCTATACCGATTGCCTGCGACGATGTGTCCTCGAGGCACGTCTCCATTGTATCTACCTCGTACGACGACTCCAAGCACGCGTGCAGTATGGAGAGCAGCTATGTGTTTCCCTCGGCATTCTCCGACCAGACAGCATCCGCCGCCTTCCAGGCGGTAGATCAGCACACGCCACTAGTTTCAGGCAACTCCCTGGCCTCACTGATATGCCATGTCGCCCATCTGGAAAGGAAGCTCGAGAAGCAGGCGGCGACTCGGTTCTTCGACGGCCGGGATATCAAGGTGGGCAAGAGGACGCCGCTAGGAACTGGAGCCTCTTTTGCCGTTGAAAAGGCAGAGGTGCAAGGGTCGCCAACTGCGACAGCGGCTGGACCAGACGCAGCCATTAAGTCCTTTGTCGCCGTCAAGTCTGTAAAAGAAGGCGACAGAGCGGGCGCAAGCTGGTCAGACGTACTCCTTGAGATTCGCTGCCTCCTGCACGAGCCGCTGCGCTATCACCCAAACATTGTTCGCCTCCTGGATATCGGCTGGCCTCCTGCTTCTGGCACGGCTCACTCGGCCTTTCCAAACCTCATTCTGGAGTACGCCGAGTACGGCTCCCTCGCGCACCTGCAGCTCAACAATGGGCCGCTGCCATTCGGCGTCAAGCAGAAGCTGTGCTACGATGTCGGCAGGGGTCTCTCGATCCTTCATGCCTGCGGTGTCGTCCACGGTGATCTGAAGCACGAAAACGTCCTCATCTTCCAGAACCGGTACGATATACCGCCCAACCAACCTTATACGGCGAAACTGGCAGATTTTGGTGGTGCCGTGATGGACATGGACCGCCAGGCAACCCATCGGCTGCGGGCAGGCACGTACCCGTTTGAGGCGCCAGAGATGGAGGAGGAGCTGACGGGAGACGGTATCAAGCGTACAGATGCCTACTCGTTTGGCATGCTCGTCTGGCGGTGCGCGATCGACTGCAGCGACGTCTTGGTCTCCATCGGTGTTCCCAAACCTCTGCACGGCATGCCTTCCGAGGAGGACAAGAGATGCCTGAAATTAATGAAGACGTCGGGCTCCATCCTTGAAAAGGCTATTGGAACCATCGCGGCATATTCTGGTGCACAAAAACTGCCCATGGAGTCTTTTCATATGCTCATCCACGTCCTCACGGTGACCTTGCAGCCGAATCCTGCCCATCGTGCTCTCGATCGTGCCCAGGCTCGGCTACGAGGGATGAACACGGAAACTGTGCATTCCTATATCCAGGCCAAAGACGAAGCAAATGCACAGCACATTGAGTCGAATCGTAATCGTATGCCAGGGAGTCATGGACTAAACGTTGAGTCTGTCGGATACGGCCTAGGCAGGATGGGGGACGACTTTGACGTACAAAACAACCTGCCCGGATACAGACCTGACCTTCCACATCCGGAACTCGGGGGCTTTCTCTTCGAACCGCTTAAATTGCGCGAGACGCTGAGCTGGTCCCACCAGCGGACCGTAGTGGACGAGTTCCAGCTCGCGGCCGCGGCGCCATACAATGAGAACTCACCCAGCCTGGAGCCCTGGGCAGCTGCGTATTACCTGTTTCAATGCCATCTCTTTGGTTTCGGCGTCTCTCAGGACTTACCACAAGCTTGCTACTGGCTCCATCAGTGTGCGCAGACAAAGGATGGTCCTGGTACAGTCGAGTACTACGCTCAGGCATGGCACGTTCGGATACACAAGGCTTTGGGGGTGCCCAACCCCCTGAGTCTCGAGGCCCAGCTCGACCAGCTGTTTGAGAGCGTCTTGCGTGGTCACCGCCATTGTGCCACAGACGCCGTCGAAATCATCAAGCTCCTCCCTAGTGATGCACGAAAGGTGTACTGGAGAGAGCGGATGCAGCTTGCACAGCAGGCCTGTCGTGTCTTGACGGGCAGCACGGGCATGCCGCATTTTGCCCATCGAAAGCTGCGGAGGGACTGGGAATTTGATGACCTCACCTCGCTCGGCCGCCAAATGAGAGAGGTGCTCGGAGATCACTACAACGCCTCTCTGCGTGACCTGGATAGTGTCAACGAGCAACTCGACGTGCCGGACGGCGGATTCGTATTCGACAAGATCGTTGTCAACCACAAGGGCCACGGTCTGCTTCATCTGGCGGCGACGCAAGGAAAAGTGCGCGTGATGCAACACTTGATGCGCACGTACAACCACAACATCAACCTCGCCAACCAGTCCCACTCGGAAACGCCTCTTGTGAGTGCCTGTCGGGCTGGACAGTACAGCTGTGCGCTTCTCTTGCTGGAGCACGGCGCGAACCCCGACGGGAGTCCTTATGGAGAGGAGACGCCGCTTCACTGCCTCGCGCACTTTGACGAGGCACACCAGCCGCTGATCGCTCAAGCTCTGGTAGATCGCGGCGCGCAGCTCGAAAGGTGCAGCGGCACGATGCGTAAGGAAGTACGCGGCATCAATGCCGACTGGGAGGATCTTCTGGGCACAGCCGTCACTCCGCTGGCCCGGGCTGTCATGATGAACAGCCTGGGTGCCGTCCGTGTCCTTCTCGCTCTGGGTGCGAGTCCGACGGCCAAGACGTACGAAAAAGGCCCAGGCACAGTCTCGGCTGTCGAGGTGGCGGCCATCCTCACGCTACCGCACATCCTCGAAGTGCTGCTTCAGTACATGAGTATGCGGCAGACAGACCCCGAATTTGCGCTCTTTGACGAGTGCGAGATGCTCGAGGCTGCGCCGTCGCTTCTGCATTCAAACCCCCTCACCCTTCAAAGTCGTCTGGTTCGCTGTGGCGCCCACTATCAGGAATGGATGAAGCGGACCTTGCGGATCCTTCATGAGAACAGAAGGAAGCAGAGGGACGGCGGCCAGAATGCTTGGCAGAAGGCGTCTGCATACCAGCTTTGTCGACAGGTGAAGCTTGGGAACAACGACATTGTCATCAGCCTGCTAGAGCTGGGTGCGCTGGCCAACGGCTCCTCCGGCTGCAGGCCAATTGAAAGCGCCATCGCGACGAATAATGCCGAGTTGTTCCTGGGTCTGCGAGAGTACGGTGCTCTCGTGGACGCAGTAGGTGTCGATGGAAGTCATGGCTCTGCTCTGCAGCTGTTTGCCGGTCGACGCAGAACGTCGCCGCCTGGCACAATTCTCGCTGAGATACTCATCGCCGAAGGGTCTCCCCTTGATGTGGACTCTCAGCAGCCTTCGGCATCAGCACTCGCTATCAGCCACAACGACTTTGACCTAGCCAATGTGCTGCTCTCCGCGGGAGCGGCCAACTCGATCAACCAACCATATTTGTGGACGCGCGAACACGAAGATTCAGAAACGGCCGTCTCGTTGATCAGCAGGCTCGTCAAGTCACAGACGATGCACTCCGTCCAAGCCATGAACTACATTGCCAGCCAACACAAGTCGACGACATGTTCACTTCAAGTCGAGCCGCTGGTCCATGACGGAAAGGGGCTGTCGGCTCTACACAGACTCGCCTCCTTGGACGTGGAAGAGGTTAACCATCGCCAACAGATTACATTGCAGATGGCCGAGGTGCTGGTGGGCATGTTCCCGGACTCTGGGAGCCTCGGCGAATGCGCCGTCGACCGTGACCTCGGCACCCCTCTGACAGCCGCCGTCTTGTCGGAAAACGCCACGGTGATGGCAGCGCTCTTGCGCAGCGAGCACCGACAGGATCTAGGACGGAAGGTACCTGTGCATTCTTTTGACGCCGGAAATCGGGACTCTCCTGACCAGTCGCCGCTTTCGCTGGCTCTGCACGTGGCCCTAGCACGTCTGACTGAATTGGAGAGCGATGAAAATTTGAACAGCGACAAGATGGAAAAGCTTGATCGAATCATGTCCATCGCAAAGACCTTGCATACCAATGAGGTTTCCGGTTCCCAATTAGACGACGGAATGGCATCGTTGAGTCTCGACGCAACACCAACAATGTCCGCCATCGAGACGAGGCGGGATGCAGTCCTGGAAAGTCTCACGGGTCTCCAATATGGGCGGTGGAAGCATGTTGACCGTCTGGCCTACGATTATGGCGGGCCAGGAAATGAGGAAGCGGAATACCCAATCGATCTGTCTGTGCTGTCGGAAGAGAAGCCATCAGGCTGGCGCGAGGGTGATGAAATGACACCTGAGATGTCGCTGCGAGTCTTCCTCCAGACTATGCGCAGCGGTGGGACTTTTGGATATCATGTCGAAGTGAGCATGGATGCGAGATTCAATAACCGAGGAAGGAAAGGTGAGTGATGATTATTGCTGCATAGACACAGGGGGTCTGGGGTCTCATCAATCAAGCGGAATGGCTGCCAGGTTCAACACCCGATACGAGGATCTTGGGAGGGGGCCAGACCGCGCCATCACACGCAACCTTTTGATGAACACTATTCATTTTAATGACCGAATTGCAATTCGAACAGAAGCAAGATCCAACGACTTTCGAGGGCTTTTTTCATCCCGCGTTGTGAGGAAACGAGGCGGAAGCAGAGTCGACTAGAACGCGCGAGGATCAACTCTTCCATCATGGCGATATTCGCATTTCTGATCCTTTGACGTATTGTACGAGCTTGAAACGGCTGGTGCGCCGATCATCGTCTCAGGACTCCGATAGCCGTCTTTCATGATGCACGATCAACCTTTGACTCAGGTACCAAGGTCATTTAATTGCACGTCCCCTCCGTACGGAGGATATGGGTATCCCGTGGCAGCGCGGAGGGTCTCCACTCCCGTGTTGTCCAACGTGCCGGTGCGTCCTGTCGCGGTAATCCTTCGGACCCTGCGATGGCTCAAGACCCCCAAAATCAGGTCTGAAATATGGGGTGCCAGGTACAATTGGCTGGATGTCCTTGTAGCCCGGCACTCGCCATGACAAAGATCGGCAGCGGCGTGCAGATCCTACCATGCGGCCAGAGGCAGAGCCTCGAGATCCTACCTCGACGAGGGACATGCGACAGAGCAGTGACGTCGGAAGATTCAGAAGCTCATGATATGTATAAAGGAGAAGATGAAGGCTGGCCAGAAATTTCCCAGCCGTCAACAAATCAACTCGCCCACTCAACAACGGCAGGTTCACCTATCAGTCACCCACAAGCACAAACTCTACACTTGAACATCCCACAATTCAAAATGCTCTTCAAGACCTTCCTACTCGTCGGCCTGGCTTCATTCTCCTCTGCTGCCGTCGCTCGTCCCCGTGCCGTGGGTTGTGGAGGAGGCTGCCCCGAGGGCCAAGCCTGTGTCCAATACGGAGAGATGAGTGGCATCATGCGCTGCGAAGCCAAGCGTGAGCTCGCTGTAGGATGCGGAGGAGGATGTCCCGATGGACAGGCGTGCGTGCAATATGGGGAAATGGGCGGTATCATGCGGTGCGAAGCCAAGCGGGACCTCGACAGCAACGACCTTGTCACTCGTCTCGACAACCCGTGTCCCGAGGGCCAGTCGCTACACCCTTATGGCGGTCTGATGAAGTGCTTCTGAGATGTTTCGTCTGTGAAGAAAAGGGAGAGAGAGCTTATTATGAAGTCATTGTTTTGCAGCAGACTTGTTGATGTATGATCACTATGTGGTTTAGCTGTATGTTATTTGATTGAGAGCAATTATGGATTATGGTCATATGCTGTTAGCACTTGCATGCAAACTTTGTGTAAGGTGAAAGACTGTGCGAACCTCTCGGTATTGAGCCTATGATTATGTTTCGATGATCTTGCCTCACCCTAACATGCTAAAGAATGATGGTGGGGGATGCATGCGGCATTCTGCCCCCATCGACTATGGCATGCATCCATATTCTCGTGTCATGGTGAAAAAATTTATTTGTTTCAACGCGCCCATCAGACAAGACAGACTCTCAGGCTTGGGACTGGGCGTGATAAAGTCTGACCACATCGCGACATCCTTTTTCGTTGTCTCATAAAGCTCCATAGTCGGACCACCTTGCACCTTCTGTTGCGTATGTACGCCAATTAGCCACATTCAGAGCACAGTGGAATTCCCTTTTGACCTGTTTGATACCTTCGTCGTGGATTCTTAGGGCCCTTAATTACTCCATACTCCGGCTGTAAAAGTCTGCAGCTCCTGATACGCCAGGTTTATGCCGAGACACTGCCTTGTGCCTTTGCTAAGTGTCAAGTGCATCAGCTTCGGGGCCCCGATGTAGCGGTCAGGGTCAAAGGCGTCGGGGTCATCGTAAAGCGACAGGTGACGGTTCACGAGGGGCGCTGTCATGGCAATGATGGAGCCTCTTAGGAGTGTGAGTGTCCTGCCGTCGGTGTACTCGTGGACGAGGTCTTCGTTTGGCGCCATGCGGTCTTGCCTGTGAGTTGCGGATGAAAAGAAACGTAGCGCTTCCTCGATGAGGGCGTTAAGATAAGGTACATGGTCGAGTTGCACGGGGTCAGGAGGTTGCGTGGTATCTGGCCACGCCGAGTCTAGCTCCGCGCGACGACGCTCAAAGATCTTGGGTTGTGTGACGTTCTCGTAGCAGATGCCTATCATGGTCAACGCTGTCGTATCCGACCCAGCTATGGCAAGCACCATTGCCTCATCGACCATGCGCGCTGTCGCCTTCTCTGACCCGACAACATCCTTGCGCAGCATGTCGTGGAAGATAGTGCTGCGCTCAGGGGGTTCTTTGTCATTTCGAATGCTCTCGATAATCTTCCCCAAATCCTGGTAGACTGGTCAGCAATTGTTCTGGCTAGACGAATGACACAGCGAATTAAGCACGATGAATCGTTGAAAGTGCGGAATGGGAGGACTCAACTTGTTCATGATGGAAGGGGGCATCTTGATTATAGCTGTCATGATCCAACTGAAGTGGACGGTGACCTCGCCGGCGCGCTCTCGATTTAGTAGTTGGAAGAATGGCTGATTGCAGTCTGCCATTTGTAGGCACTTGACGCCGCCGCCAAAGGCATACGCGGCGATGACATCTCTTGTGGCTGCCGGCCAGGGTGCCCTCATCGCAACAGGCTTGCCCTCCTTGGCCCAGCCCTCGAACCGGCGGTGCAGGTCCTCCAAGGTCTCGTTGACCACGGGGACGAGTTTTCGGACATTGGCTTGCGACAAGAACTTGCTGAGGAGAGCCCGTCGTCAACGGGGGACATAATGGTCCTTGGTCTGCAGCATGGATAGATGCTTCGGGAACATGTTCAGAACGGTCCACGGACGCTCCCCCACCTGCGGTGGCGACTGGGTGTATAGCTCGTCAATGAACGCCGGGTCCTTGACGTGCAACACGTCGGGCACGTTTCGCACCATCGGTCCATACTGCTCGTGGAGCGTCTTGATCTTCCATACGGACTGTCCGCCTTCGATGACGTCGTAGTAAGCGCAGTACCATGAGGTCAGAGCAGCAAGCTTGGGACCAGGTACTTTGACGAGAGGGTGAAAGTAGAGGCAGTAGGTTGCTCGGTAAACAAAGTAGGCGACGCCCAGCTCCAGGAGAAGGAGAAAGCTCGCCATAATGAGGGCCAGAGCGTCAGGCTAAGGGGATATCTACGCATTCTTATTGGTGCAGAGCCCAGAAAAGGGACCTATGCAAGTGTTGGTACATACAGGGTTGAGTGGTAAAGTAGCTGATTTTGGACTACCCTAAACCTTGCTGCCAAGCTGCGGGAAGCTTGTCCATGACATGCAATGCGTAAAGTGAGTCGTGTTTCCTGGAGTGACCTTTGCCGCTTGGACATCTGCAAGCTGGCATATTTGTGCGAGTCTCTTGTGCTCTTCAGACGTAGGCCACCCATCTTGATCACATAGTCAGTGAAGCAGTGCATTGTCATACCTGGCGTGTAAATCCAATTCTAGCGTGTCTATGTCCTGTACATTACGGAAATACTCGTGTCCATCGTGCATCATTATCGTCACAAAAGTGCATTCTTGCAAAGTCATTAACTCTCAGCCCTGACCGCCTCATGCATCCACGTCGATTCGTAGATGCGCACCTCGTCGGTCTCTGACACTTGCCCTCCATGCTTCCAGAGTGGCCCTGACGGGCTTGATGCCGGAGAACCAGATCATGGGGACTCGGCCGTCGAAGTAATATCGGACAGATATCGTCTGTAGTCCTTCTTCTGTTAAAATGTATTGCCTTATCCGTACGTTCTCGACGACGGGCATGGCACGCAACGCGCGTCCCACCAAGGTCAAGACTTCGTGCACGTGCTGCAACGCCGTGGCACGAGTTGCAACGCGCATGTATGGCCGTCGCAGCATGTACGAATTGCGAATGTGCAGTCTTTCCAATCTCCTCCATGTACCGGGATGGATGTGTCTACTCTCCTGGTGCGATTCGTCGGCATAGGGAGCAAAGAACTCCCTGGCGTCGACCGAGTCGTCAAATGTCAGGTCTGTGCACCTCCGAGTGTAGCTGGCTAGGACATTGTAGAATAGGGCGCGCGCGTCGCGCGTCGGCTTGTTTCGTGGCTCGGAGGCATTCTGCGGCCGTCGAAGGCGAAGGTCCGTGACGTTTGGCGCGTAGAGCTCGAGACCTAGCACAAATTCTGTAGCGATCAGCAAAAGAAAGTGCTCGATGCTTGTGGGTTGTACCTCGTCTTTGCTCCAAATCTCTGCTGCCGTTGGTATCGTGCTCAAGCTCGGTATCGAGCAGCCTGAGGTTTGGCATCTTCTCGAGAAGCAGGAGGACGCTCGTCAATTCGATATGGCGACCGGTGCACGTCAAGGCCGAAGCGACCAGTGCCGCGGGGAGAGCGTCGCGGTGCAGATCGATGCGTACTGGACTGGCCCTCGCGCGTCGGGTCGTTGCAGGCGAGACGCGTCGCGATGACGAGGAGGATTCATCACTGGGTGACTCGATGAGGATCTCCACGTGTATCCCTTCTGGGGGCCCGTGCTCGACCTCCCACTTTGACAAAGTGCCGAAAAAATCCTGCATGAAGCTTGTAAAGATGCGTGTCGTTGCCGAGCCGTCTTCACGAGACTCGGCGTCACTGCGCTGGTTCTTATGGTACGAAGCTAGAGCAATGTGAAGCGCGATGACCTGGAGCGTACGTTGCCTTCGTCGGCATACGATGGTGTTGAGATCATCAAGTCTCGCGGATGATATGTACAGCTGGCGAAAGGTGTGCCTCTCCACAGCGATCTGCCATGACTTGGAGACAGTCGCATACGGAGCGAGGCTGGCGTATTCATCGTCCGCGCGCAGGTAATCGACTATTCGATCCACGATAGTTTGTGGTATTAATGTGTCGCCGAGTGTCATCGTGTCTCGTACCACGTGAAGCGTAGAGAGTCTGGGTCATATGACAGCATCGGATTGATTGCAATTGATTGCATCACGAGAGAATGGGTGAAGCTGTTCGTCGACGGGTCTATATAACGTCAAAGCCGACGAACGCTCCACCTGCCTCTGAAATGGAGTCTGGGCCCGTGCCTGCCCAGACAGACGGAGTGAGGTAGTGTACAGAGCGTAGAATACTCCCAGTCACTAGTCAGTAGTCGACATGGAGGGCTGAGGAATGAGGACCCCAGGGAAACTCTGCCGTTCGTCTGGCGTCAGGGCTACGTCATCCAAAGACGGTCGCGAACCCGCACCTAACGCCTGTGGAGGCTGGCAGCTGGTGGCAGCTGGATACGTAGGTGCTTGGTCGGGCCCAGTCGCATGTTGACTGCAGTCTGCAGGCTACAGGTAGTACCAGTACCCTAGTTACTCAGAAAAGTCGAACAGGCTGGTCCGAGCTTTAAGTGTCAGTTTGCAACTAAACTCTTGTGTTGATTGGGTCCTCCGCAATTTCAATGGGGGATAAGCTCGGACCAGTCTGTTCGTGTTTTCTGAGTAAATGGACGGATGTCCACTATCTCAATTGACTTAGTTTGGTGGAGACGATTTCTGCTGACTCCGAGTTTTCGCTTGTCAATTTCCCCTCCAAGGGATCGAATTCTCGGCTTTGGCATATGCGCGATGACGCACCGCTCAACAAGGAGCGTGGGATGCACGCGACGATGTCATCGGCAGTGCAGTCCAGCGCCATCATCGAGTCGCGACTGTAGTCTAGTCTACTAGGGATTTTATCAAGGTGGGACGCGATGCGAGGTAAGGGGAAATGCGATTATTGTTGTCACCATCGTCGGTTTGCTCTCGTGTCATCGCTGTACCACCATCAAATCAAAATGACGTTGCCATCTGGTCAACGCTGGCATCCTGCCCAGCAGCGACATATTTAGGGTTCAGCCTACACCATCTCGATATGCCCTCGATCCAATTTGCGATCGCAGCGATGTTTGGGCTCTTAGACGTCATTTCACGATCGAGCCTGCACCAATGCCAGCTTCACACTACGTGTGTACTACCATCAGACATCACAGTGCTGCTGTGACCAGGAGTATGACGAACACATGCACACGACTTCACCCTGGTTCACTTCCATGAGCCACCTACTACGTAGACTTCGAGACATTGGCAGCCAGACCTCACTTCGCTGCGCTGCGCTCGGAACTTCAAAGGCCCAGCAGCCCACTCGAGCTGCCTTTGATCCTGGCTCGCAGCTTATCAGCCTCAATTACGTAGCCAGTCCCGGCAAAGTCGCGCGCAAAGTCTCTCAGAACGAGCCCAATCTCTTGCTTGCGATGTGCATCTGTTGCATCAGTTGCCGCCATGTCTAGCATGCCGTCGCCCATCGGATGCATCGGTTGCTCGAAGAGCTCGCGAGGGAGGGCAAACATCCTGCTCAGTGCAAGATTCGCGACCGAGGCTAGGGGCATATTGTCACCATAAGTTTCTTCCGCACGCTTTGCAAAGGCGTGCTGGCGGCGAGGATGACCTAGTCGACCATGGTCCGCAGATTGGGTTGACTGCATGGCGGTTCTGTACGACCGCTCAGGCTGTGACTGGTCATTGCATGGGTCGCGGAAGCAGAACCATACGTCGGCCTGGACCTGGATCTCGCGAGGATGACAACCGTAGGTGGGAGTTTCGTCGTCGTGTCTCGTCAATGTTCATCGACCGAGCAGTTTCCAGTATCACTCGGAGATTTGCAACTCTGGATCGACCATTGCGTCCCAGACCTGTGGCCGTGTCACTGGTTTGCCAGGTTCTCCCAGCCTTATTTCGTCTCAGCATTGGCAGAGTTCTAGGACATGACTAGGGGTCATCTCCAATATCTGGCTGGTCGAACTAGTGTCCTTTATTGAAGCAACAACCTTCCCCTCTGCTGACTCGAGCCGATCTGGTCGATGCTAGACCTTGGTCTGTATACTGGGACAGAGGCACCTAAAGGTCCTCTCACCACGGTGAGTGGTCTGCGATCTGATGTGAGGGTCTTTATTTGAGCATCAGAACGATGCGCCTGATGTTCTAGTCAGCTTGGTCCTGGATGGCTGCCATGTACGAGGCATCTTGAAGACCATGAGACCCGACCCACGAGGCTAAAAACTTACATCTTTTAGCGCTATTGTCGACGCATTGGAAATCTCGTCTAAAGTGGTTCCCGCCCGTAGGCTGCGTCAAATGACATTGAGAGAATTCGCAGGAGCGCAGGATATCCAGATGAGGGTAGCGGAAGCACACATGTTCTTGGTCCTGCTGCGCGGGCAGGCGTGACTTGATTGGGGGCTGAATGGAGCACGGCCACCCTCGCGATGCGTCAACCGCTATTTCGTAAAATGTACTTGTAATCGCGAGTAGCTACTGTTGGTGCTGTAGAGGTTTATTAAAAAACTCGCAGAGCTCGCCCACCGGTTATCGGATTTCGCAATAAGGCGGTTCAGGTTAAAGACTACCCTATACCCTCCAGGCTCTAATCTTGTTACAACCAAGGGCGGAGAATACGATAATAATACGAGAAGGTCAAAAATTAGCTCAAACATAAAACGCCTCGTGTCACTACTATGCAACCCCGTGGAAGGTATTGTTTCACAAAGAACCAGTTTCAATTTGTTAAATATAATTGCTTCCAACTTCCAAAAGAAAATACTGTACCCCACGCTCCAAAACAACTATTTCCGGACAATCACCATATTGGAATTTTGTCCTTTGATTTACTCCAAGACGATTTGACCCAGCTGTGCACAAAAGCATTCCGCAAGACTGATTATGGGCTCGTCATGGAGCTCTTCGTTGCCGCTCACTTTGACGCTGATGTTGCCCGTTGGATGCACAAGCACGTTGAAATACAGCTCCGAGTCGTGGAGGTGCGATGTGTCCAGCTCATCGATAGTTGAGCGAACCAATGATGGCCTGCTTTTCGTAAAGTACTCAGAGGCCAGAGGTTCGCCCAGCTTATATCGCTGTAGAGGGGATGCGGATGGCTGCTCTGCGTCTTGGGAGCTCTCCTCAGGATAGAGGATATTGATGAAGGAGTTGAACCTGGGCGATATCTTGTGCAGATCATCTGCCTGCGAAAACCGGGATAACTGAGCAAGATGGGTCTGCACTTGGTCGAAAAGTTTTTTGTTGGATCTCGACTCCAGGTCCAGCGTCATGGGCGTCACCGTCATCGTGGGGATACTCATGCCGGTCAGGTCAAGCGTCTGCTCCCCATCGACAGAAGACAGGGACCGCGACGCATGGTTTATTCCAAATGTCGGATGGGAGCGATCGGTCAGCTGACCCAACGCGCGGGCGTAGGAAATGACAATGGCAGCTGAAGTGTGGGCTCTGCGACTCGTCGCACCAGCTAAACTGCTGGCGGTTTTGGGCGGGAGTATGTCGCTCAATGTCAACTCACGGCGTTGACCAAAGGGAAAATGTCCAGACGTGACTGCTGACACCATAGTGTCTTGCGCATTCGCGAGGTGCTGCTGCCAGTACCTCCCCTGGGCCTCTGGATGTTGGATGTTTTGAACTTGTCGGACGGCTGATTCGATTGATGTTCGAGCAGGGACCGACTCGGAAGCCAAGAGACTGGCAAGGTCTCTTTGGATCATCTTGATGCTCCAAGCATCGTACAGCGCATGGTGAACTCGAAGGACGACCGCGTTACCATCGGAAGCCTGCAAGAAGGACAGACGAGCTGGTGGTTTCATCAAGTCGGAAGGTCGATCGTTACTATCGCGGACGTGCGCCTCAATGAGAGCCAGAATACGCGTTTCGGAGTCGCAAATATGGGTAAACCGCTCCTTTGCACTGACACTGTTGTCGAGAGTGACCTGGAGTAAGCTGTGGCCGTCATGTGCGCAGACAAAGGTAGTTCTCAGTATGTCGTGCGCATTGCATAACTCAGACCAGCAACTAGCGACATTTTTAGCATCGACTGTCCTGTCCGTCACCAGGTATGCCCAGGGAGCCTCGAAGAATCTCTTGCCATTCCGCAGCCATTGACTGAGTGTGCCACGTTGGCCAGGAAGAACAGGGGAGATAGATTTGATTTGATTTCGAGAACAATCAAGCTTGGAAGCAGCAAGGTCGATGAGGGAACGATCCACTGCCGACGATTCATCCCGATGCTGCTGAACACCGTTTGTCTTGGTTGGGGACGACTTCTTGACCAGATCGTGGACGCTGGCGCCTTGTATGATCTCAAAGACGCTTGCTCGAATACCAAATTGCTTCTTGAGCATCTGAGAAAAACGGATGGCAGTGATCGAATCAATACCGGCGTTTACTAGCTTCGTATTGTAGCTCATCGGCTTTCCGTTGGCTTTGTCGCCCACAACCGTACTCACTAGACTCATGATGGCATCGGCCCTGCCCGTCAAGCCATTGAGCTCGTTGGTGGGGGCATCGCCAATTGTTTTCGCGGCTTGGTGCTCTTGTTTGCTCCTCACTGTTTGGTCCCGACTGGCGCAGTCAGGACGCACTGCTGCGCTTTGAAGATCTTCCGACAGAATACATTGCAAGGCCTTCTGTAACTGGGCGCCCAAGTCCATAGCATCCGAGTGCGGCAGCTTGGCCCTCAATTTGCCGTGCAAGACGCCTCCCTTGACGCGAAAGCTCACGATCAGGGGGTAATCGTCGAATGCGGGTCTTTCCTCGGGTTTGGCGTGCTTTTTACCGACACTTTGCTCATGTGCAGGGAGAATCAAGGCTTGGTTTTCGTTTCTTGGCTCACTTTCCAGAACGCCGTCAAAGACGAAAAGACTCTGGAAGAGGCTGGTCGCAGCAATATTCTCGTCATCCGGTGCTGATCTCCAAGCTGCCTGGACCGCCCTCAAGGAGGCCATCCCTATCGTACCTCTGGCATCATCGGACAGACTTTGCAACTGCGACAAAGCCTCAGCAACTGTCTTCACGCCCGACTGAGCGGCCAGTGTGACGCGCATCGGAACTGTGTTGATTGTGGGCCCGACGACAGGAACAGTGCCGTCGCCGTTTCCAGCTGAGATGACCTCGCCAAAGACGACGTCCAATTGCTGGTAAAGAGACTCGCACAAGACCTTAGCCCAAGCGAGCTGCAATGCAGATTTGAGGGTAACGTGAGAAGCCCTGCATTTTGCCTGCAACCGCGATAGATCATCGGCATTCAGCGTGAAATGAAAGGCGGAGGAAGCTTGGAGTGCCAGTAGGGGAAACTCGATAGGCGCATATGTATAGCTCCGCACCAAATCTGTCCAAAATGCGACCGAGGGTTTTTGCGACGCTGCCGACTGCTTAGCAAAGTGACGGAAATCGTGCTTGACGATCTCCACATCCGCATCGCCATGCCCGAGAAGTCGCTTGGTGTAGTACTCATTGAGAAGGCGCCACATGGTGGAGATTGAAGTGGCATCGTACAACGCGTGATGAATCCTCAGCTGCAAGACACCGTTTTGGCTCACGTCCCAATTGACTAAGTCACTCTGTTCAGTGGGCGAGACGACACCGACCCATGGTGCGGTGTCGTTCTGCGTGAAGATGAAGCGTGTTCGCAGGATTTCGCAAGCCTGTACAGTATCTTTGATCGCGGCGAAAAGATGATCAAAACTGGGTGCGTCTTCATCCAATCCCATTTGAGACAGCTGCATGGTGTGCGTGTACGTGTAGGCCTGACCCTCGATGGCCATGGACGCACTTAGCATGCCTTCTTGTAGTGGCGTCGCAACGAAGAGCAATTCGCCAGCCAGCCGCTCAAGAGTCCTTGTGTAGGTGTCTTCGTCACTCGAGGCCTCTGGATGTTGCAGAGGATTATTATTGCTGTCTGTCGCTGTGCGCCCAGATGTGAGCGAACGCGAACCACCATCGCCCTTTGCATCGTGGAGCAGTGCTGCGACGCCTTGGATCGTCTTGGCCTTGATGACAGAATTTGGCGGAAGCTTGATGCCCTCGGCCTTGTGTATGATCCTCACAAAAGGCAAAACGTTGATCGAATCAAGCCCCAACTGATACAAAGAAGTTTTTGCCGGATCTTTGGCCTTGACGTCTGCCTCATCCAAGTCCAATAGACGGCAGGCGGATGTCTGAACAATCGCCAAGCAAGCTTTGAACTCTCGGGTCGCGTTGTGAGCTTCCTTAGGCTGATGGAGCTCACAGGGCTCATGATCAATCACAACAGGAGCTTCCTTTCTGTAACTCACATTCGAAAAATGTTTTACAGCAGCGTCTTGGTCGGCGGAAGAAATGGCAGCCTTCTCGAACAGTGCCGCGAGTTCTTCGAGTTGAGCCTCGGCCAGAACACCGGCGGACGACAGCAGTAGACTGATGCCGCCATCTGCATGGAGATCGACATCGATCGACAATGACATATCAGACTTAGATGCACCCGGCAGAGGAACCATCCGACCTGGTGCGACCTCGGTCTGCATCAAGTCGTCGTCCCCCATCACGTTGATTGTCAACAGACTGTCAAACAACTTCTCGTCAAGGCCTGCCCAGCGCTGGATTTTGTCAGCAGTGACGAGCGGCATGCAGCCCTGGCATGTATCTCCGTGATTCTGGCGTATCCTCGCAGCCAAATTCGGCAGTGTCTCATCTCCACTTTCCAGCTTTATAGCGTGGATCAGCGTGTTGAGGCAGGGTCCGACAAAGTCATGCACGCCATTAACCACATTGGTGAGCAAGGGTCGAAGTGACATGACGAATCCGTAGGCGAGAGAGGTTGTCTTGGTCAAATGCGCTAGACAAAGTGTCGTAGCGAGTTGGAAGGCAGTCGAAGCAGAGATGAACTCGCCTGAAGAGGCGAGGTGTAGTTTCGATTTGAGTTCTGTCTGTGTATATGCAAAGTGCCTGCTGGTGCGCGCCATGGTGTTTGGTACGGCGTTGTCCTCGTGTGCACCTAAAAGGCATGGCCTGATGTCCCGCACATTCTGCTGCCATGCGCGCTTCATCGAATCCAGCTGTGCGTGTGTAAGATTGCAGTGGGACGAGAGACTCTTCAATTTGCTCAAGCTCGCATTGTTGTCAACCACAACTTGGGCTCCATGAATGTAGGCCCGCTCGAGCTTGCCCCTGAGCACATCGATAGCTGCGCCATCGAACAGTGCATGATGGATCTTCAATGTGACCAAAATATCTTTGGAGTCTTCGCACTCCTGAATCTGGACCCTGAGAGGTGGTCGCGAAGTCATGTAAGCTGTAAGGTCGATGGCGTCCTGCTTCCCATCAAATGGTGAAGGAGGAGACCTGAGGACGACTTGAAACACGCGACCGTCCGTATACCTTTGAACAAAACAAGTCCTGAGCATGGCTTCAGCGGAAATGACGGTCTCAGCCACCCTCTTCCACTTGGCAAGATCCGTACCAGCGGCAAGACGGTAATTGAACTGGGTAACGTAGGGCACAGCCGCATCCGACGTGTCTTCGGATGAGCTGAGCCACAAGAGAGATAGGGAGGCAAGGGACGATTGAAGAGGTAAAGAAGGCAAGATGGCTTCAATGTCATTGCTTCCCAGGTGGCGAGCGCAGGGACCCAGGTCCTCGAGGCTGAAGACTTCCATGGGGGTCACCTCGCCACGCGTGGGCGACGCGTGTGTCGTGGCTCGAGACACAATTGACCTGGCAATGGAACCGATCGTGCATGAGGGCGTGAGCAAATCTTCCATGGTAATCTTCGACAGACCTTTCTTCCCCAGTATTGAGAGCAGATGCATGGCGGAAAGACTGTCGACACCAAGACTGTGAATGGTGCTTGTCGATGTCGCTGTCAGCTTCATGCCAACAGCCTCCTCGAGTGCCGCCACTACTTCGATCTCACGGCCGTCCAGAGGCGGTGCGGACGTTGAAGTTGTCGAGGGGGCTCCTCGCTCTTTCGGTAGGACGGTAAAGTCATTGGCAAGTTTGATGAGAGACTTGGTGTCAACTTTGCCAGACGCTGGCAGATAGGGAATTCTCGACACCCAAATTATCTCAGGAACCATGAAGGCTGGAAGACCCTCCTCGCATCTCTGCTCAACATTTCGAAGGATCGATTGCAGCCCCTCGCTTTTGTGCAGAAACGGCACAGGATCGGCTTCCTTTTCAGACTTGAGGAGGATCTTGTTACTGCGTGCCAGGAAACCCAACAACTTCTGGTCCACGACGGTGGCGGCAACATCCAAAGGCCCTTCGTTAGCGACCACTTTCTTGATAAAGGCCTCAACTTCCCCAATCTCGAATCGCTGACCGCGGATCTTCGTTTGCTGGTCTTTTCGGCCGAGGAACTCCACTGAACCATCCTCCATCATCCTCATGATGTCACCGGTTCTGTAGATCACCTTTCGATCGGGGCCAAGCAAGGCAGTGGTCTGGAAGGCTTTGGAGTTCTCTTCCGGCCTATCTAGATACCCCAGGGAGACTTGTGGACCAGAGATACAGAGCTCGCCTGGCTGACCTCTGCGTGCAATGATTTGTTCATCACCTGTGTCCGGGGCCAGGAGAATGGCTTGCAGGCCTTGCAATGGCAGACCAAGGTTGCGAGAGTTGGAAGTCTTGCTGACAGCATGACCTAAACAGCCAATAGTGACTTCCGTCGGCCCATAAAAGTTCATGAGTACTCCTGGCGGCCTTCCACTCGTGACGACGTCGAAGAGCTCATTCGACGCCTTCTCGCCGCCAGTTGTCAGAACGCGAATAGAGGGTACGTCCTCCAGGCGAATGCCGAGCTGGATCAATACAGACGGCACAGATCCCATGTGAGTAATGGCCAAATCATTGATGACCTGCTTCAGGTTGGCGAAGATTGCGTTGCGGTCCTTGCCAATGACAGCACGGAAGCCAAGGTGCCAGGGCACAAACATTGACGTGAGGTGTGGGTCAAAGGCGCGAGAAGCAACGTTGAGATACTTGCCTCTCCCTCCAAGGCTGGCGGTTTCAGGCGATGCCTCAACAAGGCGCGCGCTGAACGCTGAAATAAAATGCAGTAGGTTGTCGTTGGACACGCGGACTCCCTTGGGCCGGCCAGTTGAGCCAGAAGTGTACAGAAGGTAGCCGCCCATGCCCAGCCCGGCATTTTTTAGTGCATCCAATTTAGACCAAGCTCGAATTGCCTCCAGCTCGTCGTCACCAGCAGGAAGTAAGAGTAATGGCGGATCGTTGGCCTGATCAAGATGCAACTCGCCAATCAGTTCCTCAGCGCTGACAACGAGCTTTGCGCCGGCATCCCGAACGAGCAATTGTTTTCTGGTAGCTGGCAGACTATTGTCAATAGGTAGATAGACGAACCCAGCCCTGAAGATAGCCAAGATCGCTGCTAGCGACTTGGTGTCTCTGTCCAGATATAGTGCGACAACGTCGTCAGGCTGGAGCTTGGCTTCATGCGAGCGCAATCTTAACATGATCGCGTCCACAAGTTCGTGGAGCTGTGCATACGTGAGAGTCTTGGTCACAAGCCTGTCCTCGCCCTCTTCATCTTCCTCGAAGGAGATTTCCTCAGTAGCAATCCAATCTGGGTGCTCAGCTGCGTGCGTGGCGACCCTGTCCGCGGGATTCTGAGCATCAGCGAACGTTGTGATTTCTCCAGCTATTGAAACGAGATTGCGCCTCATGGTGTTTGGTAGCCGATGGAGAGGAAGTTGAGGATGATCCACCATGGCTCGCGCCTGGTCCAGGATCTGACGAAGCATGAGGTCCAACTGAGCTTGAGAGATACGCCGGCCATCTCCCGTCAAGTGAATGGTATTGTCAGCCTCGTATATGTTCAAAGCCAATGGATGCTCCACGTTGAGCGACAGAGCTTGGCCTGTTTCGCGGAACATGTGCGAACCATCTTGGACCTGTGTATCTGACGGATGATAGACAAACAGTGCCGGAAAGGGGGCTTTGCTGTCCCCATTTCCCTCATTGATCATCTTCTTGATGTCGACGGGGTGCAGCCGATGGGCACTCTGACTTAAATTGGAGGAGTCTTGGGCCATCTCAGCCCACAGCTCAGCAGAAGATACGCCATCCGCGCGGACGATGACAGGCAGGGTCGCCATGGCAGGGCCTACCACGCGAGCCAGGTCAGGATGCAAGATGCGCTGTGACAGGTTCTGGCCGAGAACTATGGCTTTCAGCTCCATGTAGGAAGCGAGAACAACTCCAAGTGCAGACTGTAGCAGTCTAGGGAGGTCAGGTATTCCCTTTGGCCGGTCGTCGACTAGCTGCGTTGGAATGGCGACATGGCTGGATAGAATCCCTCTTTCTTGCTTCCGTCGAGATCGCGTTAGATCAGGAAATGAGCCATTAACGGCGCCATGAGTATTGATCACTTCACTGAACCTTCGAGTCCAGACAGAGACCGCCTCCTCTCTTGCGGAAATCTGGGACAGCAGACCGAGTTCCAGGCCTTTATCAAACTGGAGAGGCGAGTTATGAACCCCCGAGGCTTTCCCAGAGTTCTGATACAGATCTGCAACCTCCCGAATGACCACGGCTGAAGATGCGCCATCATGTAGCGCATGATGCATGCTCAACATCAACTTGCTGTTCGCCTTTGAATATGTGACCGCCCACGGGGGGTTGGTTGCATTGCTACCACAAGGTGTCAAGTCAGCCTGCAAGGCCTCGGCATGTGTTGCGAGCTGATCATCGACAATGCGATCGAATACCGTCCAGTGTATCATGGGCTCAGCTTGCACAAGCTGGAGTATACTGGATTGGACGCCATGGCGACGTGCCCAAGCACCACTGTTGGCGGGATGAGCACCGCCATCATTCACTTCCAGCTTCCAAAGAGGAGCGAAAATGGTTCGGAGAATATCGAATTGCTTCGCTGCATCCGTCCAAGCCACGTGCAGACGATCAACGTCAACGTCGTCCAGGTGGCTGAGGTCAAACAGGCGATGAGACCAGTATGCTCTGGGCTCGATCATGGTTTCGACAATGAGGGCTTCCTGTGCTGGCGTGGCGGGAATAATATAGGAAGTTTTGGCCGGTCGCATATCTCCACGAAGACATCTGGTGAATTGCTCTTTGATCTCAGTGACCCAAGAGGCTTCTGGCTTGGCCTCTGGTGCAGTGTTCGTGCCAGCATCTTTCCCCATGCATGTGTAAATGACATGGACCAGATCACCGAGGGTCTGGCATCGCATCAAGTCGAGAACACCTACAGTGCACCCCAGTTGTCGCCTCAAAGCCCAAGCCAGCTTGGTCACTTGCAAGGAGCTGATGCCTAAGCCCGCTAGGCTAAACTTGGGGGAGAGAGGCTCGACCTGTATACCAATGTTCTCAGAGATTGTCTTGATGATGAGGAGCTGCTCGGGGGCCCAATTTGCCATCTCGCCAGAAGCCCCTCCTGGAGACGTATCCATTGCTGCTAACTCGTTGAGATCCGAGTCGTTGTAGATATTCTGCAGTGCCTTGCGGTCAACCTTGTTGGACGCTGTCCGTGGCATGGTCGTGTTAAGCACGACAATGTGGCCAGGAACCATGTATGTTGGCAACATCTCCCGTGCCCTCTGAAACACCTGCTTTCTGAGATGTGTCAAGTCGTCATGCTCTTTCTTGACGGAAACAAAAGTCACGACGACCTTGTGGTTGGCGTCGGTACCGTCAGCTCCTGGGCGCGGCAGGTACAGTGTCTCGGCGTGTTCAACGGCGGGCTCAACATCCTTGACACTAGCACAGGCAGCGCTGATCTCACTGAGCTCAATGCGGATGCCAGTGATCTTGACAAGATCGTCGTTGCGACCGAGAAACTCGAATCCATGGTCATTGAGGCGGACCATATCGCCAGTCAAGTAGATGCGCTCATCGATGCCTAATCCTCCTTGTATGAAAGCCTTTGTGGTCTTCGCTGGGTTGTTGAGATACCCTTTGGCGATTTGAGATCCTCCAAGAGCCAACTCGCCCACGCCGTAACGCGGCACAAGCTCCCAGTGCTTCTTGTCGCGAGCATTCGGCGACTCAACTTCGCGTACAACATAGGCTGTGCATGGCGTCAATGGAAACCCGACGTTGGCAGCTTTAGCTCTATCACGACTTGTGCCAAAGAATTGTCTCATCGTGGAGACAACGGCGTTCTCGGCAGGCCCGTAGGTATTATAGGCTTTAGTTGTGATACCTGGCGCGGCCCATGCTTCGGCGACGTCCTCTGTCAATTTCTCGCCGATAAAGGTGACATACTGTAGAGTTGACCCCCTTATCTCCTCAACGTTTATACTTGCACCGAAGGATGGCGTGAGATGCGCATGAGTTGGTCGGGACTTGTTAACGAACTCTGTGAATGTGCCTAGGACTAGCTCCCTCGAGCCGCTGACGACACTACCAGCCAGACCCCATGTGAAGAATAGATCCTGCACAAAGACATCGAAGCTGTACGCCGACAACTGCAAAGTCCGTACTTGGCCGTGCTTCTTCTCGTGCTCAACCTGAACCTGGAGGTCGCGCATCGCGTTGGCGGCTGCAAAGTGCTGGAGCATGACGCCCTTGGGCTCACCAGTGGTGCCAGACGTCCATAAAAGGTAGGCAAGGTCCTGACCCTCGACGTGCGAGTGATCTGACTGGATCGTCTGGCGCGGCAGAGCCCTCGTTGCTGTCGTGCGGTCCTTGTACTGGTCTACAAGGATCACACGCACATTCGCCAGACTCTCGTGGGTAAGACAAGGCTCGACTAGGTGATAAGACGCAGTGTCTGTCAAAAGAACCTTGCCTTGCGTTCGTGCAATCAACGAGGTGCGCCTCTGAACGGGCGAGGTCTCATCGATCGGCGACCAAGCTGAGCCCGCTTTGAGGATGGCCAAGATGGAGACGTAGAGCTCGACACTCCGCTGCATGCAAATGGGAATGACATCAACATCTTCCTCACGCAAGATATTGGCGAGACCATTTGCTCTGGCGTCCAGCTCCGCATAGGTCAACTCTGAAGGGGGGGCATCAAGTGATGTGTAGAAGCTCAAGGCCAGCAAGTCTGGTGTCGATGCAGCCTGGTCCTCAAATTGGGCATGAAGAACCTCGATGCGATTATGGGCCCTTGCCGCCTTTGTCTCATCATCCTGTGGTGACTCCGGCAGTGTACCTTCCGCTGACAACAGTTGCCTCGGCAGTCGTGCTGGCAAGCCTTGCACGAGGTCGTCAGGCTTGCTTCGCAGTAGGATCTTGGTCAATGATTCCAGCTGCTCAACAACACACTGCGCGGATCTCCGAGAAAGAGCATCATCGCGATATGTGAGCTTGAATGTCATTTTCGACGGATCCTGGCCAGCCCAAAGAGGGCTCGTGGGGAGCACCTCTGCGAAAATGTCAAAGTCGTATCGAATGGGGGGATTGCTGACGCTGCTCCATGGGATGTCAATCTGAGTTTCCTGAACTCGAGAAAGTACATGTCCTGGAGGCGTGTAGGCTTGCAGTGCCAATGCCGTGTTATAAGGGAGCGTCTCGAAGATGCCGAATGATGTATGGCGATGGCTCTGAGCGAACCTCGACTTCTCGTTCAAATTGTCGATGAGTTGGTGCACGGTCTGCGAATCGGGCAAATCTACTCGACATGGCACCACGGAAAAGGTTGGCGCTTGAACAGCCTCATGTTGACCTGAGAGGACACTGCCAAATACGATGTCGCCGGTATTCGCTTCGGAAAATACCTGCAAAAGCACTGACCATGCTGCCTGGAGTACGGATAGGGGTGAGGCGCCTAGGGATCTGCTCTTGCTCTCGAGGTCGTGCCATGACAAGGCGCTGGAGATCTGGACCATTGCATGACCATGATCTGCCTGAACCCCTGGTGCGATTGTCTTGATGTTATCACCGCTCAGCGCATGAAAGCTCTCAGCCTCCCAACCAGCCAGTGATTGCTGCCACGCTTTGTCCGTTGCTTCGCTCATGCCCATGATCCAGTCTTGCACCGCGTCCTGAACGCCTAGTCGTGATAGAGGCGCGAGCCCTGCGTATTGCCTAGCAATATCATCTATCAGCGCCTCCAGGGAAGCGCCGTCGCAGATACAATGTGCCACGCTGATCACGAATTGCGATTCAGATCCTGAACCACGTTCGACAAGTTGCAGATAATAGAGCCTTTGCGATTCAAAGTCGAGGCTGTCGTGGGCGACATCCAGGTAAACCTGGGTATTCTCAGTATCACTGGTCTTCCTACGTACGACTCTTTTACCATCGCCAAGTCGTCTTTGCCAGGTGGCATGCGTCAAGGTGACCTGAGCAAATGGCGACAGCGGGTCGTCACACGACATCATGACAGTGCGGTAGATATCGTGTCTCATAAGGACTGCCTCAATGGCCTCTTCGAGGGCCGAGAGGGAGACATCTGGCTTCAGTGAGAGCACAGTGTGGCTGATGTAGTTCCGCTTGTCCATGGCAAAGCTGACAGCGAGCTGGCTTTGTGTACTCGTTGCAGGCACCACCGCCACAATGTCTGCTTCGCTGCCAATGCCCAAATTTGTGAGAGCTTCTGGTGTATGGCGGGATGCAAAGTCAGCAATTTGTGTCTTCGCTTGGACTCTCTTATCGAGACGAGGGGCGTTTGCTCCATCACCCTCAGATGCGAAGAAGGTGGACCGTATGGTGGCCAAAGGTTCGAGGAGAGAAGCCAGCGTGGGCTGCAGGTGCGGTTGATCAGGCCACTGACTCCTGATATATCTCAGGAGCCTCATCGCTCGAAGACTGTCGATGCCAACCTGGACGAAGGGAGTATCGGCTGCCAACTCCACCCGCGTAGAAGACCCATCATTCACAATGGCAGACAAAAAGGTCAAAAGCTGTGTCTCAATCAATACATCCTCTGGATTTCCCAAGGGCTCCAAGGCTGCCGCAGGAGCTTGATTCCCCATTTCGTACTGCAGTTCATTGCGCACAAAAGCTGACGCCACCTTTCGATCAACCTTGCCAGACGCTGATCGAGGGAGTGCATCCACCTGCAATATCCGAAAAGGTCGCATATATTCTGGGAGGTACTTTTGTGCAGTCTCGACGCATCGGGCTTGTACTTGCTCCAAGTCGAGCGTGGTCTTGGGGTCGAGCACGATTAAGCTTACAACTCTTTCCGACCCAGGGGCGCCATCTTGTGGCTTCCAAGCACATGCCAGTGTCTGGTGCACATCCTGTACTTTGGTGGCCAGAACGCTCTCGATCTCGCCAAGTTCGACTCGTCTGCCGCTCAGTTTGACTTGGTCGTCTGACATTCTCCCCAGGAACTCGACCATGCGCTCGCCTGTCGGGCCCCAGACGACTCTGGCCCTGTCACCGGTCCTATACGTCCTTCCCCATTTGGCATCATCCACGAACGCCTTGGCCGTTTCATCTGGACGATTGAGATAGCCCGCCCTGCTGACCTGGGGGCCTGTGAGGACCAGCTCACCGACCGCACCCATGGGGACGGGACGGAGGCTCGCGTCGTGGTGATCAACGATGAGAGCGCCGCAGGTCGCCAATGGCGTGCCTATGACAGATCCACGCTGGTTGGCTGGGACATGTGCTTGAGCGATGGAATAGATTGCCACCTCTGTGGGACCGTAGCCATTGTAGATGCCTCGCGGCACATGTTGGTCTTCTGGATCGTGTTGAGTGGATGTATCCTGAGATTGGGGGTTGAACGGCGCAAAGTCCTGCAAAAGTCGTGTGTTCAGTGTCTCGCCACCCACCATGATGCCACACAGCAGCGACGGATCAATGAGGCTGGCAAAGCTAGGCGTGACGTTGGTGATATCCGCCTTCAAGATCGCCAAGACCTTGTCAATGTTTTGCATGGTGATGTGTCTAGGCGCGCAGCACAGCGTGGACCCGGTGCTCAACGTCCAGAAAATCTCGAAAAGTGAAATGTCGAACGTTGGTGCGGCGCCTTGGAACCATCGAACTTGCCTAGCGGTTGGGAAGGTGCCTGGCGAACAATATCCAAAATGGCTGCTGAGGGCACTTATCGTGCAGGCCGCTGAAAGGTGGTCGACTGTCACGCCCTTTGGCATGCCAGTGGTTCCAGATGTGTACAGAATGTATGCTGCATCCGTCTCAGCTATGTGTGTGTCGGGCATCATGTGCTGCGTATCGCACAAAGCAAGATACTTGGCGGTGTCGATCGTCTTTGAGCTGTCCCCGATGGCTTCACCACCAGCTGTCAACACTGCTACTGGGTTCAAATCCGCTAGCAAAGCCTCGACTCTCTCTGCCGGGGCGTCTACAGGCAACGGACAAAAGGCCAGACCTGCTTTGAGAACGGCCACGTAACTGATGTACAATTCAGGGCAGGGGCCAAATGACACAGCTACAGTTTTGGCGACTGCTGTGGAGTTGGCTTTGTATTCCAAAAGCTTGACGGCCAACGCTGTTGACGCATTCGACAATTGTTGATACGTGTACTGTCGTTTTTCTTCCGTTTTCAAATCGACGAGGTAGTCCATAGCTATCTTTTGAGGGCGCTCGCGGACTCTCTGCTCAAACCACCCATGTAGGAGTGCTGGTCCTACAGCCTGGCTTTCGCCTGGCAGCAATGGCTTAGGGGCTTGCTTTGGTAGAAGGTTGAGCACGGAGGGCTGTGTCCATTCCGGGGCACCACTCGCGTGGTCGGAGTTTTCCGCGCTGCTCAAGACATCGTCTAGCATCTGACCCAAAGCATTGAGCCCCGGCTCCGTGATGACGCCCGCGTGTGATGTCAGCCGTACTTGGTCGCCAACTACATGAAGCTGAAGAGCCTAGAATCGTCATGAGCAGTGGTTTCCTCTATACGATTTGGGACATACCTTTCCTGGCCCGATCGAAAAGTCAGTCGGTATGTCACCATCATAAACCACAAAAGAAAACGTGGTATCCAGGCCATTGTCCCCTGCGTGTGCTAGGATATAGCCCCCACGAGCGGTGTCTTGGACACAGAAAGCTTCACCCACATCCACGATGATAACGTGAGCTACTACCTTTACGAAGGCCGTAAGCAACGTCTCTTTGTCCAATGGTGGTGCAAGCTGGCTCGTCCACGTCAGAGAACCCGATTCTATACTCGCATCGACCTCGTTCAAAGTGTGCAGCGGTCGAAACTGCGTGACCGGGGGCAGAGGTGATGATGTTGCCATCTCCAGTTGCGTGCTGCGTGAGATGTGTATACTTCACCTCATGGACGCAGTGTCGATAGGGTATGCTAGGTAGTCTGCTGCTCGTCAAACCAGGCGGCAAATAGTCGTGCCTAACAGTGTCGTGTGCGGCTTAAGACAGGGAGATGCGCATAAAATTATGGATGAGACACTGTTAATACCAAGCTACGTGCCGTAATGGACAATTTCTGATGATGTCCGTTGCCAGACTGAGACGGGCCAGAATGAGACAATAAGCGCCGCCATCGGCACATGGACGTAGCAGATGCATGGAGCTGCTAGTGACGAGGGTGGGACTTCTCCCGCAGGGTGGCCTGAGGGCAAACGGGTCTGGTGCTCCCTCTGAAGCCCACATGGCGGTGCCTTGAGGGGCTACGGAGTGACAGAAGCCGGAATTTCGAGGAGCTCAACCGGGACCCTGATGATGGAGTCGGTGGACATGACCACTGATCTGATTGATAAGATTTCGCTCGTCAAGCTGTGAGAAAATTTTTCCACAACGCGTGAAGGCTCGCCCGCGAGACTAGGGTCGGTCAGTGGGCGAACGACGTGGAGCTTCAGGGGGGCGCCCACACTGTTTCCGACACGGTGCGGCAGGCGTACAGTGCGACCCACCACTGAAGCTTGTCGCGCCACTCCCTGAAATTAAACACGGCAAATGGAAATTTTATCTGATCAGATTAGATCAAATGGCGCATCTGATTAGATCATCGCCGCGGCCTCGACTCGCTACCCCTCTTTGTCGGACGCAGCTGGTGTAACAGCCATGATGTCAATGGATCCATCGCAATTCTCGGTCGATTTCCTCTACCACACTACGTGTACTGACGTTTTGCTATGGCTAGACAAAGTGGCCCTCCTGGAAGAAGCGATCGCGCTGCAAGGCAAACAGCACGGCTGTCTTGTGCGGCAGATGGAAGCGCCTCTTCTTTTCCTGTGGCATGAATCGTTCCTGAATCTTGACATTGCTCAGGTCGTGCCTTGGCTCGGCCACAACCTGCTTTGTGCGCGGGTCACGTAGGAAGCAGCAATGCTTGATGGATGTGCTCACTGCCTGGTACCGCTTCCCACCGCGGAAGTGCTCCTCGCCCACCAAGATGTGGCTGTTCTGGTCGTGCTCACCAAGCACAATGTTGCAGTTGGACCCAACAAAGCACGCCACATTGTCTTCCTTGGCGAACCCAATCTCTGTGTAGCCGGCAAGCTCGCCGTCCCAGGCGAAAACGCACGACATGGTGTGCGGATCGGCTAGTTGAGATGCCAAATACTTGCGATGATGCTCGTCGGGACCACGCTCCTTCCATCCCAGGTTGACGCGGTCCGAGTTCTGCCAGCGTGCATATGTCTGAAAGTGAAGCGGGTTGCTGGCGTCAATATGGATAATCTGCAGTTGCTGTCCAAGCTCGACGATGAACCTCGAGTAGACAACGGTGCCTGGCGCAGGCTTTGGGGGTCGCACCGGGTGAACCGTACAGACGTTGCCTTTCCGCGTGAAGCCCATCTGGCTGGCAAAACTGCCTGCCGTGCCATTGAACCCAGGGAAAAGGGTGATTTCGGGACGCAATTGAAGCCACGATTGCGAGTCTGGCGCGCCTGCGCCCTGCCAAAAAGCCTCTCGGTGCAGCCACAGGATATTCTCCTTGGGGGTGATGGTCGTGGTCGAGGTTCCTGCCGAATAAGGCGAGGTCACACCCAGGCCAGTACAGCGCACGTACTGACCAAGGCGTTCATTGTCGAGCGAGATGGCAATCAAATCCTTGTCTCTGTGCTGCGGGTGAAGCCAAAGAGCGTACACAGATACCCATAGAAGTGCAATATCTTCATCCTCGGTGTTGGCACCAATTCTTGCCGTAGCACGGGCGACAGGCTCGAATTGGAGTAGCTCTTCAAACTCAGCCCTGTCGTCGTTCACCATGGACGGCGACACCCTCGTTCTTGTTGCACTAGTGACCCAACGCGTCACAGGTGAGTCTCCTTGCCCTACGTTGTAGACGGGTCTCTCGTTGGAAGAGTCGACATCAATCCAGAGCGGCGTTTTAGCATCAGGGAGCTTGAAGTCGACCCTCGTGGCCAAAGGTGCCTCATGTACAATGCTGCCCATGTTGATTTGTGAAAGAAGCTTGAAGCTGTTAGTCGTGGGATGAGTCTTCCAGGATAGGTCACACACTCCTGTCTCTGTAGGAAGTTCAAACTTGCACTGATGAGATGAGGTAGATGGATGGAAACAGTCACGATCCAAGATACATGCAGGCTGGGAGCTAGGATTCGGGTCGGTCAGAATTGCCGAGTGTCTATGTTAAACTGTTACGTCTCAAGTACTACGTACGGGTAATTAGCCTGCTGTGCTGGACGACGCAGGAGCCGCGACGAAACACACAAGACGCCACCTACCATCGACCCTCTGCTCCAAGGGGCTTAGACCACTTTGTGTGTCCGGCGACATCAGCCGGTACGTGGCATGAGGCGTGCAAAAAGACGCAGATGCATCCACAGCAGACAGAGATGACATCTTCAGCTTGCCCCAAACAGGCGAACGCAAGAGCCGATCAGCTGTCGTCTGGATGTGAGTGAGGGAATTGAGTCGAGGGCTGCACATCCTGTCCCGCCTTGGCAGACTGATTGATAAAAATTCGACCTGCCTGAGACTGGACCCGCAGCCGCCGTCTCGAGACATGCAGCTTGTGAAATGCTTGCCGGGGCACGCAGATGCGTCACGATGTTTGTTCCAATCCAGGCGAGCCTCAGTCACGCTCCTCCATTCACCGTCACATCTAACGATATCATTTTGCCCTTCATCTCCCCTTGAAAAGTCGGCTGGACGAGTGACTGGACTGACTGCAACAATGCCACTCTCTGCCAATCTTAGCGCCGGCTCCGCAGGCTCAAGTTCCACCCCTCGGCTCAAGCAGAGCAAATAGCGTCGATCATGCAGATGGATACCACACTGTGTGGACACGGGATAACGATAACTAGGGTCGTCGTCCTAGGCAGGGGTGGTCCGCCTTGATGATGCGGGCAGTCCATCATGGTGCCACTGCAGCAGCCAACGCAAGCTCGTGCATGCCAAAGGTTCGCCATCATCGCACGGCCGTGATCGGCGTATCCTCCAAAAAAGTGAGCTGAGTGTCAATGCTCTCCATTTGCCGGTCTCCACAAGACTGGCACCTCTTTTGTCCGCGGCAGTGGCACGACGTGCAGACGATGAGCGCGACCAAAGTCGACTGGACAATCTCAAAGGGTGTGATAGGACATTGATGCCAGCGACACCATGGCCAGCTCTGACGGGGAGACATTCCCTCCCAGGAAATGGTACAGAAGAGTCCCTTTCCTGTCGCAGAAGCCCATCGAGACGAAGCTCACACAACGACATCTGAGCCGGAAGGCGCCAACCCCAAGCCATGCTGAGGCCGCGCGAGGCAATGAATTTCAGACTTATGAGACCATGACACCGGAAGCGCGCGCCAACCTGCTCTCTGTCATCACGTTCGACTGGCTCAGAACCCTCATACGAACGGGCTACAGCAGGCCTCTGCAGTCCGACGACCTCTATGACCTCCCCAACAATCGGTTGGTGATCGATCACGCCGACCGGCTAGAGAAGGCTTGGACTTCAAGGTTGGATTGCAATCGACAGAGGAAACCCAAATCTGGCTTGTTCTCCTGGAGGCCCTTCTGGGCGAGACGCACCACCGAAAGCACAGTCCTCGCCCTCGCGCTCAACGATGTGACCTTTCAGTGGTTTTGGCTGGGCGGAATACTCAAACTACTCGGCGATCTGACGCAGATCATATCACCCTTGCTCATCCGCTTCCTCATCAACACCCTCTCCGATCCATCCCAGCAGGCATACCGGGCAGGATTTGGCTACGCCGTGGGCCTCTTCGCACTGCTTGCCTTCTCCGTCACCAGCAACGTACATGGCTTCTACCGATCCTACACGACGGGTATCCTGCTGCGAGCAGCACTGATGCACGTTATCTACCGCAGGGCAACGACCAAGCTCACCGAGCGCGCAAAGCTGACGCAAGGTCTGGGAACAGGCAAGCTGATGAGCCTCATGAGCGCCGATGTGACGCGCGTAGACTTTTGCTGTGCGTACTTCCACTCGGGATGGACAAGCATATGCCAGATCATACTCTGTCTAGCCCTCACGATATGGTCGATGGGATACAGCGCCTTGCCGGGTTTCGGCTTGCTGGCACTTCTGTACCCTCTTCAGTCGTTCATGATGAAGACCCTTTTAGCTCTGCGCCGCAACAGCATGCCGTTCACAGATGCTCGCGTCAAAGCCGTGGTCGAGGCTGTCTCTACCATCCGCCTCGTCAAGACCAATGCATACGAGGAGAGCCTCTTAGAAAAGATTGGACACCTCAGGAAAGACGAGGTTGTGTACATTCGCAAACGCATGTTACTCCGCGCCCTCAACATAGCCGTCTCCTTCACGGCGCCCACCCTCGCCGCCGTGGTCAGCATCGTGTGCTACGGCGCGACGAGCGAAGATGGGATGCGGGCCGATGTTGTCTTTTCCTCCCTGGCTTTCTTCTTACTGCTGCGGCAGCCGATGGGAGCTTTGCCCATTGCCATCTCATCCGTCGCGGACGCTATGGCTGCTCTTGAGCGCCTAGCGGTGTTCATGGTGTCTTCTGACGAGCACATGGCGAGCGATGCAAAACTTCGAGGGGATTTGCAGAAAAGGGGACGAGAAGCGCCAGACGAGACAGTTGTCCAAGTGGAAGATGCCACTTTTGCTTATCACGACGACAAACAGCTCCTGGCAAATGACGGCGTTGAGGATGAGAAAACACCAGCTGAGAAATCGCAGAGGCTTTACATTGACTCATTCAAGGTCAAAAAGCAGAGCCTCGTCTGCGTCGTTGGCGCTGTTGCCTCTGGGAAAAGCTCGCTGCTTGGAGCTCTCTTGGGCGACATGCACCTGGTGAGTGCACAGTCATGCCACATCAATCTCGACAAGTCAGCCTCCGCGGAAATCGCCCTCGCGCCACAGGCAGCCTGGCTCCTGAGCGAGACGGTTCGTGAAAACATTGTGTTTGGGCGACCATTCAACCCTGTTTGGTACGAGGAGGTTATCCGCCGCTGCTGCTTGCGACCCGATCTTGAGATCCTTCCCGAGGGCGACATGACTGTCGTTGGTGAAAAGGGTGTCTCCCTCTCCGGTGGCCAGAAACAACGCATCAGCCTTGCGAGGGCGATCTATGGTCGCAGCCAGCTGCTTCTGCTGGATGACTGCTTTTCTGCGCTGGATGCACATGTCGGTGCGCGCGTCTTTGACATGGTCCTCAACCAAGCGCGCAGGAATGGCGAAGGCACCGTCGTGCTCGTGACGCACTCCATGGTGTTTGCTCGCCAGGCTGATCATGTTGTGTATATGGATAAAGGGCGTGTGGTGAGCCAAGGGTCATTTGACTATTTGAGGACCCATGACGATTCTTTCCGCAGCTACATCGGGTCTGCAATGGCTGCAGAACAGACTGCGGACGCTGGGCCTGTGAGCTCTGCTCAAGCAACTCAGCATGAGGAGACTGACTTGCCGCCCGCTGGTGTGAATCAAAAGGCTGAGCGAGCCCAAGACCCGCCAAAGGAGAAGACTGTTGATTCCGCTCCCGCCGATGCGAAGGCAGCCCCAGCAGACCGAGGCAAAGAGATCATGCAACGCGAAGAGAGACTGGTGGGCACCGTCAGCGGCAATACGTACTGGCGTTACATCAAGTTCGGCAACGCCGTGATCACCGTACCGCTCTTCTTCCTCTCCATTGTCGTCTACCAGGGCTCGAGCGTCGTCTCGCCTCTGTGGCTTAGCTGGTGGCAGGACAAAAAGTACGAGTCTATCAGTGAAAGCGCTTACATGGGTGGCTTTGCTGCCTTTGGAATCGGGCAGTCTCTGGGCTTGTTCTTCATGAGCGCCACTTTCGCCCTCTTCTGCTTCTGGTGCTCCAACAAACTCCATGCAGCAGCTCTGACGAATGTCCTCCTCGCCCCTGTCGCCTTCTTTGACACCACGCCGCAGGGACGCATCACCCATCGCTTCAGCAAGGATGTCGACGCCGTCGATAATGTGGTCGGCGAGCAGTTGCGAATCTTCATGTCAACTCTGGTGCAGGTGATTGGGACCATCATCGTGGTCAGCATTATTCTGCCCGTCTTTGTGGCCATTGCTGCCGGTGTTCTGCTGATCTATATCTGGACGGGCATGTACTATCGTCCGTCGGCACGTGAGCTTCGTCGTCTCAACAACCTGCTGCGAAGCCGCATCTACGAACACTTTGGCGAGTCTCTTTCTGGGCTCCCAACACTGAAAGCATTCGGCGCAGTCGATCGCTTCGTCGAGGACAATGCTCGCAAGATTGATACCGAGAACACAGCCTACTGGCTCTCGATTGCTTGTGTGCGATGGCTCAACCTTCGCCTCGACCTCTGTGGCGCAACACTCGTGCTTGGAGCAGGCCTCCTGGTCGTTGGTCTCCGCGACACCATCAACCCGTCATCGGGTGGTGTGGTCCTGTCGTACATTGTCACCGCGCAGGCGGCTTTTGGCAACATGATCCGACAGAGCGCCGAGATTGAAAACAATATGAATTCGGTGGAGAGGATGCTGCACTACGCCTACAACATCGAACAAGAGCCAGCCCACAATGTCGAAAAAGCGGACAGACCGCTCAAGGAGTCGAATTGGCCCAACGAAGGGCGCATCAGGATCGAATCCTTGACGCTGAGCCACCGCCCTGGCTTGGACCCGGCCCTCAAGGATGTGACGCTCAATATCAAGCCTGGTGAGAAGATTGGTATTGTCGGCCGGACGGGTGCTGGCAAGTCAACATGTGAGTCGAGTGTACTTTGTTCTTCAGCATCCGCCTAACCACTTGCAGTGATCACAGCATTGTTGAGGCTCACTGAGCCTACAAGCGGCCGAATAATCATCGATGATACGGATATCCATACAATTGGTCTGCAGCTCCTACGAACGCGCCTGTCCGTCATCAGCCAGGATGCAGTGCTTCTCGCGGGCACAGTCAGATACAATCTCGACCCTTTTCAGCAGTACGATGATGCATGGTTGACCAAGTGTCTGCAAATCGTTGGTCTCGACGCTGATGAGAGCTCCGAAAAGGCCTCTGAGCTCGAGGGCAGCGACGCGAGCGACTTTGACAAGGGTCGAGAAGGCAGCACGTCTGTCCTCCACCTCGACTCTCAAGTCAAGGAGAATGGCACCAACATCTCCCATGGCCAGAGATCCCTCATCTCCATCGCTCGTGCTCTCGTCCGACGGGCCAAGATTGTTATTTTGGACGAAGCAACGGCTTCCATTGACGGCAAGGCCGACAAAAGGCTACAGACCATGCTGAGAGATGTCATGGGCGATGCCACTGTGCTCACCGTGGCGCATCGTCTGGACACGATTATTGACTCGAGTGATCGCGTCCTAGTCATGGACCGCGGGCGGGTCGCCGAGTTTGACAGCGTGCCAGTGTTGTATGCACGGCCGGAAAGCTTGTTTCGAGCGCTCTGCAATGCTGCCAAGATTACTGTCCCAGGGACAGGTAGCTAAGCCTCGGTTGGCCACTACCAACAGCACCACAGAGGCGCTTGGTCTTGGTGTACTAGACTATTTCATCACATAAACCCACACTTGAGCCATCGTGGCGTTCGAGGTAGCCACCATCTGGTAGTGAGTGTCAAGTGATGACAATGGCGATATGTACTGTACAATAAAAATACAAGGCATGTATGAGACCGACCATCCGGCCCATTCCGCTGTTCCTGCACACCGCACGTGAGGCCGGCTTCGGCCTAGTCTTTTACACTACTCATCTTGAAGGCAGCCAAGGTTATGATCGGGTCGACCTGACCTGCTGGCTGGCGTCGGTTTTACGTATAGACACATGGATCGTGAATAGTGGGGGACACGCTGATTCGGCTGCCCAGCTTTCAACAAGCACAGAAAAGCCGCATCACGAGGGAAGTAGGGATAAGTAATAACCAACAGGTTCACGTACGCAGTAGTCGCCAACCAATGTCAGGCGAGAGCTGTCACTGAATGGAGACGGCATCTGCAGCTGTCGCTCAGCTCACCCACGCTGAGCGGGGGTCAAAGCAGGCTGGCTGCAGAAAGCTGTTTTTTTTTTTTTTTTTTTTTTGCAGGATCTTGGAAACAATCCTCTTGAACGCCCTTTCTCGTTGGTCAATGTTCTAAGCCGTGTTCGTGTGGCTGCTCTGTAGAGCATCTTGGCTTTCCGTTGAGCGCCAGAGAGGCCTGTTTTCTTCCAGGGGTGTCGAGAGTCGAGACAGTCGACACAACAGTTCCCTGCACTGTGCTTGATTTTAAAAGGTAATAATCGACATGGTTTCGACAGCCAAGACGGCAAGATCTCTCCGTCGAATCAAAAATCGAGCTAGGACAAGGATCGTCGGAGATGGCTGCGGACTCCTCACGGTGTGATGATCTGATAAAAAAATTTGCCTCAACAGACGACCCGGCGTTGGCTTGGCCCTCGTCCGGTCAGTCCATCATGGTTGGTTCCCTGAGTCCGATATCGTCCGTGAGGACCAGACTCGAGAGCGTCTGGACCAGTGGGTACACAGCTGTATGCCGCCGTGCGGTGTGATGCCGTTGTCCCAACGATTGCTGAGGGCCCTGGCAGACGGCACTGGGGTTCACGGGTGCGGTGGCCAAATTCAGCTTCCAAGTTCCACTAGACTGTAGACCCCGGAAGTTCACCCACTGTGGCTTGTCACATTCGATTGAGTGGGCATCGGCTTGCGACCAACTGGTTATCTGATCTTGTAGAAATACCTACCGCGCGCAGCATCATCGGCCATACTCTCTCGTCTGCCATCCTCCCTTCCCCATCTGCATTCACGCACACTTCCTTTGCTTGCAACTCTCCAACATGACGTCCGCAGCTGGAGCCAAGCAGGCTCCTGGCCACGATACCGAGGCTGCGCAGCCTGCCATGATTCAGCAGACAGTCGAGACGGCTGGCAAGACGGACACCTACTCCTCTGCCGACGGCCACTCGCAGCGCGGTTCGAGTCCCAACGCGACCCCCGACTCGGGCGGCCACAAGGAGGCTGGCGTGAGCAAGGTCGAGGCATTCAACAAGGTGCTTTACCAGTCAGGCCGCAAGGGCAAGGTCCTGCTCTGGGTGCTGGGCGTCTCCATTGGCTTGACCATGTTTGCGTACGCGCTTGACATGGGCCTCACGAGCAGCATCTTCAGCACCCTAGCCTCCTCCACCTTTGGCGTGCACAGCTCGCTCGGCGCCGTGAGCACGGCCAGTCAGATCATCCGCGCCATCAGCAAGCCCTTTATCGGCAAGCTGGCTGATATCACCTCTCGACCGACCACCTACGTCGTCATTCTCTGCTTCTACGCCGTCGGCTTCGCGGTCGCTGCCAGCGCCAACAACTTTGCCTCGTACACGGTCGGTATCTGCTTCACCTCGGTCGGCAAGTCGGGCCTCGATCTCCTCAGCGACATCATCGTCGGTGACCTGACCCCCCTCGAATGGCGCGGCTTCTTCGGCGCCACCCTGTCCTTGCCCTTTGTCGTGACGTCGCCTATTAATGGCTTCATTGGTGAGGGATTCGTCGACAACTGGCGATGGGGCTTGGGAATGTTTGCCATTCTTGTCCCCGCTCTCCTCCTCCCCGCCATCTTCACCCTCTACACCATGCAGCGACGCGGTGAGAAGGCCGGCATGGTCACCATGGCCGACTCCAAGAACGTGCGCACCGGTCTCGAGGAGGGTGGTGCCAAGGGCTTCATGTACTGGGCCAAGCTTCTGTACGCCGGTCTGATCGACATTGACATTGCCGGCCTCGTCATCCTCGGTTTCGCCTTCTCTCTCATCCTCCTGCCCTTCACCCTCGCCAAGAGCGCAGTCGGCGGCTGGGGTAACCCGAGCATGATCGCCATGCTCGTCATGGGCTTTGTGTGCCTCGGCTTCTTCATCTTGTTTGAGATGTTCGTCGCCCCCAAGCCCATCATGACCAAGCGCATCCTGAAGAACCGCGCCTTCCTGGCGGGTGTTACCATTTATACCTTCAACCAGATGGCCTCGTCAGTCCGCAACACCTACTTTGCGTCTTACATCTACATCATCAAGGACTGGACCACCTACGAGTGGATCATCTTCCTAAGCACCACGATCATGGGTCTCAGTCTGCTCGGCCCCGTTGTCGGTCTCATCCAGAGGAAGACCCATCACTACAAGTCCATGATGGTCTTTGGCGCCACCGCTAGGATTATCGGGTACGGTATCATGGTGCAGCCCAGCGGCAACATGACGCAGGACACCGCCCGTCTCGTGGCCGCGCAGCTCATCTTCTGTTTGGCCTCCTTCAACGTCGTCGGTGCCCGTGTCGGCACCCAAGCGTCCGTGCCCCACGAGGACATGGCGTCCATCATCTCCGTCCTCACCCTCTGGTCCACTCTTGGCTCCAGTATTGGCAGCGCCATCGCGTCTGCCATCTGGACCAACCAGATGCTCGACCAGATGTACGTGGAGATGCCCAACGTGCCCAAGGACAAGATTCTCGAGATCTACGGCAGCATCACCGCGCTGCGTGACGAGTACGACTTTATGGACCCCATTAGGCAGGGCTCCATCCGCGCCTATGCCATTGTCAACGGTAACATTACTGTCACGGCCTTGTGCTTGGCCTGCGTACCCTTCATCGCCTCGTTCTTCATGCCCGACTTCTTCCTCGGCAAGCAGCAGAATGCCGTCACCAACACGGGTCTTGATGGCGAGCTTGTCGACGTTCCTACCAAGAACGGAGGCCAAGAGGTGGTCGATGAGAAGCCCAAGACCATGTGGGAGAAGATGCGGGATGCATACCGCAAGTAAGGGGGAGTAATTCCGGACGTGAGAACCTGCTCGTCATGAGCCTGCGCGGGCATTTTCCTGTCTGCAGTAAAAGAGATAGGTTTGAATAATACCCACAAAGATGTTTGGTGCCGCGAAAGCTTGACTGGTGGATTGCACTCGTACTTCTTTTCCCATGGGTAAAGTCCATTCTCAGCGCGGTGGAACGTACTCGATTGCACATCCTGAGCGAATATCTGCTTGAACATTCCTTTGTGTGCGGTGACTAGTGACGAGATCATTTGTCCAACCGCAGTGTGGGTCTCTATCTAGCCTACCCTAACGTCAAATCACCACGCGCGACACGACACATTATACGTGATGGGGATATGGCTAAGAACCTAACTCCCTGTATTTTCCCTTCGTAGCCTCTAGAGCTGTCTCCAATGGATCTGCGATCTCGTTGAAACGAACTTGGTCTCCCCACAACCCCTAGAAGTGTTTTTGTCCTATTTAATCCACATTGATTCAAAATAACCGCTACAAGGCTGCGCTTCGCTATTAGTTCACATTCTACACCGAATCCATCGTTAACTTGACAATGCCATAGTCATAGAGAGGATTCGTAATCACTGACTCATCATAAATAAGAGTCAAAGAAGCCTTTGCAAGTACGACCCGGGGAATTCGATCCGCGGACTCCGGGATCCGAACGGAGAACGGAAGCTTAAACTCGGACGACGCTATCCCCGGTCGTGACCCACCTACCTTCCTATTCTGGGCAATACATGGCAACTCCCGCTCGGCTTAAAAAGTCAGAGGCGACGTCCGGCTTCGACAATGGCTTCGCGCCTCCTTGCCCATTGCTATGATGCTCTAACATAACGCGAGCGCCGTTGTTTCGCGGATGTAAGATGCCACCCTCTCTTCTACCACGAGAGCCTACCTGGGGCCACAGCAACGGCGGTGCAGAAGACCAGGACACAATCACCCACGTCATTGTCGATGCCGAGACGGAGGAGGCAGTTTCTGGGCTTCACAAAGCCGTCACAGAGCCCCACGACAACAGCGCCATTCAGAGCCTGGAAAAATACCTACAGAATGGCGATACAAGCCTACGACCCCCTCCACTGAGCGTCTGCTTCAAATCAGTTACAACCTACGGTCGAGCAGGAGGCGCTGCGCCTGTCAAGACGTTGAGAGAAGCGATCTGGAGAACCTTGACACTTCAAGATATTTACGAGCTTACTCTGAAGCGATTTATGTCACCTGTCAGGCCTGAAGATGGCCAGGCTCTAATCAGAGACTTTTCCGGTGTAGTGCGCAATGGAGAAATGATGCTGTAAGTGTCACTCGACGAGAGCCTACGTGTGTGTACATAATCTGAGTCATACTACAGCGTTCTAGGGAACCCTGGATCAGGATGCAGCACATTCTTGCGCACAGTCGGCAATGATCACAAGTCTTTCCTCAACGTTAGCGGTTCCATTGACTACTCTGGCCTCTCACCGCAAGAAGTTTCCCAGAACTACCGCGGTCTTGTCACCTACATCCCCGAAGACGACTTGCATCTCCCAACCCTCACCGTCCGCCAGACCCTGGACTTTGCGCTCAATAACAAGACACCGAAGAGATGGCTACATCACGCGCCGCGCTTCGTCGAGGAATTTGGCAGCGCATTCGGCATGACGCACGTCATGGACACACTTGTCGGCAACGAATTCATCAGAGGCGTCTCGGGCGGTGAGCGCAAGCGCGTCTCCATTCTGGAGTCGCTGGCGTCAGATGCATCTGTCAATGCATGGGACGGCTCGACAAGGGGTCTTGACGCCTCTTCTGCCGTGGACTTTGTTAGGTCTCTTCGTATCATGACGGACGCTTGCCAGCGAGCCACAATCGTGTCGCTCTACCAGGCATCTGATAGCATCTACAACCTCATGGACAAGGTTCTCCTTATCGATGAGGGACGCATGCTCTACCAAGGCCCAAGCAAGGACGCTGAGGCTTATTTCAACGACCTTGGATATGAGCGTTTGTCTCGACAAACAATGAGCGACTTTCTCACCAGTGTCGCTTCGGGAGACGCTGCCAATATCTCTCAACGGTCTGGCAAGGATGTCCCTCGCGGTGCCGAGAACCTCGAGGCAGTCTTCCGGGCCAGCCGGGCCTTTGAGAAGGTGCACGAGGAGATTAATGCGTATGAGTTGGAGCAGAGCCAAAGCCGTACCGACACCTCCGCGCACAGCATGTCGTCATCCCCGGATGCACTCCAACAGCACGTCAAGGAGACCAAATCGCGATTTGTGAGACCAAAGTCCTCCTACAACATCTCGTTCTTTCGTCAAGTTCTGCTGTGCGCCAAGCGCGATGTTTGGCAGCTCAGGGGCCATAAGGCTCCGTTCGTCTCCAAGTTCATTTGCATATTTGTCTGTGCGTTCCTGCTGGCGTCCATGTTCTACAACATGCCGGATGACTCTGGAGGTGTCTACTCAAGGGGAGGCTTTTGCTTCTACTCATCCGCGTTGGTGGCATGGTTTCAGCTCGCTGAGCTTGATGCGGCATTCCACGACAGGACGGTAGTCAGTCGACAGAAAAGATATGCAATGGTGCGCCCTAGCGCCGTCGTTATTGGAAAGGCACTCCTCGATGTGCCGTTGGTGTTACTCCAATCCGCGACCTACAGCGTGATTGCATACTTCCTCAGTGGAATGAGGATGGACGTAAGTGCTGTCTATTAACATGTCCGCTTGACATGTGTACTGAACCCCCTGGCAGGCTGGAGCATTCTTCATATTCCTATCGTCGACCTTTCTATGCGCCATGGGCTTCACTGCTTCGTATCGCGTCTTTGGCGCTCTGTCACCGCAACTCGAGGTCGCACTACGATACTGCGGAGTATACCTCATCATTGCGATTGCTTGTGGTGGCTATGTCCGATCTGTCGAACGCATGATTGCAGATGTGCCTTGGGTCGGCTGGCTCGCAGTAGGTTTCGACTTCGTTTTCAGTTAATTCCTGAGTGATCGGCTGATTTTGAGCAGTATACCACACCTGTTCCATTCGCTTACGAGAACATCATGGCCGCCGAGTTTCACGGACGCGAGTTCCCATGCCAATCGGATTCCATCATCCCCGCTGGTGCATCTTACAACGAGCCCGATTTCCAGGCATGTGCCTCGCCGGGGTCAACCCCTGGACAGCTCGACATCCACGGCAATGAATACCTTCGGAGTGAGTTTGGATTCAGATACGGCAACATTGGCCGCAACTATGGTATCTTGCTTGCCTTCATCTTTGGTTTCTTATTGATCAACATGTGGGTCGTGGAGCACGTGGACTGGGTGCGTAGTGGCGGCGCCCTTCTCGAATTTGCACACGGCCGCAAGGGGAAGCGCAAGGCACACGGTTGTGATGAGGAAAGTGTCGAGCTTCCGCAGGTTTTTGCAGATGTATCTGAACAGACTTCTGGGGCTTCAAGGAGTGAAGAACTCGCTCAGTCTGGCTCGACCTTTACTTGGAGGAACCTTGATTACAGTGTCCCGCACCAGAACGGGGAAAAACAACTTCTTCGGGATGTTTCAGGATATTGCGCGCCTGGAATGCTCACAGCTTTGGTCGGAGCGTCAGGCGCAGGAAAGAGTACACGTAAGTTCTACTCCTTTCCTACCACAGCGGCACATGGAAGCTAAAGAGCGTGCGCACAGTCCTCACAGTTCTCACCCAGCAAGCCACTGGCACGGTCACGGGTAACATGCGAGTTGACGACCAGCCTGTCGGTCCTTCGTTCGGGCGAAGCGTCGGCTACTGTCAGCAAATGGACATTCACGTCGAAACAAGCACTGTCCGGGAAGCGTTCGAGTTTTCGGCGCTATTGCGGCAGAGCAATGAGACAAGTGACGAAGATAAGTTGTCCTACGTGGACCGGATACTTGATGTGCTTGGCATGGTGGAGTTGCAGGACATGACCATCGGGTCTCTGTCCCTGGAACAAAAGAAGCGCACCACAATCGGCGTGGAGCTCTGTGCGAAGCCGCGCTTGCTCCTATTCTTGGATGAGCCCACGAGTGTAAGTCCTGGAAATGATACCACAAGGTTTCTACATATTAATTCTCGCTAGGGCTTGGACAGTCAAGGTTCGATGAGCATCCTGAGGCTGTTGCGCCGCCTTGCGGATGGAGGGCAAGCGATTGTCTGCACCATCCACCAAGCGAGTCAAGAACACTTTGATCTGGTAAGTCTGAAATGCTTCGGGTAAAGTAGACTGTATTACTCGAGCTGACAATGGCACAGTTTGACAAGGTTCTCGCACTCAACCGAGGCGGAGAAGTATACTACTTTGGTGCCGTTGACAAGGTGCTGAACTACTTTACGAATCATGGTGTCAAGGCTTCCTCTGGCAAGAACGTCGCCGATCTTCTTATCGAGATACCCGCACGCGAAGCACCTACGACAGGGGAAGAGTCATGGCCGCAGGTGTGGGCAAAGTCTCCCGAAGCTGCCGAGGTGCTGGCCGACATTGACAGCTTCACCGAGTCAAAAGAGCCAGCCAGGCGATTAAACGATCTGGAAGCATCAGATGCCGGCTTTACGTCTTCTACGTGGAGACAAGCACGGCTTCTCACCAAGAGAACACTCGCTCAATACTGGCGTTCGCCCAACTACACTTACTCACGTCTTTACGCCACATTTGTCCATTCCCTTTTGAACGGCCTCATATTCCTGCAGCTAAACGACACCGTCGCAGCCATGCAATACCGCATCTTCTCGGCGTTTCTTGTCCTTATGATTGTGCCGGAAATCATCAACGCTACAGCCATGATGTTTGACGAGAACCGCAATATCTGGCTGGGGCGCGAGTATCCGAGTCGTATCTACGGTTGGACCGCATTCACGACGGCTCAGATCCTTGCCGAGATACCATTCGCACTGGCTGGCGGCTTAGTGATCTATGTGCTGCTCTACTTTATGGTTGGCTTCCCCCTCGGGGTCGCGGCTGGCTATACCTTCCTCATGATGATCCTCTTCCAACTGTTCATCACGTCCTGGGGACAATGGATTGCTGCACTGAGGTGAGACCAGATATCTCTTGCTCATGAGTACCACTGACACCGTGGAATAGTTCGGACGCCTCCATGGCCGCCAATATCATGCCTTTCTTCGTCATTGCTGCTGAGCTCTTCAACGGTACTGAAACCTGAACCCTATGGGTCTACTGGCGGCTGCTAATCCCTCCTAGGCGTCCTGCAGCCCGCATACCTCATGCCCGCAGTTTGGCGCTACACGCTGTACTACATGGGCCCCTTCACTTATTGGATCTCCGGCGTCATGGCAATCATACTTCCACGGATCACTGTGGAGTGCGCCAATTCCGAACTCACCCGCTTCGATATTCCTGCAGGCACCACGTGCGGCGACTATGTCCGGGACTGGCTCGACGACACCATTGGGTACTTGTCGAATCCAGATGCCCCGGCTGACTGCGGCTACTGCCAGTACGGCTCGGGCGAAGATGTAAGTTGGACACCTTGGCAGCTAACTGAGCTTCCACTGACCAGTTCAGTATCTGTCCACGTTGCAGGTCAAAGGTTCGTATGCCTGGCCGTGTCTGGCCATATTTGCCGTGTTCACGTGCACAAACTACCTTTCAGTGTACCTTTGGGTATATGTGAAATCTGTCAAAAACTGGCTGCCATGGTAGACATCGCTTTCTTTTTGGCTTGCGGAAAAGGGGGAATTGATCACAGGGGACGGACATTATAGAATAGAATAACACGCAATGGGAATCACGGAGATTTGTATGTCTCTTTGCTAGACAACATTCAATGACTGGTAATAAGCCTGTATAAGACAGACATCTTCTTATGGAATAGCTCAAATAGTCTAGGTGGTTAGGGCACCACGTTGTGGGATCACACATTCAGAACCGTGGAAACCCCAGTTCGAGTCTGGGTTTGGGCACAGAAGTCAGCAAGCGCTTGGATAAAATGTTGCCGCTGCGGCAGCTCCGGGTGCTTGTGTTTTTTGTTTTCCTGTATATTTATTTCTCACATTTTTCTTCTTTTTCTTTGGCGCGTCCTGACTCAAAGACATTCTTGATCAACTAACACACGCGACAGGACAGATAGCATGGTTCGTGAAATATTGACCAGGGATCAGACACGAGCGCTTCTGGTTCTGAAGAGTATAATTCATAATTATCAGCTGTCTACGAGCCTCCAGCGTCCCAAAAACTCTTGTCCTGAGCGGAACACCAGTCCTGCCCTTACTCCCAGAAACCATCGGGCCAGAACTCCTCGAGCCACTCATACGGGTCCTCTGGCTCGTACACACTGGTGACGGTGCCGTTGAAGCCCTCAACAATGTTGTCTGTCGTGGTGTTATAGAGAGCATACTTCTCGTCGGGGCCCTCGCCAATGTGGTAGGGGACCGTCTGCACGTTGTTGCCAATCTCCTTGGTGACGATAATGTCGACGTTGTCGATCTGGGCGTTCTTCAGGCGGAATTCGTCACCGTAGTTGGGGTTGATCTGGCGCCGTCAGCACTGTCAAGGGCAAAAGCGGGAATGATGTACTCACAATGCCCATGCGGATTCCGTCGACGGCCACGACGTTCTGAATGGTGGCGTTGCGCTTGGCTTGGTTCAAACAGTTGCCACAAGACTGGTAGAATGAACCAAAGGTGTTTGCGTAGAAGCCGGTGATGTTGTATTTGCCGCCGAGAGAGTTGTCTTGGAAGATCTAGTGCCGTCAGCACGAATTGTGGCTTCATCTCATGAGTCTGTTCATGTGCATACCTTATCAGTCGCATTGCGAGCGCCGCCACCAATGACCTTGAGCTGGGTGTTGAGACCCTTTGCAGTCAATGCATCTTCGCAGACATCCTCCCACCATACTGAAAGGTGTGTTAGATTGTACATAATCCGAAAAGCGGCTACGTGGGATACTGACCATTCTCGACCCAGGCGTCGCCCAGAGCGTGGATACCCTCGGATTGATGCTTCCCAATGATCACATTCCTGATGGTGGCACCAGGAAGCAGATTGAAGACAGCGTCCGCATCCGTACCCTCAGCCTGCTCGTTGCAGCTACCCTCGGGCCGCTCATAGCGCTTCATGCCGCCATCAAAGGTGGCGCCGGCGGGGACATAGAAGGTATTCTCAAGAACGACCGTCTCCTTGGCCACGGGAAATTTTGTCACGGGGAAGGGGAACCGAGGAGCTGGTCGTTCGGTCAGCTCAGATTGGGTAGAGTCCGAGTCTCCCTGGGCCCCGTCTCCCGTGTTCTGGCGCTTCATAAGGCGACCACCAGTGTGCGTCCAGTCGAGGACTTGAGATGACTGTGCAAGAATGGGCAGCAGCCCGAGGATCAAGGCAGTCTTCATTGCGATCGGCTTCGGGGGACTAGTGATGGGATCGAAGGTGCTTTTATGGGTAGGTAGAGGCGCTCAAGAACGGATTGACTCTTTGAGGGCAACAGCGGACCAAGTAAATCCAGCTCTCATTAATCGGCAAATGTCTACTCATTTTATACTCGTGCATCATGCCGATCGTTGTTGTCTTTGTTCACGTTGACGACCTCGAGGAAGGACGGAAATATTGTTGTCACCGACGTCATGCCCAATGGATAATACACACGGCTGTTGCATTCGGAGGAACTCTGTTCTGCATTTTCCATGAATCAGAACAACCCCGGGCCACGATGCGGGGAACAACACCCCTGTCGTCTGGGGGATGTAGCACGCGGGGAATACATTTCCTCCACATGCTTCCCTGGAATCTTGAAAAGCCTCCCCGCGCAGACATACACCAGTGCTACTCCTGGGGATATTGAGCACCGATGCAGACGTTAAGTTTTGCGCCTTGCCATTGTTGGAGGATAAATGTGACCTAGAAAGGGCTGCTATGGCTTTCTTTGCCCAGCTTCTGTATGTGCCGGAATTGACTGTGACTGCTTTCCGACGAAGCAACCCTTTCACGTACTCCTCACGCTCAGCCTTGTGGGGTGAAGCGGTGTAAGATTCGGGATCCCAATTCAAGCTTAAAGTATCAACGGTCAGAAGCTACACTTCTCCTGCACGTATCTCGGCAGCGCTCGGTACTTTGCGCCGAAAGAAGGCGGGCGTCTCGCTTCAGATACCACCAAAAACGTCGCTTGCCTGATCATCACTCATTATTTACCCTGTTAAATTCGACAGTCCTGGGGACACTTGAACTTGAAGAATATTTGGGGTTCTTTGTGCCCATTATTATCATTAGCATGCCGGATTTTTATGCCCATAATCACTTGATCTAACTCTATTCATTTTCCCAGGAAAATGTCACGAAATTGTCGGCAAAACGCCCACCCTGGTCGATTTGAGGCCTCAGAAGAGTCACATGCCGATGAGAAAGGGCATTATGATCGCGAAAGTCGCTCCCATAGCCGGAGACTCGAAGTTGGGCCTTGCGGCTGAATCGTCATCGTCGACATTGTCGTCTTCGTCGTCCGACTCCTCGTTGGCAGCAGAGGTTTCCAAAGAGCCTTCATTCAATCCAGAAGATGTCTCTTTTAGGATCTTCTTTGTCGTGCTTGTGGTAGCAGAGGGCCCAGTGCTCTCAGTGCTGACGGTGCTGTCGGTGCTCTCATTGCTGTCGGTTCTCCCATTGCTATCACTCGTCTTCGTCTCGGATGCGGTTTCCGTCGACGTCTGCTCCTCGGTGTGTGTGGGCTTCGGCGCCTCTTCAACAAATGGCTTGATGATACACTCGGTCATGAGTTCATTGTCCTTAAAATTGCCAGATTCTCCAGAGGGCGTGAGGCTCATGACATATCTGAAGCCGAAGCTGCCTGCGCCCCAGCCGACGAAGCCGATAAAGACGTCCGTGTTCTTGGCAATGTACTCGTTCTGGGTACAGAACTTCTCGATGCACGTGGGATCCAGGGACGCGCCCGTCTCGGAGATGATGGCCTGGCGCTTGTTCTTCCTCAGCCAATCTCCGATGGTCTTGAACCCTGCGACGTTATCTGTGGTGCACTCCACGTGTGTCCCCGAGTTGTTGATGTCCAGGTACTTGTGTAGATCGAGAATCAGACCATCCTTGCTGCCATCCGGGTTTGAGATCTTGGCCAGCAGTCTCGCGCTGCCACTCGACACAAAAGTCTCGGCACTTGCGAAATTGGTGCCCGGGAGCAAGATGATCTGCGACTCGGCGCCGGCCTTGCGGATGCCTGTCACGACCTTCTGACAGGTCTGTGCCCACCGGACAATGTCCAAATCGTGAGGTTCGTTCATGATGCCGAACATCACCTTGTCATTGTTGGCATACTTCTTTGCCAGCTGAGCCCAGATGTCGACAAAGTCCTCATCGTCGGGTCCTCCTTGGCCAACGATGCCACCGTTCCAACGAGCAAAGTTGTGAATGTCGATCATGCAGTATGAGCCGGTGTCTAGGCATGCTTTCATCAGCTTGTTGTAGTTGTTGAAATTGGTCTCGTCCATCTTTGCCCCTAGTTGATCGTTGACAAGATACTGCCACGGCACCGCTGCGCTTCCCGTCAGCCCACTGTTGGTCGCATTTCTGGCGCGTTAGCGAATACTCACGAAGCCTAAATGTGTTCATGTCCGCATTTCCAACCCAATGCTGCATCTGACCCTCGCCATCACTGCCACCCATCTCTGTCAGAGGAAATATCCTCTCGCCTGGCGGACATGAGCCCTGGTTCGCTGATCAGTTTTGGGGCCACGAAATCACGAGCAGCGAAAACAATTGCATACGTAAATCTCACAGCCGAAATCAAGGCCCGGTATAGCGACGCCCTGGAGATAGTCAGCCCTGGGAGTGCTCTTTTGATCTGACCGGGAGCTTTACCAAGTATTTGATTCTACCCCACGCAGGCGGGAGGAGCGCCAAGAAGGCTGCAAGAGCGGGAGCAACGCGCATCGTTCAAAGTAGATGCGCAAAGAATTTTGCAAAATTATCCATGAGAATTGAATAAGTGGTTGCTTCGGGAGAGAAGAGGAAGAAGACAGACATCGAGTTGAGTGTTGCTGGGGGAGTAATTATAGAGCTCGTGTTGTACGCTAGCTCGGCAAGCGGATGTCAAGGCTGAGCCAAGCCCGGCGACCCGCAATCACGATGCGCGCTAAGTATAGACAGGCAAGCGAGATGATAATAATAATCCGAGATAATTTCGAATGCTCGTAAGTATGGACACAGTACCTTATGCGCTACGCAAGAAGCGCTTCTTAGGTTTAGCCCGTGTCCTGGCCGAGAATCCAGCTAGCGCTGGGTTCAACAAGTCAGCTCCAGGGACAACTAACAAAGAGAGGTGCCTAGCGCAACCTGGTGTGACTGCGTAAATGTCTCATTGGAAGCTGTCAGACATTGTCAAATTGTGAAAGGTGTTATTATCCCACCGCCATATCCCAAGACGTTTCAAGACGGGCTGGTCCATTAGCATCAGATCTGATCATACGGGGATCGTCGTTCATCGTGGGTTCCAAGGTAATATCCTGGAAAGGCCAACTTGCAAACCTTTGTTCATTACGGTTCGATCGTTCCAAACCGAAAATTAGGTTCAAGGTACCGTTGGTTTTCAGGCCTCCTCGCGTGTTCTACCTACCCTAAACACCAAGCATCTGCTTGTCAAAAGCAAAGCCAAATGTCCTCTTGAATACGAAACAAATGAAAATCTATAGGGCGAGAAAAAATCTGATCAGCAAATTCGGTTCAGGCCTGCCTCATGGGGCAGGGTTGCCAGGCGGCGGGCGGTCCATGTAAGGATGAACGGCGGGACCAAACAATGCAAATTGGTTTGCCCAAGCAAGGCAGAAGAAATGAAGCGGCCCGAGAGCCATTTGAAAACGGCGGAATGGGTGTATTCCATCTACGGATGCCGTGGCGCTCTGAACTCGTAGATGCGTATTGTCGCGAGTGAATAGACAAGGGGCCGTTGCAGACAGCGAGCACTGAGGACAGATAAGTACTTGCTAGTGAAGGTGCGAGATACTGTCAAGACCTACGGTACCAGCTTCCACAGGCCTGAGATAGGAGGGATTGATATCAGTGCTTACTATGTGTACAACTTGCTGATCTGTGAAATGCGCGAATGCCTGCCCATGGGCATTCCTGAAAACCCAATTGTTGTCGAATCCGCATCTTAGCACCGATGCGATTCAGGAACTCGATGGGGACTCGGATGACGGTAGGTGGGGCCATAGATTGGCCCCGCTGATGTCAGTGTGCGCCCAAGAGGAGATGGACACTCCCGCCCCCCAAAGGACGAGGAGCCGGGTCTGCCCCCGCAGGCCGGAACAATATCGTCGAGGTTATATGTGACGTGTCTGAATATATGAATAGGCGCATATGTAGTACATTTCCTATTTGCGACAAGTCGACTTGCCCTGCATGTTTTGTTAAGAAAAGTGCCTGGTGATGGGGGCAAAGATATCCGCGACTCCAGCCGCCAGCCCGGCCTGCGACAGAGAAGGTGGTGCCTGACGACAGGTAGATAGCCAATATCAAAAACACTCCAGTCCTCTCCTGTGATAGGAATTCGGAACACCTCGAAGCCGTGGTAGGGTCGGATGATGACAAACACAAGATGTTGGTTACGCCTCGCTCCTAGCGCTCTGATGCGCGGTACGGACGTATGGAATATTTGAAATCCGGTCCTCTCAAGCCGGTCTTGAGATCGAAGTTGAAAATTCTCCAGTGACATGGGGCTGGCGCTGGGAGCCTGGCACCACTGCACCAGGACCAGGAAGTCATGTCCTACGGAGGACGCTCTCAAAAGTTTTTGGTCGCCAAGACGCTAGGAGATCAGGGATTAGCTACACCCATGGAACTTTTGCACCACATTGAGTGTGGATCTGCCAGGCCGACTTACCCCTCACTATCGAATGCTGTCGTGATTCATAAAATACAACTCCTTTTTCTTTTGAAGCCGACCGTGAAGATGCCGCACACCGATATTGACCGGGAAGCTCACAAGAGGCGGTAAAGGTGGTATCGACTGGTGGCGTTATCAGAAGATCATCTTGATGCCGAAGTTGATTCCTTTCGCGAAGGAATGCGAGGCTGCTGGCCGGCAAGGTATGTTGATTCAAGAGGATAAGGCTCCGGCACACTCACATTCTCTTCAACAACAAGTCTTCGATCAGGAAGGCGCGCGCCGCCTTCCTTGGCCCGGCAACTCGCCGGACCTCAATGTGATCGAGCCTGCCTGGCCGTGGATGAAGAGATATACTACGAAGAAGGGTGCGCCGCGCACACGAAAGGAAGCTATCACGAGGTGGGAAAAGGCTTGGGAAGACCTCTCGCAAGAGCAGATACAACGGTGGATTGAACGTATCCCGAGGCACGTTCAGAAGGTTATTGAATTAGCGGGTGGAAATAAGTACGTCGAGGGCCGGGGAACGTCCCCAGCAAATTTACACCAAAATTAGCTATTTTAGTCGACATGCAGAATTAGCGCGACCAAAAACTTTTGAGAGCGTCCTCCGTAGTGTTCAGCCACGGCTGCCAGTGGAGACCAATCATCCGCCAGCCTTTTCTCTAGTCGCAAACTTGCAGTATCACACAGCGCTAGAGCATATGGTCTAGAGCCAGATGTGTGGGGTCTAGACCAGCAATACTTTGGATCTTTCGAGTTCTCTGTGCCTCAATCCTGTTGGTTATAGTTTCTCCCTAGGTATCGAAGTAGCAGTGCCTTGATAGCATTCAATGGTCTAGTTGCTGGTCGAACAATTTACTGAATTGCTTTGGCCGGTTGGATCGACTGCACGTAGCATGTAGGTATGAATCCGAATCGACTGTCCTTGATGGTGATGTCATGTTTCGCTGAAATACTGATCGATCTGAGGGTGGAGATCGCAGATGATGCAGGTCCTCCAGATGCTTCTGCGCATCCAGTTGTGATCCTTGCGCTATTGTCACTAGATAGGAGCTGTGCTCCGTAGTACGCGTAGTAGTGCTGCTACTCAACCAAGTCAGGGCCTTGCTTCCAACCTCAGATTCCGCATTCCCAACTTGAGTCCACGTTCAGTCCCCCGCGACCTCACCATCAACATCTGCCCCGAGTCCTCAACCGCCCTGGCGTGACCATCGATGCCACGGCCAACTCTGCTCGGGCCGACTCACAATGGCTTGCTGCGCGCCTGCCAAGCGTCTTCACGCCTCGGAAGGCGCTAGAGAGCGCGAGACCTTCAGGTTCGGGCGTCCTCAAGCTGACGCGCAAATGTCCCGCGCAAATGTCCGAGACTGACCGTTCCGCGACTGTAGATACTACCCTTTGCTCTCGAGCTACTTCCGATTTGCCCGCGATGGCCAGGCGCCTCCGAGCCTCGAGCTCACTACGGCACCCGACAGCGTGCTGACAGCCCTGGCTCAGCTGGGCATACACCAGACGGGCACTCAGCGCGCCTTTGTCTCTCTGTTCGACGCGACGCATCAGTACATCCTGGCCGAAGCAACACCCGAATCACGCATCGCCCCGAGCCTGCCCAGCCTCAGCCAAACGGTTCCCCTGACACTGCGAGGCACCGCCATCCCGCGCGACCAGGGGACGTGCGACCATGTGCTCAGCCTGACAGCCAACGCCCAGGACAGCGGCGACGACACCAAGCTGCCCTTGTCCGTCGTCCCCAACCTCACCAAAGACAAGAGGTTTTCTTCGCGGCCCTTCTGCCAGTTTGGCGAGGCTGGTCAGTTCTACGCTGGGGTGCCGATCCGAACCCGCAGGGGCATCGACATTGGGGCGTACTGCGTCATGAGCACGGTCCCGCCCCCTCTGTGGGACGAACAATGCACACAGCGCCTTCGCGACATCTCCGGGGCCATCACGGAGCACCTCGAACTCAGAAGGGCCAGAGCCGAGTCCCGCCAGCATGAGCGCCTGAACAGAGGCCTGGGCTCCTTCATCGAGGGCAAGGGCACTCTCAGCGGCTGGCAGTCGGGAGCAAACACCGCCGCCTTTGTGAATGACGACAGCAGACCAGAAGGCGCCCTCGACGCGCAGCAGCAGCGTCTCGAGACCGAAGATGGCGGGGAACAACAGGCATCAGGCGTATTGCAGCACGATGAGCTGCGCCATCCGCCGCCAGCTGTCGCCACCGCAACGTTCCCCAATCGTGACTTGGACGTATCCCACGTGATCTTTTCCAAGGCGGCCAATATTCTTCGAGAGGGATTCGAAGTGGACGGCTGTGCGTTCCTAAGCACGGCGCAGGCTGCCGACTGGCGGCCCCGCCCTTTTGAGGAGGGTGAACCGGCTAACAGAGATATCACCACCGAAGAGGCGACGCTGACGGGCAGCAGCAGCGAGGATCAGGGTCGCCCTCTTGATAGCGAGGCACGAAATGCGCCCTGCGGTCTGATCGGGTTTTCCACCACGGAATCCTCCAGCATAAACCACCCTGTCGCGGTGGCCCCCAAGTTTGGAACCATGCCGACACGGTTCCTCGCCAAGTTGCTCAAACGGTACCCCCAGGGCAAGATTTTTCACTTTGATGCGGAGGGCGAACTCCAGTCAAGCGACGCCTCGGAGGAGGGGGATGGCATGCCAGAGCCGCGCCCTATCAATGACAGCAGCGAAGCAGCGTCGCCTCCCAGGGAACAGCGTAGGAGAGCCCGCAGGAAAACCCACGAAGTTGATTTTCTACACCGCGCATTCCCTTCGGCGCGCAGCGTCGTCTTCGCGCCCGTCTGGGATTCAAGAAATCAGCGATGGCTTGCCGGGGGCTTCATGTACACGTGCACCGCGTCGCGCATATTCACCACCCAAGGCGAGCTCAGCTTCTTCTTGGCGTTTGGCAAGCTCGTCGCCTCGGAAGTCAACAGCCTGGAGACGTACCAGGCTAACAAGGCCAAGTCGGACACCCTCGGTTCCTTGTCTCACGAACTACGATCTCCGCTGCACGGCGCCGTTCTCAGCTGCGAGCTGCTCAGCGACACGGACCTGGGCGTGTTCCAGGGCAACGCCGTGCACACCATCGAAACGTGCTGCCGCACCTTGCTTGACACCATTGATCATCTACTGGATTACTCCAAGGTGAACAGCTTTGCCGAGGAGAATGAACAATCTTCTGGCAACGGCAGTCGCCCGCGTCACAAGGGGGTCGAGTCGGCTGGCTTTGGGAAGAAATCTTTGTACAGGCACGTCAGACTAGACGCACTGGTCGAGGAGGTCTCGGAGAGTGTCTACGCCGGCTTTAGCTTCCAGAGCATGTCTGCGGCTAGGGTTTCCATGCAGAGCGGACCAGGCGAGTCGTTCTTGGCCGCTCGCAAGTCATTTGATGGCGGGGTGGCTATGGATCACCTAGGTCGAGCGGGACGAGATTCTCCCTGGGGCAGCACGTCCTTGTACGTATCCATCGATCCATCCTGCGATTGGCTGTTCCACGTGCAGCCTGGGGTGGTCCGCCGTATCGTCATGAATCTCCTCGGCAACGCCCTCAAGTACACCACAAAGGGCATGATCCGCGTCTCACTGGAACAGATGCGAACCCGACCGTCTCCCCGCGAACGGCTTGTCAAGATCACGGTCCAGGACACGGGCAAGGGCATCGGTGAAGAATTCCTCCGGCACAAATTATTTCAGCCCTTCTCCCAAGAGGACGAGCTCGCGCCGGGCACTGGTCTTGGGCTGAGCCTCGTCAAGAAGGTCACCGCCAAGCTGGGCGGCAAGATCACCGTGGACAGCAAGATTGGCGTCGGCACTACGGTTGCAGTTACCTTGCCGCTGCAACCGTCGGTGCAGGTACATGAGTCTCCAAGCGACGTGTTTGACCCCGATGATGGGTTCGACGACCGAGTCCGTGAGCTCAGAGGACGGCGAGTCGGTCTCTGTGGCTTTGGACCAGCGTGGGGCGAACAAGGCCGCGCGCTCGTGGAGACCATTTGCCACCGCTGGCTGGGCCTTGAGTTGTCTGTTGGCGAGGCTACACCGCCAGATATAGTCATTTGGTCAGACGATGCCCTACCATACACGCGGGAGCACCTCGACCAACTGGCCAGAATACCCAACGTCGTGATCTGCCGCCATGCACTGGCGACGCGGCAGCTGTCGGGGGAATTCGAGAATTTCAATCGGGACCGAGTCTTTGAATTTCTGGCTCAGCCGTAAGTGTCCAAACATTTGATCCCTTGGTTTCCCGTACACCAGCTCACACATGAACAGGATTGGGCCCCGGTCTCTGGCAAGGGCCGCCGTGGATGCTGTTCGTAGACGGGCCGGCTTGCCCAAGCTTCTTTTGCAGACACGCCCACCCGGACCGCAGCGTGCCCGGAGCTTACACGACGAAAGTCCTAGTACCAGGGCAGCCAAGGGAGCATGGCTTGAACATCCTAGTCTGCCGCAACCCAACGGGAAATGGGGGGCCGGCGACCATACGCCATCTGTCAATGAGCAAGAGAATGGGATCGGCCGGGGGTTGGCTGTGACGGAGAATGGCGTCAGGAAAAAGTACCTGCTCGTGGATGACAATCCCATTAACCTAAAGGTCCTCTCTGCGCTTATGAGGAAGCTAGGGCAGGCGCATGAACTGGCCTCGAATGGACAGGAAGCCGTCGAGGCGTACATGCAGGATCCTGCGACCTTTGCTGGCATTTTCATGGATATCTCCATGCCTGTCATGGATGGGTTGGAGGCCACCAGGCTGATCCGTGAACATGAGCAAAAGACGCACGCGCAAGCGGTGGTGATCCTCGCCCTCACGGGTCTCGCGTCGCATCGCACGCACCAGCATGCACTGGAGAGCGGCATCGACTTATTCTTGACAAAGCCTGTCAGTCTCAAGGTGCTACGCGAGGCGCTCCAGTCGAAATGCGAGGCGCCACCTTGACGGCGTTTGGCGTGACTTACGATACTTTTACTTATGCACATGATTTGCCGACATTGGGCAATCGCGGGGAGGCAGATGAACCCCAGAGAGCGGCTCCGCACCGTCGCTGAGGAACGCGGCCATAGAAAACACTCGCGCCGTCGGCATCTTTCATAGTAGCAGCCCGACAAGAGCATTGCCAGTGGTGGATCGAACGGTTCATGGGATGCTCGCCCAGTCACCTAAGTGCCAGTCGTGACGATAGTTCGCTCAGGCAGCCGATCAGGCCTCGTCTCCACCCAACACTACAAGATGGAGTTCACGCTGACTGATCACGTCGGTGAGAGGCCAGTGTCAGCTCGACAGTTGCCGACGCTGACACGAGGCATACGTCCTGTCGATCATGAATGTCAGGGATCAAGGCAGTAGCCTCAGGGCATAGCACAGATATGGAGCAAGCTCGATTGATGAAGCATGTTCATTGTTCATTCATTGAACCTCTCATTCGAGATTTGTCCAAGTATGTGAAAAGTCACCGTAGTGACTCGACGAATATGTACAGTATCCCGCTCCCAATGGCGAGACCCCCTCCGCCCATCTGAAGGACCCAGCTGTCTACGCGGGGAGCTTGAAGCCGGTCTGGCGCAGGTTCTGGAAGACCTGGCCCTGGTCGTACTTGGCCGAGACGGCCTTCATGAGGGCAATGTTGTCGGCGCCGTAGTGGGAGATGGGGTCCTGGCTGCCGTGGGCGTAGTTGAGGAACTGCCAGTGCTTGTTGTGGCCGAGCTCGTCGGCCTTGGCGAGGATGGCCTGGTTGAGGGCGAAGATGGTGGGCAGGGTGGCGGCCTGGGTCTCCTCGGTGTCGGCGGTGAAGACAATGTTGTACATGATGACGGGCCCGTCCACGACGGTGGCGTCGAGGCCGAGAACGTTACCGCCCTGCTTCTGCATCACGTCGACGATGCCCTGGGTGACGGGCTGCCACTGCCAGATGAGCTGGATCTTGTTCTCGCCGTCCTCGACGAGGCCAATGGCCTTGTTGAAGTACTCCATGACAATCTCGTCCATGGCCTCCATGATCTCGAGGTTGTGGTCGACCATGCCGGTCTGCCAGTTGGCGTAGAGGCCGAGGGGCGTGGGCCCCGTGAAGATGGGCACGACCTCATGCGCGGGACCGGTCGCGGGGACGGACGTGGTCGACTCGACCTCGAAGAAGGGGTCAAAGACATCGCTGATCTCGGCGTTGATGTTGGACATGATGATGGCGCAGGCCCAGGCGCCGTCGGCGTAGCTCATGGCGCCAATGATCTGGCTCTCGGGCTCGTCGTCCTGCTTGTTGACAAAGTCGTAGTAGCGCTGGCGGACCTCGGGCCGCTTGTCGATGCTGTACGAGTTGAGGTTGGCGTAGATCTCGGACGAGGGCCAGACCTTTTGGTCGATGCGGGTGACGAAGCCAAAGTTGCCCGAGCCGCCCTTGAGCGCCACCCAGAGGTCGTGGTTCTCTTCGGCGTTGGCGTTGACGATGGAGCCGTCGCCGAGGACGACCTCAAAGTTGACGACATTGTCGCAGGCAAAGCCACGGACACCCGTGTGGAAGGAGTAGCCACCGCCGGTGGTGAAGCCTCCGACGCCGACAACGTCCGCGCGGCCGCCAATGGCGACGACGCTGTAGTCGGCGAGGACCTTGTAGGCGTCGCCCCAGGTCTGGCCGGGGTTCATCGAGGCGACCTGGGTGGACTCGTCGTAGGTGGTCACGTTCAGGTGGCCAAAGTCCACGGTGACACCGTCCTTGATGCCATTGCCTCCCTGAAAGGCAGTGTGGGCGCCGGAGCGCATGCCAAAGGGACACGAGTACTGCGTGAGGACCTTCATCAGGGCCGAGACATCCTCGGTGCTCTCGGGCAGGACCATGCACCAGGGCGCCTGCGCGGCGTTGGCGGAGTAGTACTCGGCCAGGCGCGCATCGTAGCGCTCGTCATTGGGCGCCCAGACCTTGCCCACGAGGCTGGGAGCGGTGGCGAGAGCTTTGCACTGCAGGCGAAGAAGGCGTTAGAAACAGACTCGGTGCTGTGGGCGAAGAAAACCCAGGGAGCATGGAGGGTGAAACATACGCATTGGCAGCTGGGCTTGATGCTGCCAGCTGCGGCCCAATCCGCGGCTAGGGCCGTCAGGGCGAGGGCGGTGTTTGAGAACTTCATGGCGTCCCGTGCGTGCGAACGATCCGTGCCACAGAGGGAAGGAAGAAGGAAACAGAGCTCGGCCAAGAAGGTAGAGAGAGATGAAGGGATCGGCGAGGGCGTGCGGCTGACACGTGGGAAAGGATCGAGACTGGCGAGGCTGGAGTGCCTTTTTATGTAATAACGATCGTCCCCCCCCCTGCAACCGAGGGGATGTAAGGGAGGGAGGGATCCGAGAGCGGTTGTTGATTAATGGACTGCGCTCACAGCCACGCCTGGACTCGCTCGACCTGTTCAAGGGCTGGAGGCCGACGCAGCCAGAGGCTAGCTCATTAGCATGCATGTTATTAATTGGCAGCATCAGGCCATCAGCACCCACTGGCTGTGCGTAGCGGTCTGTCCTCCACATGGACCCTGGCGAATTATGGACATGGATGGCCTGCATGATCGGGCCCGTCCCCAGCTCACCGCGAGTCATGAAGACGCCGAATCTCCGTCGGAAGGCTGGCCGCAGCAGTCGGTGAACGGGCTCAGAAATTACATGTATTCATGACCATGGGCGGCGCGTGCCGTCAGTCCCGTTTCCCTCAGCTCGGTCGAGGACACGTCGAGAGAGACTGGCTCGTTGCCTTGCCACCGCCCACATTTCAAGCGACGCCCACCGAACGCCCTCCCGGACGCCCACCGTTCGTGTCCAAGGAGCGGTGGGCCGCGACACACACAGAGAGCCCCTCAATGCCCCTCTTGTTACGCTCTTTCAGCGGTAAGCATACTCCCTCCCGTGCACTATTGAGTCTTGTCACTGGGGGAGGCGCTGGGAGCCGGCTGTCGCGCGCACCACAGAATCTGCGACGACAGACGTCAAACATGCTGGTGTTGTTGGTCGTGCCTCTCCTCGCCGGCTGCTGTGCCTCCGTCGGCACTGAGAATGCACGTGTGCCCCAATGCCACGAGGCGAGAAGCGTCGTACATGTAGATGGCCAGATGCGCGGCACAGAACAGAACCATTTCTGCCTGACCCCTGGTCCTGCAGAAGTGCCTGCGTGGCCGTCAAGGGGGCAGGCCTCGGCCAGCCAGTGAGCGTCCTCGACTCGTCGGGCTTTGGGGGCGGCTGGTCTGACCGGCGCTGAATGCATGCGGCAATATCAGGTCCGATCCGAGGGATGCGGATGCCTGGCCTCACTCAAAAGGCTCACGCCAGGGCCAAGACATGAGTCGAGTGAGGACGGCCGTGCTGGTGGTCAAGCTGATGAATCCGTTACCGAGTCTGCGAAAACAGAGCAGCGTCGCCGATAGTTCAGCCTGCTCGCTTGCGTCTGCGTCTGCGTCTGCATCGGTGGCACACCGTCGATCAACCATCAAGATGGATAAACTAACGTAGTAGTCTAGTGGCTCGCCTCCCAACTCCCAAATGCCCAATCGACAAAAGTCCAGCGAAGCCTTGCCGACTGCCGCTGACGAATATTTTACTGTACACAAAGCTACCGTTAAAAGTACATGCACCTACGTACGTACGTACTAGCCTAGAACGGCCGCCAAGCCCGCATTGATCCAAGCGACAACGCTCCACCAGGTTGAGACTCGGCCCTGGAACGAGTTGAGCATGAAAACACCTCCTTGGCTCTTGTGAAAACTCGGAAGAACCTGCAGAGTAATACATAGTACCTGCATACACGTAGCTCTACCCAAGCGATCGGGCCGGATGGTCTGGGGAATGATGGGCTGGCGCCACTGACCTCGCTTCGAAAGACAATAGATCAGCAGGAAGCCACGATTGATCTCGCCGCCTCATCGACCGGACGGGCTCTCTACGACTCCGTAGGGAATCCGCCAATCCGGTGAGACAGGCAAAGGGAAATTTGTCAAGGACAAGGTGTCTTGGTGTCTTGGCGCGGAATCTAGCAGAAGTGGTCTCGCCTGCTTGCACTGCGACAGTCATCACCACCAGAGCAGCAGTTTCAAATTCAGGGTCTTTATTCAACGAGCAGCAATGCGTCGCCTCGCCAGGATGCGGCCTTTACATGCCCTGGACGGGCAGCATTGCCATGTACGCTACTCCTTGCCCCATAAGACACCATTCGCGCATTGCCCTGAGTCATCAGACTGGGGGGGCATTCCTTTGGATCAAACACGCCTAGCTCTGAGTTCAGCTCTCGCTTCATGTTCTATGTATAAATGGGTAAAGAACCGAATGCGTCGATCTGTGGATCGACGCTCTGATACCAGTGAGTGAGATGTGATACCCATAAGACCATGCTCCCATTGCACCCTGTTCTCCTCCAGTGAGTCTCGCATCTCGTAGAGCGGGCCTTGTTGTCTTTCTTTCCACGTGCGATTAACTTCCGATTGCGCCAGCTCGACTACGCAGCGAGTATACGTGTAAATCTCCCAGTGCCAGTGTCACTGTGTGCAGTTGCTAAGCACAACCCATCGACAACACACAGAGAGGGCCCGACTCGCTTCGCGACAGCACACCGAAAGGCACGCGACCATGTCCACAGAAACGCCCTTTATCGTCGACGGCGAGGTCATGTTTTCACACCCGCCGAACAACTGGCCGACCGACGAGTTCAGCTGGAGAGACCCGGTGCGGTCGTTCGTCCAGGAGCACTACTTCATCTTTGGCGTCATGGGCTCGCTGGCACTGATCGCGCTCTGCCAGCGCTTCTACACCAAGGCATTTCTCTCCAAGGGTCTAGCAGTGGACGATTGTACGATAACACCACCTTCCAACTAACAAACGACCGGGTGTTAACAGTCTGCTAGTGTTCATGTTCTTCGCCTGGATAACCTCGGTGACCACACAAGCCCTCATGTGCTACCAGGTCGCCAACAAGACGCTGGGCCTGCACGGGTGGGAGATGGTTGCTTCACACTTTGCCAAAGACATGCCCATCACATATGCCACGGCCGGCATCTTCCAAATGTGCAACGGCTTCACCAAGCTGTCCCTGCTCACATTCTACCTCCAGCTCTCGCCGCAGAGGGGCTGGAAGATTGCCAACTGGATTGCCATTGCCATTGTCGCCGTCTCCTCCACCGTCATCACACTCATGCTGTACCTCTACTGCCGGCCACCAGCCAAGGCGTACATGCCTCAGCTGGAGGGCGACTGCTTGAATCCGGGTGCGCTGTACATTGCCACGGCCGTCTCCAACATTGTCACCGACCTGATGCTCTTCGTCCTGCCGATCCCCATGGTGGTCAAGCTCCGGATGAGCAAGGTGCAAAAGGGCGGTGCCGTCTTTATCTTTGGCATCGGCTCCGTGACAGTCGCCACCTCGGGCGTCCGCCTCCACTACCTGATGAAGGTCTTGAACACAACAGATCTCACCTGGGACGCGGCACAAGCCAACATTTGGTCGTACGTATCTTCCTCTCTCCTCTCCTTTCTTCTGCAATGACCTCTCCTGACGCGCTGGCCCAGCCTCATCGAAGCCAACCTCTTCATCATCTGCGGCTCCATGCCGACCCTGCGCAAGTTCTTCAAGCACTTTGCCCCGCGCCTCATGGGCGGCTCGTCCGCCAACACCAACTCGAATGGCTATCGACACTATGGCGGCACCTCGGGCGCGCGTCTCGAGACGATTGGGGGCACGAACAAGGAGACGCGCAAGGCAAGGAGCCGCTACATGGAGATGGACGACATGCACGACCTCTCGGCCATGACCAGGAATGACATTGGTACCGACGACAATGTGGATCGGGTGCATAACGACAATGGTAGTGACAAGGCGATACTGCAGACCAAGACAGTCGAGGTTTCGTATTCAAGATGCTGAAGCAAGAGGCTCGAACGTATATGCTTTGTTAGATTCGATGTATCGACATTCTTCAATGTACTTGACTTTTGTCAAGTTGTCCCAGATGTTTGCTTTTAAACATGCGGGCCTGTAGAATACCTGCCACTCTCCCCCATGCTGGTGCGATTCAATCAAATCGAGACATTCTGACGTAGGTCCAAACGTCTGCTACATATGGTATCCTGTCGTTATGAACGTTCATCCAAGTATAGGGACCAAGGTTTTGGTCTTATGGATAGGAGTCCTCGCCTCCTTAAAAGCATCACGTACCTGTCTGCCTACCCTATAGCCTGCTCTAATTCACATCATCAGGTATTCTTGTTCGCGGTTTATATGATAACACTTCTGAGCTTCTTGAACATGCTCAGCACATAGATATTCTTCAGATTTGATAAAACTTCCTTCATAATCCATATAGAGAGAGTTATCGTAGATCTCCGTGGCGAGATACCCGTGTTTCATTGTGATGGTTGATCAAATTGACTGGAAAGGTGGATGGATCACAAGACAATAACAAACACTACCGAGTACCAGAACCCGGAATCAAAGTTTCTAAACTCTAAAACTCACCATTCAAACATTCTAAAGCAGCAGTACTTCATCGTTGCGTTGTGATAGCGGCAGGCTCGACAATGGAGGCTGGCCCGTCAGTGCGGGGACTGATGTTTGTCATAGTCCCAAGTTTAGTAGGGACATGAAGTATAGTGTCGAATTTGCAGTCACGGACACAAGGTGTTCATTAGGCGGGAAATAGTCAGACCGGGGAAATGACGGATAGCGGAGTAGTACCATGAGCATTGCAAGGTCAGAAGACATGTATACGTGACAGGCACACCTGTTGACGGGCAGGAACATGCAAAGAACTTACCCTTTCCGCCTGCGGCTGCCATTTACTTTCAAAACCGTACCATTGTGCTTCACCAGGCTCGACGCAGGCGTCACGTAAAACCGCACCTAGTTAGGGGTGCGCTGCACTAGGTCAGCTGGTGGATGTGCGATATTAACCAGAGGGATAAACAGTGCAACTCGCGCGGTGATCTGCCCCGAGAAGAACCAGATCGATAAATCACAGAGCAAAGCCACTCTTCTTGGCTCCAGGGAACTTCTCCATCAGCCCTTCGATAATATCATCCCCGCCCTTGCTCAGCGCATCAAAGGCTGGGCAGTTCAAGTCAAGCAGGGGATCAAGGAGAGCGTCGTTGACCAGCTTCAGCGGCTTCGCCAGTGTCCTGAACAGGCCCGACAGCGAATTTGGCGCAAAGGTCTTGACCAGCTCCAGCGAGAAGCAGAGGAGGTTGTTACCCTCCAGGAGGGAGGCAGCGTTGAGCACGCCGCCCGTCAAGTCTTCGAGATCGACGCCCGCAAACCTGTTCACGCCGCCAAGGTTGCCGCCAATGTTGGCGAGTTCCGGGTGATGGGTGATGAAGCGGACCAAATCGAGGTTCAGGTTGACGAGGCCATACTGGCCGTTGTAGCGGTACCAGTTTTCCGGGATGCGCTCCCAACCCTTCTTATATTCGAAGTAGCCGCTGTCGTCCTCGCACACGCCCCAGAATGCCTTCAAGGTCTCCTTGTCTGTACCGTCATGAGAATTGGTACACTGGGTCCGTCTCGGGTCACTTACTGAGGTCGCCTCCATAGGGGTTTTCTGCCGAATGATTGCTAAGGAGCCGGGCAGAGAAGGCAAAGCCGGCATTGCGGACAATGAAGCCAGTGTAAGGACCGTACCAGAACTGAGGGTTTGTGGCGACGCTCTTGTGGTATCGCTCCGCAGCGCGATCGCCCATCATGTCAATGTCCATGGGGCCGTTCTTCAGGATGGATTCGTAAACCTGAGTCCAGAGCTCCATGTTCATCGTCGAAGCATCGCCGGTGACGTATAGGTCGTCTCGAGTATTAGAGGAGTCGGCCTCGATCCAGTTGTGGCTGCCATCGAGGCCCTGGGGCGTTCCTAAGAACAGTCATTCAGCAATACGCCTTTCCCTTGAACGGGCTGGAACCTACCTAAAAGACCAAGAAGATTGCCAAGGGGGTTCTGGGACTTTCTGCTCTCTCCACCAATGGAGAATCCAGGCTTCAGCGAAAGGGGATTGCCGACACCGACGGTTCCCATGGTGGACAAGATCGTGGCCAGGTCGACGCCCATGCCGAACACTGCGGGTGATAATGTCAGAATATGCAATATTGGAATCAGGTCTCGGTGAATCTTACCCGAGTTGATGCCCTCGATCACTTCAAAGAACTAATGCCCATATCAGCAGAGGCTTCGAAGCAACGACAAAGGTGCCCTTACACCAGCAACGCCGGATCGAGGCAGATATCCATGGTTGGCGAGGGCGTTGAGGCCCGGGCATGGACCGCGAGTGTCGCCTTTGGCAAAGTTTGGCGCCCTAAACTCATGGGCGCCATGGACTACAAGCGTCAACGCGATGTCTTTGAACAGCTAGATGCACGGCACAAGGTCCGCAAGGCGAGCAACTGACTTTGGATAGGCTCAGCGAGAGGATCAAAGAGGCTGCGCTTCTGATTGTCATTGATCTCGGCGATCTTCTCAAGAAACGAATCGGGCAGCTCGCCATCGTGTCCGGCCAAATTGGCCAGGTTCTCTGGAGTGGGAAATGCCTGAACGAGGCTCGTCAAGGCCACCGGGCCAATAGCAAAAGCAGACTTCATCTTGGCGCTACAACCGTGAGAGAATGACTGAGGTGAGATGTTTGCTGGTTGTAGAACGACCGCTACGACTGGCGCTACGTAGATGTGTGAAGAGGCAAAGATTGTGCGTAATTGCCCATTATCATCGAGCCCAGAGACTTGCGGCACTGCTGGGTCTGCTCCACGGTCGAGCAGATTCGAGATGGCGGCCACGTTCAAAATGACAAGCAAGTGCCGATATGGGGACGATGGCCCAATCAGGAAAGGACAGACATTCTCTTATCCCGGGGAAGGATGCCATTCCCATCAGGCTGGGATGTTTCCAGGATGTGCATGGGGCAGCACAGGCTTTGAAACGCAGCCTTGTTCGTTGACATGCTGGGGTCAGAGGATACGACCCCTGATGCTTGCTAGCGGCATGCACAGCAGACTCTCGCCAAAGTTTGTGGTCAAGGAGAATATCAGCATGCTTCCAGAAGCAAGACTTTATGTCCAAAGAAACAGAAATCAGATCATCGAGCACGGCTCTCGCAGCCAGGTAGTCCCAGTCGACCAAATACCGGTTGCTTGTGAGTAGGGCAGCCTCGACATGAACTCACATTTCAGTCCAGACAGCTTACTTCTGCTTATGTCACGCCTCCCTATTCCACCATAGTCGATATATCATATTTGTGCTTTGCTCAAGGGGAAGCTATCCCAGCTTGTGTGTCATGTACCCATGCGCCCTGGCTTGAGCGGCTTGACCAGGCGGTCAAATTCTCAACCAAGACAGCAGCCTCTTGCGAGCTCGAAGCTCGAGCCCTGACCCTGTACATCTCACCAACACGTGGAGAGTGTCATTTGCGACGCAGCGGACATTTTCCGGACTAAAAGCACCAACCAGGCGGCGGCTCAGGGTTCCGACTCCATTGGAGAGCCTCCGTACAAGGAACAAGCTCTGGATTGCCGGACCCGCAGACCACGCCCGCTTCTCTCTCCAGACCAAACTACCGAAGAGGGGCATTTTTCTCTTCTCTTGACACGCGTCTCATCTTTCTCTTTCGATACAGGGTCATACGTTGTACTTGCATGACGACTCCTAGAAGGATGCAAATTACGGATACTTGGTTCTGCTTCAGGAAAGCAAGCTCAAGTTTCTCATCGTTCGAGTGCCCTCTGTCTATTCAAGTAGCCTCTGGTCCCTTGACAGGCCTTCATTGCGGAAACTTCTTCCGTCCTTAGAGCACATTCGATTGTTTCTCCCATCTTGTTTCGCTCGCTCTTCAATGCTGTTCTCGAACACCGTCGTCCGAGCCATGCTGGCCTTGGCTGGCTTTGCATCCGCTCAGTCGCTATCGGAAGAACAGCTCGCGGGCATCAAGAAGGCCCAGGACGCCTACCCCGACTGCGCAAAGGAATGCATGGCTGAGCTGGTGCCCAAGTCGGACTGCGAGGCGGACGACATTCTGTGCCTGTGCACCAATGAGGCGCTGACGGAGGAGCTGACCAAGTGCGCTCTCGCCGGGTGCACTCTGTTCGAGGGTCTTGAGATGAAGAACATTACGATGCATAGCGTATGCGGAGCGCCTGTGCGGGACAAGCATCTTCAGCCCTTGCTGATCGGTCTGATCGGTGGTGGATTGGCCGGGCTCGCCTATGTAATGCGCCTCTGCTCAACTTTCTCCAAGTCTGGCGGGCGGACGTTGGGAATGGACGATCACATGTGCTCGATAGCTGTGCTGATGTCGATCCCCCCAACTGTCTTTGCGTATACCTGTAGGTCAACCATGGCTGCTGTCTGACGGCCGCGATACTGACATGATCTTTCAGTGGTGAAAAATGGACTCGGTCGCGACATGTGGACTTTGACCGCGGACAAGGTCGAGAACGTCTTGATGTTCTACTACCTGGGGTCCATTTTCTACTTTGCCACCATCACCTTTGTCAAGCTCTCTCTGCTGGCATTTATTCTGCGCGTCTTCCCCGACAAGAGCTTCCGCAAGGTTGTGTGGGTCGTCACGGGCTTGGTCATGGGCTATGGGATCAGCTTCATTGTGGCCACCGCCCTTCAGTGCTCGCCTGCCGAAGGTGCGTGGAAGCAACTGAGGCCCGAATGGGCCGGCACTTGCAACAACATCCATCTGCAAAAGTGGATGAGCGCGATTTTCAACATCGTGCTCGACCTCGTCTTGCTGGCGCTGCCCCTGAGGAACCTCTGGAACTTGCACATGGAGGTGAAGAAGAAGGTCATGATCATGTTCATGTTCTCTCTCGGTATATTTGTGACCATCATCTCCGTCATCCGCCTGCACTCCCTGGTGCTCTTCGCCAACACGCAAAACGTCACCTGGGACTACGTCGACGCCGCCTACTGGAGCACGATTGAGATTCACGTCAGCATCATCATGTGCTGCCTCCCGTCCTGCCGCCATCTCCTCGTCTCGCTCGGCGCGACCATTCTCAAGTCCAAGAGCTTCTCCAGGTACGGATCGCAAGGATATGGCTCCAAATCCAACCCCCTCAACTCCAACAAAGGGCTAGAGCAAGGCGGCGTCAAGGTGGCCCATTCGGTGTCGGTCCAGCAGACGCCCAAGCACGGCGACGAGCACGACTTTGTGCCGTTGAAGGACTATCCCCACAGCAAGGCTTTCGAGAAGACCTACACTGTCACGGCCTCCAAGTCAGATAGCAAGAACTCTCTTTGAAATACTTGGTTTTCTTCTTCTTTTGCCGGTGTCAAGGTCATCTTATGATGGGGGTTGGGAAAGGGGTTTTTTGGGGATGCTATGGGGAGACGTACGCTCTTTTACTTAGAAAATGACGGGATATATCGTCATTCTTTCACGAGAATCTACTACGTTCAATCATACCTCCTGTGCAAGACACTTTGGACATGTCCACCCCTTGGGAACGTGTCTCCTCAATCATGAGTCCTGATATTTGATATCTAGCCCAGAGCTCTTCTCTAACCCTTACCCTCCCAAACACGCGTCATGTTGCCACGATGCCGCTTGCCAGGAGTGTCATGTCGCAGCTGCTGCCGTTGAGTGCGGACGCTCGGCGTTAAATAGGACAGTAGGGGTTTACGCCGTTCAGATTCGGAATCGTGCTGGCAGGCATACCATGGATCATTATCCAAGGCCCCATCTCATCACAAAATGGAGCCACACGATTGCAACCAAGAAGGTGGACAACTCCACTCTGAACAAGGTCCCAGAGAAGACCAACGGTTCGTTCAGCAAGCATGGCGGTGGATCATGCCAGCTGCTGTCATTGGAATACTCTTCTGATAGACAAGGGGGCCTTGCCACGGGGCCCCGCCGGCAGAGAAGCCCCTGTGCCCGGTCGGAAAATATGATACGGCCCTACGGGGGTCTTGGCGGTTAGCTTTTGAGGATGACAAGTCAAGTTGCTAGCAATGGCTCGTGCGCCACGCGAACCACACCTAGACGAAAGGTTTTCCTGAACCATCACTTTTGTCCGACCATCGTCATGTAGGCGGAGTTGTGCCTCCTTTGCCAAGTTATAGGCGCAGAGACGCGCCGACCAGGACAGATGCCGTAGACCGAAGAACAAATTCGCCCAAGCTACGGTATTGCATGGAGTGCCGATCGCCAGTGTCTAATACTCCGCATACAGGGTTCCAATGCCTGGAGCGTGATGCTGTCATGTTGTTTAAGAGCTCGATCCCACCATCGTTGTGCCTCTGCACCAACCAACAATCCAACTCTGTCGCTCTTTTAGGCTTGTCCGGTCGATCTTTCACCTGCTGTTAGCATCGCTTGGGGCGCCAACTATTCGCTCTTTTTCTTATTTATCGCGGTCCTTTCTTTGGGAGCAAAGATGAGGGCTTTCAACACGCTGGCCTTCTTCGTGGCCGGCACGTTTGCAGCGTAAGTGACTTGCTTCTTGATAAATTGATCCCCGTTTGAATGGCAGACTGACTCTTCTCAGCTATACGGTGCAGCCCGTGCAGGACCAGAACATCTACCCGCCGAACGGTTACAGCCACCCCGTCGAGGGTCCTCAGGACAACTCGACCTACGAGTACATCATCGTCGGCTCTGGCGCTGGTGGTTCTCCCCTTGCTGCCCGCCTTGCACTTGCTGGTCACAGCGTCTTGCTCATCGATGCTGGTGAGGATCACGGAACCGATCGTCAGGTTCAGGCTCCCGCGCTGCACCCTTTTACCAGCGAGTACAACCCCATCCGCTGGGACTACTTTGTCCACCACCACGCAGATGACGAACAGAACCGCAAGGATAGCAAGTACACCTATCTGACCCCCGATGGCGAGTACTGGCAAACGCTCGACCTTTCCGGGGACCAGCCACCTGAGGGCTCCGAGGCCCTTGGTGTTCTGTACCCTCGTACAGGTGCGCTTGGTGGTTGCACGATGCACCACGCCCTGATCATGGTCAAAGCCAGCGACAAGGACTGGGACACCATTGCCGGCATTACGGGCGACGACTCCTGGAGATCTGACAACATGAAGGGCTACCTGAAGAGGATCGAGAGTAACCAGTACGTTCAGGGTGCTCTGGCCTCCAGGGGCCACGGCTTCAGCGGCTGGCTGCCAACCCGCCTGACCCCAACCATCCTCATCGCGCAGGACTTGAAGGTCCTCTCTCTCCTGACTGCCGCCACCACTGCTACCGGCAAGGGCCTGCTGGGTGGCCTCCTCAAGACTGTCACGGGCATTCTTGGTGTTTTGGCCCTAGACATTAACACCGACTCGTACGCCCGTGACAAGAAGGATCTGATCTACCAGATCCCCCTGTCCATGAACTCTGACTACGTCCGCACCGGCCCTCGCGACTTTGTCCTCGACGTGGCCAACGCCAAAAACAAGGACGGCTCCAAGAAGTATAAGCTCGACATTGCTCTCAACACCCTTGTTAGCAAGGTCAACTTTGACACCTCTGGCGACAAGCCCAAGGCCACCGGCGTAGACTACCTCCACGGCAAGAGCCTATACCGTGCTGATCCCCGCGCTTCCAAGTCGGAGGACGAGGGCGTTGCTGGTACTGTCCACGCAAGTCGCGAAGTGATTGTCTCTGCAGGAACTTTCAACACCCCCCAGATCCTCAAGCTCTCCGGTGTTGGCCCCAAGGAGGAGCTCGAAGCGCTCGACATTAAGGTCATCCACGATCTCCCCGGTGTTGGCGGCAACCTCCAGGACCGCTACGAAGTTGGTGTCGTTGGCGAGGCCAAGACCAAGTTCTCGCTCCTGGCCGACTGCACGTTCCTCGAGGGCGACGACCCCTGCTATAACAACTGGAAGAACAGGCCTGGAGACTTCAAGGGTGCCTACACCACCAACGGTATCGCCTTTGGTTACCTGCACCACTCGTCCGTAGCTGAGAAGAACGACGATCACGATCTCTTCCTCGGTGGTGTTCCCGCCTATTTCAACGGCTACTACCCCGGCTACTCCATGTATGCTACCGATGGCGGCAATAAGTGGACATGGCTCACACTCAAGGCGCACTCTCGCAACAACGCCGGCGCCGTCACCCTGAAGAGCAGGAACCCCCGCGACACACCCCAGATCGACTTCAACTACTTTGCGCGCGGTGGCGAGCAGGACCTGCAGAGCATAGTCGAGGGCATGAAGTTTGGCATCAAGGCTTTTGAAAGCCTCATCCCTCTTGACGGCGACTTTGAGCGCGTCTGGCCCCCCAAGAACATCTCCACCGACGACGAGCTTAGGGAGTTCGCCAAGAACGAGGCCTGGGGCCACCACGCGTCCTGCACCTCGCCCATTGGCGCGGACGACGATCCGAACGCTGTGCTGGACTCCAAGTTCCGTGTCCGTGGCGTGGACGGTCTCCGTGTTGTCGACGCCTCTGTCTTCCCCAAGATCCCCGGCTTCTATGTGGCGCTGCCCACCTATACCATCAGCGAGAAGGCCGCCGATGTCATCATTGAGGCTGCCAGGAACTAAGCTGCGTTCTCTGGAATGCATGCAATTCACTGATTCTGTACGGTGCATGCGGGTAAGATAGGACGACCTGGACTTTCGCCAATACAACATCAACACTTAATTACATGAATATGTAGATAAATAATTTTCGAGTGATCTTCTCTTTGTTTTGAGATGCGTGACGTGCGTAACTGGGCGCCCTTGTGGCTTGGACTATGTATTTGAAGGCCAGACCACTCCATGGAATAGGCGATTCATGTGAAAATCGCTTTTAATACTTCGATTCCATTACTCTTGCTTGTCTGATAATGTATAGCTCGAGCACACAGCGAAACCCGCCCAATGTTCCGGGCTCAATTTCGATACTCTTGCCATTTGGAGCGAATCTTCATCGTGGCGCTGCCGATCATAGTTACCCACGATGCCATCGATTGAGAGCCCTGGAATCTAGATACGCTCTGCCCGTCGTAGGTCCGGTCTCCTTCCCGACATCCAGACACTCGACGCGGATACCACAATTTGCCACCGACCTCCTGGAACTCAACCTTTTCGTCACATTTCCAGGACCGCCACTCGCCTTGTGACGGCTCACCTCTCATTCTGCAGTGCCAGGGTGCTTGGGCAAATTTCCCAGCATGCACAAGACCTCTGGCAGTTTATTTGTTTCGTGAGAGCCAGGGAAGTTGCCCATCTCCCCTGACCCATGCATATACCTGCTCCACCAGGATGATATTACTCCCGCACATCACTAAAAACAAGCGTCCGGCAAATGCAATTGTTTGTTCCTGCAGGTTATTGACCGGCATCGATAGCCTATTTGGAATGGCCGGCCCCAATCAGGGCAGTGGTTGCATGGACAATAGGACTTTCGGTAGTTGACCGCGAATCTCTGTTGAGTCCTGGTTTCCGATCTTGAAGGAATTCGTTCAAGACGCGAGATTCCCATCCCAAGTAGCAATTAGACATCTTCCAGTGCTATCGACAAAAACACAAGTATGATCTACAACTTCGGCAACGAGGTCGACGTACCTCAAGTCGACCTGTTGACCTTTCTGTTTGGTACGATATTCCCCCTTGACAAGAGTCAAAGCTGACATGCTGGACTCCAGAGTCGCGCCACTGTGCTGCTCAAGAGAGCACGCCTCTTCACGCCGATGCGGACAATGCGGCGACGACTTACACCAAAGCCGACAGCAGAGTCATTGCGCAGCAAGTCGCTCATTTCCTACGCGAGAACTATGGGATTGGCAAGAAAAGAACGGGTGACGATATCGTGGTCAGCTTTTGCAACGGCCAGGCCGCGCTTCCCTTCCTATTCTACAGTATCGTTGGCGCTCAGGGCATATACTCGGCGGCCAGCACGTACTTGAGTGCAGAGGAGCTCGCCAGCCAGATCGCAGATGGACCTGGCAAGTTGCTCGTCTGCAGCGAAGATGTCAAAGACACCGCGGTGGCCGCTGCTACTGTCGTAGGACTCCCCCTGCGGAACGTGCTCGTTCTGACGACGAGCCCAACGCCAGCGCTCACTTCCGTCGACAATAGCCCTTCGTGGTCTTTTGCTGCAAGCCAAAACACCTTGTCTTGGCCAGTCATCACGGATCCGTCCCTGTTGGCGTCCACGACGATCTGCCTTGTCTACACCTCGGGCACCACCGGGCAGCCAAAGGGCGTGCGGATTTCGCACGCAAATATGGTCTCTGAGGCTTTCCTCCCAGCGTACATCAATCGCCCTGTTTGGGACCAGTGGGCTGTCGAGGGGAAACCTTTCCAGTCGCGGACGCTTGCTCATCTTGGGTGCGCGCACATTTCTGGCGTGCAGGGCTATTTTGTCAATCCCTTTTACGATGGGGGCCTCGTGTACTGGATGCCCAAGTTTGACATGATGGACTTCCTCAAACACAACGCCACACTGCAGATCACGACCTTTTTCTCCCTGCCCAGGGTGTACGCAGCTGTTGCGTTCCTACCCAGCATCACGGACCAGCTCAAGTCGCTGCGCATTGCCTACTCGGGCGGCTGGCCGCTTGACCCCCGTGTCTACCACACGCAAAAGCTGGGAGGTGAGGGGGATATGATGGCGCTGTTGAGTCAGACGTGGGGTGCTACCGAGACGACTGGCGCGTCGACGCACATGCCTCCTAGTAGGCGGGATACGACAGGGAGCGTGGGTGGTCTCTTGCCCAATATGCTGATGCGGTGAGTGTGATCTTGTTGTGAGGCGCGTGCATGGCTGACGATGCGCAGTCTTGTCGATGAGGAGGGCAAAGACGTTCCGGCTGCCCAACAGGGCGAGGCTTGGCTTATGGGTCCGATCATCACGCAAGGTTACCACAAAAACGCCGAGGCAGATCGGAAAGCATTCCACAAGGGATGGTACCGGACAGGTGATCTGGTTGAGATCAAAGACGACCTGATCTACGTCAAGGGGCGTGTCAAGGTTTGTACCGAGGCCGTCCAAGTTTTGAGTACGTGGTCGCTGACATACTTTACAGGAGATCATTCGCGTCCAGGGCCAGTATGTGCCGCCAGCTGAGCTCGAGGGCATTATCGTGCAGTATCCAGGCGTAACTGATGCAGCTGTTCTTGGTGTCGCATTGCAGGACGAGGATGGAGCTGAGAGTCAGGTTCCCCAAGCTCTGGTAGTTATGAGGCCAGGGACGGAAACTACAGACGATACTCCTCGGCTCATTCAGCAATTTGTGTCAGATAGGGTCCAGGAGCACCAACAGCTGCGAGGTGTAAAGTTTGTGGACGCTCTACCGCGACACATCAGCGGAAAACTGATGAGGGACAAGTTGCCAGAGTTGCTGTAGTCGGGAATATATATTCTGTGAATCACCCATATATAACTCTTCCATAGGTCGTGTACTCCCACGACATCCAAATCCCAGAAGTACCGATGTCAATGGAAAAACCGCAGATCAGTGCTCATCGGTCCGTCGGGCTACTTTGCAAGATCTCTATTCTTTCTTCTTCGCCTTCGCAACATTGAACCCCGTGCAGCAACCTGTCTTTCTGCCATCGCCCATATTGCCCTTCCAGGAGGCCAGTTGGCCTAAATGTGGCTGGTAGTCGTGTCCAAGTACCGCAATGGTAGACGCCCATCTCGTGACAGACCAGTTGCGCATGACCATTTCCTTGCGTCTTGGTACCCCAGGTTGGCTCAATCCAACGGACGAATATGCTGCCGTCTCGTGGCATCCAACCAGCGCAAAATCACAGGCTGTCGTGTAAGTGGGCAAAGACTAATAAAAGGAGCTGGCGCGACAGAAGGAGGCCACATGTCCTCCCGTCGATCAGTCCAGCTATGAAACTTAATTCAAAACCACTCGGTACTCAAGACAGCCGTGAGCCCCAGCCAAAATTCAAGCTTAAACAGGGGGCAGCAGCACCCACCCAGCCAACGCAGCCAGCCAGCGCAGCAAGATGAAGTTCATCACCGTCCTCCTGATCATGGCCTCCACAGCCGCAGCCCTCCCCAGCATGAAGGCTGCTGTGATTCCACTGCAATCCGACAACGAGATCACCGACGAGTTCCTCTTCAACATCACGCTGCCCGAGTTTGAGACGCGTCGCGGCACCCCCGACACGCTCAACTGGGAGACGGACGGCTGCACCTCGTCCCCGGACAATCCGTTTGGCTTCCCATTCCTCCCTGCCTGCTGGCGCCACGACTTTGGCTATGGCAACTACCGCAACCAGTCGCGCTTCACAACCAAGGCCAGGTTGAAGATTGACAAAAAGTTCAAGAAAGAGTAAGTCTCTTCTGCGGAAGGGCAATGGCCCGCATGAACCAGCAAGCTAACATATGGGGGGCAGTCTCTACTACCAGTGCAAGGACTCCTCCGCCAGGTTGGTCTGCAAGAGCCTCGCAGCGGTCTATTTCACTGCTGTCCGCGCCTTTGGCGGCATCGAGACTGGTCCTGGCAAGCGCGATGTCGACTGGGTCGCCATCTACGAGGAGAAGGTCGCAATTTACGAGGCTCTGGTGCGCGACGCTCAGCAGGAGGGTCTACTGCCAATGCTGTGAGCGGCTGCAGAATGAGAGCCGGACGGTATATGCACACTGAGACGACGAGACGACGAGACGACGGAACGACGGAGCGACGATTGAAGCCTATATACGATAAGCACGTTTAAATATCTACACGCAAACGTGCAGACAGGTGTGATACACATACTGTGGCCTGGCTCTATGGATGCTCCTCGCATGAACAGCCGATACCGCCCAAGGGCTCGTGGATGCACCTATTCATGCACGCTTTCTTCGTACTCTGTCCTCCGCAATGCTTCGTCCACGTCGTCCACAAAGTGACCCTCGCCACCGCACATGTCCACAATGCCACTGCCCTGCATCATCCTCCATATTGCGTTGCCGTGTCGTTTCGTAGGTCCTCTCGAAAAGAACACGCGTGCGCCTCGTTCCCTGTAGTTCGTGACAATCTCGGTCAGAACCTGCATGCCTGAGCCGTCGATGGAGGTGACGCCGTGAATGTCAAAAATGACGTTACGGTTCATGTCCGTGGACCGTAGGCGCGGCAGGGCGGGGTGCGCAGACGAAGTGCCGTACATCTCGAGTCGACGTAGACGAGACTTGAGCTCACCCGTGTTGGCAAACGTGAGTGGCTCGGGGATCTTGACAATCAGGCAACCTTCGATGGACTCAAGACGGGAATCTTCGGCCTCGGCATTCTCAAAGCGGTTGGTGCCCGGGATGCGGCCCATGATCTGGATCCGAGGACGCGTGCTGTGGCGGATCACCATGAGCAGCGAGACGCCGACGCCAATGGCCATGCCCATGGTGAGCGAGTAGAAGACGGTCGACACGAAAATGAGCGCCATGAGCCCGAGTTCCTTCCACCCACGGATGCGAAGGAAGAAGCCAATGTCATGTGGCGCCTCTTCCATAAGAGAGTAGGCAACCACGGAGATCATGGCCGACAACACTGGTTTCGGAAGATAGTAGAAGTATGGCAGGAAGAACAGCACGCAGAGCAGAGCGACGACACTGAGCAAGATGGAGCTCATGGGCGTTTTGCCGCCCGTCTGCTGATTGACCTTGCTGCGGCCGTAACCACCGAATGCCGGAAGACTCAGGAAGCTGCCGCCGACCAAGTTGGCCACGCCTAGTGCGATAAGCTCGCGGTTGGCACTCAGCTGCATGCCCTGAATGGTGGATGTGCCCGCACCGAGACTCTTGGCCGCAACCGACGACTCGAAGAACCCAAGAAGCGCAATGAGAAAAGAAGTCGACATGCCATCGCGAATATGAGGCATGTGGGCAGACTGAAAAGGCCAGCGGAACGTGAAAGGGCTCCCTGAAGGGGGCTTGACGTTCCCCAGGATCTCAATGCCCTGTAGATCCCAGCGGTATTGCTTGCACAGGATGGTCGAGATTACGACCACCAGGAATCGGTCCGGGATGAAGACTATCGACGGCAGCCTGGGCTGCAGGTATTTCTTCAGTTCTCGGAAGAACATGATGATGACAAAGCTGACAGCCGCCACGAGGAACGTGGCTGTGTGCGTCTCTTTGATGTGTTCAATGATGAACCCGACCTTGTCCGCCGAGCTGCCATGGCTGACCTTCACATGGTCCGCCACGTCGGACAAGCCCAGCTCGGGGATCAATTGGTCGACGGTGATCACGAAACCGATAGCGCTGATGAATCCACGAAGGAAAGGCCGGCTCAGCACGCTATCGAGGAAACCGAGTCTCACGAGACCCGCAATGAGCACCATGGCGCCCGCCATTCCCGTCACGACACCGCAGATTCTCGCATGCAATACATCGTTATCTTCGGTACCATCACCTGAATCCACGCTCGCCTTGATAGCCGTGCCCACCAGCAATGATCCTGCAGCCTCGGGCCCAACCACCATCTGCGGGCATGATCCAAAGAGTGCGTACACAAACGGGTTGAAGACAAATGCGTAGAGTCCGTGTATCGGTGGTACGTGCGCCAAGTTGCTCGCGTATGACAGAGCCATGGGTAGGTAGAACGAGGCCATGGTGATAGCCGATACCAGGTCGCCTTGGAGGTAGGACCATTTGTATTGGCGCAGCCAATTGAGACAGGGCACATAGTACGCCATGTACATCAAGGGAGTATCTCGGATGCCCGCCTCCGCGGCAAGCTCGCTGCTCTGGCCCATCTTCTTGGTTCGTATGCGCTTCTTGAGCCAGTGTTTCCAGTCATCGTGCCCAATGATATTTGTGAGCGCGTCGTCTAGTGCTGGGATGTGTGTTCCCGACCCCGGTGTCGAAAAGCCGTCCGAGTTGGTGCGTCCATGGGCGGGGCTTTCGGGGCGAGGGCTGAAGGTGCCGTGGGCGCATGATTCGTCGTGTCCTGACGGCGCGTCCGAACTTCGGTCGAGGAGAGGCGACGACTCGTCGCTGGACGCTGCAGGGCCATTCGAGGTGCTTTCGGATGGGGGACCGCGGCTGCTTGGACGGTGACTCTGCCGAAGCGTGCTTGGCTGGGAGGGTCGGTAGTCACCAGCCGAGTAGGACGACGCGCGGTTGTTCGGAGGAAAGCTCATCGTCAAGGACACGGGCTATCGCCTCGTGAGCGCTCTGTGACGGTGTAGGGACCAGAGGACGGTGGTCAAGTGAAAGTGAGGCGTGGAAGGGAGAGCCTCAGTGACCCACGCGTTGAAGGCAATGGGGGCGAATGGGAGAATCTAGGATTGCAAGCCATGAAGCAAATAACGGGAATGACAGCGCAATCGACAGCGCAATCAATAGCTGAGACTAGCGAAAGGGAAATTGGGGCATGGACTTTGGGGAGCAGAAGAACGGAGGACTCGAATTTACTCGTATCGCATTTCCTGCGCTCCAGTCCCCACGTTTTGCCCTCCGAGTCTAGCAGTTGGTCAGCAGACGCTGCAGACACTGCAGCAGGGTCAGCGGACGGACCCGCTTTGCTGGTGTCAGCTTAGCCGTCATTCGGCAATGACCCGAAACGGTCTTAGGCTACCCTAGACATGTGGTTCCGTTTGAATGGACTCGAGTCACGTTTGAATTTTTTGTAATGGTGGCCTAGAGGCTGGGAAATAAAGGAAAATTGTACAGTCGTCTGGTCACTGCTGGATAATTGTCTTGGTGGATACTTCACTTGGATATCAGGGCTTGGCTCCGGGGGCAGCGTGAATAGTACACATGACTAGTACAAAGACACTCAAATTTAATACATAAATAATCTCATTAAACCGCTATTGCTCGTTCACAAACAGCCCAGCCATTCCTTGACCACTGCCAATGCACATGCTGGTCAACAAAATCTTCTTGTTGGTCCTCCTCAACTCACTCAGCCCGGTGACAATCTGCCTAGCGCCTGTTGCGCCCAGGGGATGGCCGAGAGCGATCGCACCACCGCGAGGGTTCATCTTGGTCCAGTCCAGGGCCAGCGTATCGCGGCAGTAGACAGCCATGCTGGCAAAGGCCTCGTTGAGCTCAATGACATCAATGTCCGCCAGGGTGATGCCCAGCTGGGCGAGGAGCTTCGGAATGGCGATGCTGGGACCAATGCCCATGATCCGGGGCGCGAGGCCGGCAACCGTGGAGCCGACATACTTGGCGACAATAGGCTGCCCCAGCTTCACAGCCGTAGACCTCTTCATCAGCAGCACGGCGGCAGCACCGTCCGTGACCTGACTGGCATTGCCACCCGTGGTCGCGTCACCCCACTGGGGGAACGCAGGTCGGATTTTACCGAGGCCTTCCTTTGTGGTTGCCTTGCGGATACCGTCATCCTGCGTGAGAGTGACCTCCTTGAGCTCACCATCGGGACCCTTGACGCGGGTCGTGATAGGGACAATCTCGTCGGTCGACCAGCCCTGAGCCTGGGCCTTCTCCGCACGCTGGAAGCTCTCGGCCGCATACTCATCCATCTTGTCCCGCGTGACACCAAAGTCCTTGCTCACATTCTCGCTCGTCCAGCCCATGGGCATCATGCAGTCCGCCGCCTCCTGGCTCTTGGACAACACGACCTCATCGAACGGCTTATCAAGGGCGTCCCCACCGATCGACATGGATTCTGCACCGAGGGCGACACCGACCTCGATGGAGCCATTCGTAATGGCGTGCGCAATGTCAGCGGTAGCCTTGAGGCCAGAGGAGCAGAAGCGGTTGACGCTGCTCGCGCCAGCTGTGTTGGGGAACCCAGCTGCCAGGGCCGCAGCACGAAGCTTATACGCTGCTTTGGCGTCGGAGACCTTTGGATGATTAGCAAGCATTCACAAATACGATTGAGACCAGTAGCGTACATTGCCGAGACAGAAGTCCTCCACCAGGGCAGGGTCGACGCCACTCTTGAGTCGGACCTGCTCCAGGAGAGCGTAGATCATGTACTCCAGAGAGGTGTCCTTGAAACCACCCTTCCTCGCCTTGGTGAGTGGTGTGCGGACGGCCAAGGTGATGACAATGTCATCTGGATTCTTGCTCTGGCTACGTGGAAGTTAGTAAAGGGGCCCTGGCCTGGGGGACAGTGGGGTATGGCGTGAGCATGCGTACATGTTGTTGAGCGACGATCCGGGCGCCAGATGGCGGATGATGGAGGATAAGCGTTCGGTAGCCATGGTCACGTTTGCAAGTTATTTTCGGTACTGCGAAATGGTGAGAAAAGAGGATGGCGATGCGAATAAATGTGTTTGAGAAGAGCCGACTGCGTGAGCCTCGGACGGCAAACGGCGGGTATTCTCCATGGAGTAGAAGATACCGAGGCATGAATGAGACTTTGCTGATAAAGCAGCTTCTTGCTTATCGATAACGATTGGCTCCTCGTCGGCAAGACGCAACGGCATCTGCTCCAGAGCGGGCTTATCCGAATGATTATTAATCAGGATTCAACTTCCACACTCTGGCGATTCAAGTCGCTCGTACCTGCAATGGCACCTGTGTTTGCGGCAATAGGAAAGCTACGGCGTGCGTACTGGTAGCACGAGGAGCTAGCTGGCCACGACGGTCGGACGCTCAATAGGGGACACGTGCCTGACAGTCGAGCTGTGACGCGTCCGTGTCTGTCAAATGGCCGCCGATGCTTCTATCAGTCTGTCTGGAAAAGCATGGCAGCGACTGGACCTTCTTGCAACTAGATTGGAATATGCTTGTTTATTCGGGAAACAATTGACACCAGCTGCTTAAATAGATGATCTTCACGTTATCAACCCCTGAACGCCAGGGGCCACCGCCCGATAGGCTGAGATAGCGCATCAGCCCGCTCCGCCCTGTCCTCCACCTGCAGTACGGAGGACGCTTTCACAAGACTTGTCCTCGGCTCAGAAGGCAGTAATCAAGAGCGTAATGCGACTACCTTGATAGTACTTTGATTGCCGCCACAAACCCCCGAAAGAACGTGTACTATTTTTGTATGTTCTGCTAAAAAGTGATATGACTAGCGGCTCGGCAGGACGCTACTTTTGATAGCGTCCCCGTAGCAGCGCGCCAACACTGAGCCAAGCTTCAGGTTGCCTCCTTGCCAAGCTCAAATTCTCGATCGCGGCGTGGCACGCATCGCACCGCCAACATGCAGGCTATGGCATCCGATAGTCCCCATTCATTCCCTGATCCCTTTCGCTTTCTTGCTCTTGCGCCTGCAGTATCTGTACAGCGATCTCGAAGCTGCCACGACCTCACGCAACGGTACGCGACGCGACACAACGCTGCTCCTATCAGCTGCGAACCCCAGCGTCCCCGATGAGATGGTGATTCGTTTGGCGCTCCCGCTGCTTGCGGCCACAGGGGTCTTTGCCAACCCGAAGCGTGGCCTGGTCTTTGTTCCCAACGAGGACCACCCTGAGGACAATCAAATATGGCCAGAAGATTCGGCCATCTCATGGTACTACAACTACGAGTCGCGGCCCTCGCCTGCCTTCGCCGACGTTTCGCGATCCGACTTTGCTTTTGTGCCGATGCAATGGGGCGTCGACGCCAACAACCCATCCGACGATACCTTCCTACGTGACGTGGAGGAGCATTTAGACAGCGGGTGGAATATCACGCACGTGCTCGGCTTCAATGAGCCCGACGGCACATTTGATATCGGTGGCAGCGACGTTCTTCCCGAGGTAGCGGCTGAGGCGTGGGTTGTCAACTTCGAGCCCTTGGCCAAGAGAGGCGTCAAACTGGGACTGCCCGCCTGCACTGGTGGGTGGGATGGCATGCCATGGTTACGCCAGTTTCTCGGAAACTGCTCCGAAATCCTGAGTGACGGCGAGGACGGCAAGAAGAACTGCACGTGGGACTTTCTGCCGGTGCATTGGTACGATAACGTCGAGGGTCTAAAATCACACATCAACGAAAGGAGAGAGGAGTACGTTCCACTTGCTTACTGACGAATGAGTATTGGTCACTGACAAGTTGTAGGTGGCCCGGTGTCGAGATTTGGGTGACAGAGTATGCGTACGCGCACAAGAGCCTCGACGAGGTGCAGGAGCACTTCAACACGACGATTGAGTATTTCGACGACACCGACTTTATCGGCGGCTATACGTACTTTGGCGCGTTTCGAAGCGAGGTGTCTAATGTCGGCCCAGATGTCACCTTTTTGAACAACGACGGAGAACTTACGGATGTAGGGAGTTGGTACATGGGCCGCAGCGCCACTGGTGTTGAGCCGCAAAGTGGGCAAGGCGAGTCTGCCATGATCAACTGGGTTATTGTTCTGGGATCCATGGGCATGGTCACTGCGCTGCTCTTGTAGACAAGGAGTTTTATTGAATTTTGGGCTTGGGCTATACATACGTAAAGATCACATAGAACGCTAGACTTGGACATATGTAACACGAACGAAGGAAGCATGACTAGATTTCGAACAGATATGTTAGTCTGTTATTGCAAACTCAAAAATTAATTGATAACCCCGATCTTCCTAGTCCATATCAACACTAATATCTCTGCCAGAACTTCAAACACCTTGCTGCTGTTGCGCAATCGCCTGCGCGGAGACCATCTCAGTCTGCCCGCTCCTCTCAGACGAATCTCCGTCCAAAGGATGCTCATGTCTTAAAGCTTGACATGGTCATGGTCCTCCTCACCCGACTGGACTCGTCGTCATTCGTGCTCCCACCCTGGCCCCACGGACCGTGGTTGACGGGACGGTCCTCAAGCAGGTGAAAGCGTCGCTTGATGAACTTCCAGAGCTCAATGCCACCCACGAGGACGAACGTCAAACCGACCGCGAGGGCCCACTCCCAGGTGATGTCCATGTGCTTGAAGAAGTCCTTGTTGAGGTAGGGAATGTAGACTACGGGGAAGACACTTAAGACTCCAATGATCACAGACCAGAAGAGGAACTGGTTGGAGTAAATGTCATTGAAGAAGTCGAATTGCCCCTTGGATTCAGGGTTCAGGTGAAACATGGAGTGGCGCAAAGACTTGAACTCCCAAGCGGAGATTAGGATAAGCCATATGAGCTCCGCAAACGTAGCGACGCGCGCCTTAAACACGGCATTGCATAACGGGTTATACCCTTCGTTATACCCATGACCAAGTTCGCCCCCGTAGGCACTATACGCAATACCGCAGAACGGGACCATGGTACAGATCCCCATTATGACACCGTAGACTATCATATCCACAATAACCTGGTTTGTGAAGACGCCGCGCTTCTTGTCGTGGGGTGGCTTTCTCATGATATCCTGCGCGGCCGGCTGCCGACCCAGACCAAACGCAGGGAACGAGGACGTGGCCATGTTGATCCGGATGACCTGAAGAGGGGATATTGGGAAGACTGACGTGCCTGAGCTGTCTGTAAATCCAAGGCCTGCCATAAGAAGAATCACCCCGCCCATGTTGGATGTGAGCAGGTGTAGTATGAACTTTTGAATATTGTCAAACATGCGGCGGCCTTCTCGAATGGCGGAGACCCTGGAGTTGAACTTGTCGTCGGTGAGAACAATCTTGGCTGCCGCCTTGGCGACATCAGACCAGAGCCCATGGCGATGCCAACATCTGCCCTGGACAGAGAAGGGGCATCACTAACGCCATCACCCATCATGGCCATGAAAGCGTCCCTTCGCCGCAGGGCCTCGATCATCCTGGTCTTCGTGTCAGGCGCACATCGTGCAATGACAAGGGGCAGCTCTGGCAAGGCGTCAATTTCGGCATCAGTCATCTTGTCAAAGTTTGTTGCCTTCTGCACAATCGATCGAGCGACAGTGTCCGGCAGAACACCGAGATTCTTAGGGATGATGCCGACCTCCTTGGCAATGGCCTTTGCGGTTTCCGGATGATCGCCTGTGAGCATGTGAATCTTGATGCCGGCATGGGAAGCCTCGGAGTTGGCGCCCTTTGTCTCACGACTTGGAGGATCATAGATGCCTGCGAGACCAAGCAGAGTGAAACCGGACTCGACGTCGGCGCGTACAGCTGCCTCTTCTTCTGGTGAAGCAGCTCGGTGTGGGCGATAGCGTCCACCGTATGAGCTGTAAGCAATCGCCAAGACATGCTGACCTTGCGAGGCGAGATGTTGCATCTGATGGAGAACTTGTTCCTTGATATCCTCGGTCACGATATCTTGCTCACCGCCAGTACCCATGTATCCGCAAAGATTGAGGACACGCTCTATAGCACCCTTGACAAAGATAATGCTCCTGTTATGCTCAATGATGGAACCAGTGGCCGAGTTAGGGGCATCGTATACGACGGACATGCGTTTGATGCTGCTGTCGAATGGGAATTCCGCTACCTATTCCCATCCTTTTGCTTTAAGACTTTTCTCACTAGAGCTGAATCGGTGAGCAAAGACTTGTAGTGCAATCCTAGTGGGCTCTCCTGTGGTTTGCCACCTCTCCTCGGCTTTATCGTAGCGAACAGTAGCTAAATTGCAGAGCGCTGAAGAAAGCTAAAAGGCGCGAAGCGCGTCAGTCATTTCGACCTCATACTGGACTTCAGGCTCCGTCACCTCTTCGGAGATGGCAGGGAGCTTTTCATCGGGTACGTCGAACTTGACAGCGGCAGCCGTGCGCTCACTCTCGTAGTCTCGCTCTGCCTCAGTCTTGGTGTCGGGGGCAACGCCAGCGTACGTGACTCTCCTTTGTTGCGGTTGTTCGAATTGTGTGAATCGCGGACGGTGTAAATATAATTACCGGGTACCCAAGCTTGACGGATAATTATGGCGCCTTCTGTCAGCGTGCCAGTTTTGTTAGAGCAGATATTGGTGACGCCACCTAGCGCCTCAAGAGCCGATAGATCTCGGACGACCATATTTCCCTTGCGCATCACTGTGACTGCGATAACCATGGTGATTGTCAAGACTGTAACTAGCGACTCGGGGATGATTGAGATGCCTAGCGAGGTAGCGTAGATGATGACCTGGTTGGTTATGTCGAACTTGTTGACTTTAAAGACGACCAGAGCCAGCCCGAGGGCACAGAAGAAGAGAATGTACGCCAGCTTGGAGAGCTTCCGCTGGAGAGGTGTGCCCACTGTGAGGCCGAGGAAGTTTCTAACTGCGTCGTAGATGCGCTTAGCACCTCCGACAACGGGGGCTCGCTTGCCATACTTGGTGACGTTCATCGACCGCCCTGGCTGACGCTGCTTCTTGGAAGTCGAGGTTCATGGTGTCGATGATGCGCATGTCGGCGGGGACCGTGTCACCTATTTTGAGAAGCACAACATCTCCAGGGACGATTTTAGGGCTTTGAGAAGTTAGCTGTGCGTGGTTCTATTTCAGTCGGTGAACTTAGTTGGGTATGACCTTGGTATTTCCGTCTCTGAGGACTATAGCGCTAGGAGAGGAGAGTGCACGAAGAGCGTCTATACGTTTCTCAGCTCTGAGCTCTTGCTAGAATCCTATTGTAATATTAAGGCAGATTACAGCAACTAGAACGCCGCCTTTAATATAGTCTTTGATACCGAATGTCAGGCCCATTGCGGAGACAAGAACGAGGGTCATTGTATTGAACAGCTGCTTGGGAAACAGCCTGTACCAAGGCACCGAGCCTCTGTCATCTAGCTCCTTTGATTAGAAGGATTAAAGGTTGGCTACCTGCCCTGTCGTCAAGCCTTTGTCGAGGGATGTTTGGAAGGCGACTTTAACCTCGGCGGCGCTAAGGAGAAAAGGATGTTTGTTGGGCATGGTGGATTCAGCTATTTTCGCTGATGTGAACGAATGTGTGTGGTGCAAAGCGAGTGTGTGCCGTTGTCCTGTTGGGAAATGACTCTATGTGGTTTGAAGAGATAATGAAGTGAGGGACCTAGGTTTGGACAATCTTAATGATGTGGTTGTTGTGGAAATAAAATCGCTATATCCTCGCTAGTGTTATTTTTTTGTGGCTCTATACTTAGTATAGCTAATACGTGGTACGCACGCTGCGTAGTACCCTAAATCGCTGATGCGGGGGCTAGCTTACTTCGTATTAACACTCAAGGATATTAATCCCCGAACCCGAAATTTTAAAATAATCGCCGAAGCTTAAATTCTCGCCGGTGTTGATACCTTTATACCTTTTCCGCAACTAAATTACCGATTCAAACGTATAGAGCCAAAGATATCTTAAATAATCACTGCCGACATAAATCGAGGTCTCACAGAGTGAAACCTTCGCATATCTAGCGCAATCTAAACCTGACCTTGGTTCACTGTTGCAGGCAGCAAGCTTCAGCGAGTCCTTCACCCCTTTTCACTTATTAAAAAGCACGGAGTACAAACCATGGCCGACAAGTTGGATCAACTGATTGAGCAATTGGAGCAGACTGCCACAACAATCCGCCATGATCACACATACTTTCAATCCCAGCCTGAAAAGCGGCATAAACTGCTCAAGGCAGCTGATGGGCTGATTAAGACCGCACAAGAACCTATGGAGGGCTACCTGGACTTTCTAACCTCCATGGCCAACGCTACCGTTGTTAACCTCTTTGTCAAGTGGAAGGTGTTTGAGATCATCGACGCTGCAGGCAGCATTACATACAATGACCTGGCAAAAAAGACTGGAGCTGATGTAGCACTAATAAGTATGTCGAGCACCTTCATTGTATTTTTAGAGACAGGGAGAACGGGAACCAGATGCTAACATGTTGTACTCACTTAAAGTTCGCTTCACTCGCTTGCTGGTCAGCACCGGAGTCTTGATCGCCTCGGGCCAAGACCAGTTGAGTCTTGCCCCGGCCTCCAAAGTTTTCATTCCACCGCATCCCGCAAGCTATCTGGTTCAATTCGCGTAAGTGCAAAAAGGGTCAAATCCGGGGGAAGTTGAAACACGAATGATGAGCGTCGGTGTTGCGAAGACAGATTGCTGACATAGTGTTTTCCGATCAGCTATGATTTCCACTGCGTTGCAGCTGTCACAATGCCGAAGTACTTTGAGACGCACGGCCGCAAGGAGCCTGTTGGTCGGCACAAGACAATCACGGCCTACGCCTATGGAAACCCAGATTGGACCGTTTGGCAGCACCTCAACAGTGACCCGGCAGCCATGTCGATCTTTATGGATTGCATGGTCGCGTTGACACACATGCATCCGATTGTCGGCTCCTATGACTTTAGCTGGGTTGTTGGCGAGGCGGCGAAGTCGACAGACCGCGCCCTCATCGTGGACATGGGTGGCGGTAAGGGCCATGCCGTCAAGGCTATTTCTCAGGCCACTCCAGGTCTAGTTCTGAGTCGCTGCTTCGTACAAGACTTGGAGGAGATTATCAAGGAGGCGAAGGCAACAGCGGATGAGGAGTTGAAGGATGTGCAGTTCGTCGTTGCGGACTTTCACGCTGAACAGCCGGTCCAAGGTACGTCTGGATTCCCCGAATATATTCAGCGCTTTTACTGACTTCCCTTTTTCTGGTCAGGCGCTTGTATTTATTATATTCGTCGCTGCCTCCATGACTACGGCGACGATGAAGTTGTTGAAATCCTGGAGGTAACCAGAGAGAAGATGGCCGCCGATAGCAGGCTGCTCATAGTTGAGCAAATCCTCGAATTCCCCCCTCTTCCATTCGCCGCTGCGGCCGATGTCTTGATCAGTACTATCGGTGGTAAAGAGCGCACTATAGACGAGTTTGAGAGTGTCGTTTCGCGTGCCGGCCTTAAGATCTCACAGGTGTGGAGAACACCGGACTCGGACGTGGGGATCATAGAGTGCCAAATCGCATAGGATACGGAAGCACTAGAGCCTTCCAAGGGTATATAGATAACATCATGTCTCACTGCCACGTTGCCTCTCCTATAATTTTTAGACCGCGGAGTCGTCCTCACAACGACATTCTGGAACACTCTTCTCCTGAAGCAATCTATCTTCCCGAAAAAGGTCCTAGAATCCTACGAAAACAGGAACCTTAAGCTTTTACGGAAATTCTGCTTCTGCGGTAGCTCAGCAACCCTGACTGCTTTATTCAATCATGTCACGAGAAGTACGCGAACATGTCCCCGAAAAAAATCTATAATTCTGGTTCTACTCTAGATACACTAGATCTTCTAACCCCACGCTGAGATACGACCGGGGAAGGAATGCCTGACATCAGTCACCACGGCTTCTTTTCCTGGAGCAAAAGATAAACCGTCTACGCTTGCCAGTCTTGAGTTAATTCTCTGCGTCTCAAACTTGGACAAGATCTCAGTCGGTGGTAGCCCTCGCATCAGCGCTTCGATAGCAAGAGGAAGGAAGGATGTGAGAGCGGCAAAGTCTGCAGGCAGGATGACGGCCCCGTCGTACTCCACATCAAGACGCAGCCCACCATCTTCCTGCTCCGTAAACTCCAGCTGAAGGGGGAACTTGGCGCCCTTGGCCCGAATCGGCGTACCAGACACATTAGTGCCCGGAAGCTCGAGTGAGTGCTCCAATGCATCGCTTTGCCAGTGGTAAATGACCATGACGTCGAAGACGGACGTGCGGCTACCCGCGGCATCTAAGATTTGGTAATATGCAAGCTGGTTTTCCAGCGCGAGATGGATTTCTGAGGCAGTGTAGTCCAGCCACTTGGTAGCACTAGACGTCTTATCCCCGTCCAGGGTCAATCTGATTGGTAGTCTGTCGAGGAATAACCCCATGAGGTCGGCGGCACCGGGTTCGTCGCGGTTCATGTACGGAAGTCCCAAGACCATGTCGTCCATACCATAGACTGCTTTCATGGCCAGGGCGGTGCTAGCCATCGCTATTCTCTGGGAGGCCTTTACGCCTCCACAGTGTGGTGTCAGGATAGCCCAGTGACTGCTCCGCTCAGAGCCGATGGAGTGCTTCGCCATAAGAGGTAGCCTAGACCACGGACCCTGCAGGCGATGCTTCCAAAACTGCTGCTTCTCGCGGTGCGTTGACGTGGAGGGTGATTGCTGGTCCTGTCGTAGCCATTGTGCCCATTCAATGTAGCTGCCGACTGGAGAAGAGCGGGTAGCGGAATGCCCACTTCCCGTACTCAGTGCTTCCATGTAGTTTCTGCTCACTGACTGAAGAAGGAGAGCCAGAGACGCCTTGTCCGTGATGATGTGATGCGTGATGAGCACCAGCGTGATGGAGCCAGCAGCTCTCTCCCAAATAATGACGCGGAACAGCTGATCTCGTGACAAGTCAAAGGGCCTGTCCACCAGATTTTGCAATTCGCCCCAGTTCAGTTCGTCCTTGGTGAACATGAGCGGTGGAACAACATGCTCGGCAACGCGACGCACAACCGAGTTTCCCTCCGAGACGTAGCGGGCTCGAAGGATTGAATTTTCAGCCACGACGGAGTTAAAAGACTGTTTTAGTACAGAGACGTCAACGGAGCCTTCCATCTCGAACTGAAAGGCAGTATTGAGGAGCGACTTGTGGTGTGATTGCACGTGCCAGGTATAGAATTCCTCTTCCATCTGCGAAAGAGGATGCGAGGCCGTCAGGTCCGTCGGAGAACTCGAGTTGGCAAGATAGGACATGAATGTGTTGCTTTGGTACCTTTTCTTCTCCTGCAAAGTATGATCATCAATCGCTTTGGAAAGACTGTAAAGTACCGTCTCTCGAATCAACAAGGGGACGGGTACTCTTTGGCCCACGTAGTCTGAAATCAGCCGCGCTGCTTTGATAGCTAGCAATGAATTACCGCCAATTCCGAGGAAGTCGTCCTCTCGTTTGATGTGGTAGTCGTCCTTGGTGTTCAAAACCTTGCGCCAGACTTGTGCGATCATTTTCTCGGTAGAAGACGATGGGAGATCTCCCTGGTCAGCGTACCGAGATGCCAGATTCTGTAGGGCATTGCGGTCAATTTTCAAATTTGCAGATTGTGGTAGCTCCTCCAAGGCTATGATCTGGGCAGGTCGAGTATATGCTGGCAGAAGATTTCTGAGCCGGAACGAGACCGTTGAAGTATCAACGCTGCTTGGGGTCACAAAGGCCGCAATTCGGACAGAGTCGACAACTATGGCAGCAGCGCGCTGGACGGTGGGATCAGCTCGCACGAGGGCGCGCTCCACCTCTTCAAGCTCTATGCGGAACCCCCGAACCTTGACTTGATTGTCGATTCGGCCAACATAAGCCAGGTCTCCGTTACTAGTCCACCGGCCGAGGTCTCCTGTTTTGTACATCGTGGTCCCGGGCAAGAAGGGGTTTGAGAGAAATGATTTCTGGGTCTGCTGAGGCGAATTCCAGTATCGTTGGATCATCTGCTCGCCTGACAGATATATTTCGCCAGTGACGCCTGGAGGCACCGGACACTGGTGGTGGTCTAGAAGATAGACGTTGAGGCTCGGCATAGCCTGACCTATGGTCACAGGCTCTTCAGGTTGAAGGTGAGCCATCATAGACAAAGGACCGCACTTGAAATATATATGTTAGTAGGCGAAAGCTGAAGTATAGCCGGATGATCTAGCTTACCTCACTAGGCCCATAGCCATTGTAAAGGCGCTTATGAGACCACGCGTCCGAAAGGCTCTGAGGCACTGGTTCTCCAGCCAGAACGACGGTGTCGAGATTCGGAAAGTCCTCCGGCACGAGAGCTGCCAGAAGAGAAGGGGTGCAAAAGGTTGCATGAACTTCTCTAATGTGACGAAACGGATCTGCTGGGTCTTTGAGAATCAAAGTGCCTCCGTAACAGAGCGTTCCAAATATTTCTACCGTCACCACATCAAATCCTACGGGGAGGAAAGGTCAAGTCAGATATTGGCAAGATTGGGGGGGGACTAAGAAGCACTGGGGAATCAGAACTCACCAACTGCGTACACCTGGCTGTTTCGGCGACCAGGCTTCGTAAACAATCGAGCGGGCTCGTGGTCAATGACAAGCAAAAGGCTGTGATTGTGCAGTGCAACTCCTATGTTTCGAAAGGTCAGTCACTCAGACGATAGCAATGATACTAAATTCCCAATATCTGTGACGAGTTTCGAACTTACCTTTAGGTACCCCGGTGCTGCCCGACGTGAAAACGAGGTAAATGACATCCTTGGTGCTTGAGGTCGTTTCGAGGCCCCCATACGGATATGAAGAAGTAGACAGCAGGTCATCGCACACCATGACCTCAACTTCACGATGGCGAGCAAATAAAGCGCAATAACTATTTGCCGCCAGCGAGACAGACGCGCCACTTTCTTCCATGATTGTGTCGATGCGCGCAGCAGGGAGATGTACGTCGATGGGACAACAGACACAGCCTGCTTTGAGAACGGCCAGAAGACAGACAATCCAGTGAATTGAACCGTCCGTTAGGACGGCGACGACGTTCTGGCTGCTGTTTGAGCCAGGACTGCTACCGATGATGGATCTGAGGTGATGAGCGATGCGGTTCGCAGCACTATCAAGTTCCTGGTAAGACATTGAACCATTGGCTGACTCCACGGCCATCAAGTCTGGCCATTGAGCGGCCGCTGCCTCGAACGCGTCTTTGACCGTGGCGAATTTTGGATAAGAGAGAGCATCACATCCTGTCGCTCGGACTAGACTTTTGTTCGCTTCTTCTTTGATCATGCTCTCACGAACCTGCTGGATGCAACTATTTCGCTCATTGAGAAGAGATTGCAGTGCGTCCCGGAACTGTGTCAAGAGGGCTTTTATACTACGTGTTGCGTAATGAGAGCCATCGAACAAGATGCGAACCCGGAGAGCGTTTTTGTCGTCTTCCTCTTCTTCAATGAGCACGGAAATGCCAAATTCCATGCAGTCTTTTCGTTCAATCTTCCACGGTTCAGACAGCACTTCGCAGGCCTCTGAAATCGGCGGTAAATCGTACTCTATGACGACGATGGACTGGAAGGTGTTGGCAATGCTTCCAGGTGGGAGCTGCGTCATCGCTTCATCCACAGACCATTGATGCTCCATGATGTTTAGAAGACGCGTCTGTGTCGTTGACAAGAGACCGCCGATAGTCGATCCTGACCCAAGATCGAGTGGGAATGGGCATGTGTTCAACATGGGGCCGACTACCTGTTCAACCCCTGGTAAGGCTATATTTCTTCCAGACAGCACCACGCCGAAGGAAACATCGTCGGTGAAAGTATGATGCGAGAGGACCAAAGCCCATGCCGCGTAGAATATTGAGGCTGGAGTCACCCCTCGGATCTTTGCCTTGGTGTCCAATGTCGTGCGATCTAAGTTTAGTCCGAGTTGCATGCTTTCACTCCAGACAGTCGCTTGCCTGCTGCAGGCAGCGGGAGGAGGCAAGAGAGTGAGTGGTGGCTGGTTCAGCCCACGCTCCAAAAGTTCACTCCAGAACCTCTTCCCCTGAAAATCATTCGCAAGAACCTTTTGGGCCAGTGCCGCATTCAAATACTGCGGCGGAGCAGGAAGCGGTCTTCTATCCAATGCCGACCGGAACTCGTTGAGAATGATGCTGAGGGACCAGCCATCTATCAGACTGTGATGAAGGAGCATCAACAGAGTCGATCGGCTTTGTGGAATGGTGATGAAGTGACACGCTGTGATAGGAGTATATATCTCGGATTGGTTGGGGACAGAAATGGCTTGACGCAGTGCCTCGGAACGGCAGTCCACGGCGCTCTGAAGTTGATCTTCAGTTGACACCTCATCGTTCCAGTTCAAGTTGAGTTCTTCCTGGATGTGCTGAAGTCCGTTCTTCAAATCGAAAGCTGTTCTAAACGCAGAATGCCTCTTCAAGACCAAAGACAGGGCGTTTCGAATCATCTCGGCGGGAACTGCGGTGTTGGGATGTGGAAAAGTGAAATTCATCAACATGTAGCTTGTCTCGGGTCTCTTCATCCCAGCTTGGATCATCTTCATCTGCGTTGTCGTTGCAGGGCCGGCGGCTGCCGGTCCCTGTGCGTCATTGCCCTGAAGCCCTGGGCTCTCTGAAGGATCTGCCGTGGCTTTTTCGACGCAGTCGCAGACGGAAGACAAGCTTGGCTGGGTGAATAGATCAATGATCCGGACCTCAAAGCCTCGTTTCCTTAGAAACGACTGCACTTGAAGAGCAACAAGGGAATTGCCACCAAGCTCTTGGAATGACTGATCAGAAGGTACCACCGACAGCGGTAGTGCCAGACTCGTAGACAGAGCTGCCTTGAGAACATCAAGCATGCTGGTCTCCTTGCCGTCAGTCATATCAGGCGAGTCCGCATCTACCATGGCAGCCAGTTCAGACTCCAAATTCCGCTGCAGCGCCCGATTATCGATCTTGCCATTCGGGGTCAGTGGGAGGGCCTCAATAGCTCGTATCAAGTCTGGCACTGCAAAGGCGTCATGCTTCGCTGCTAGACTTCGTCTGAGGGCTTTTGTGTCGACATTAGATGGGCTAACGAATCCAAGCAGTCGTCCCTGGTACATGAAGGCTGTGGCGGACGCGACATGCTCATCGTCGCTGAGAAGTGGAATCACCTGGGACTCGAGGTTGACCAGGAATCCCCGGTTCTTAACCAAGCTGTCTTTGCGGCCCACGAACTCGAAACCCAGAGGTGTGAGCCGGGCAAAGTCTCCTGTTCGATACATTCTCTCGCCCCGCCAGTACACGAATTTCTCAGCGGTCAGTGCCTCATTGCCAAAGTATCCCTTGGCAAGTCCGGGCCCGCTGATGTATATTTCGCCGTAGTCCGCTTCCTTGTCCCCATCGATAAGTAACACTCGACTGTTCACCATAGGGCGTCCGAGGTGGACCGGCTCGTTTGAGCGCAGCCGGCCCGCGAGCGAGGCGCAGGTAGTTTCTGTAGGCCCGTAGAAATTCCATATTTCGCAGTCCGGCAAGGCCTTCTGCCACTTTCGAACCAGGGATAAAGGAGGTGCCTCTCCACCAAGAACGATCATTCTGAGCTTCGAGCATGTCAATGGATCTTGAATAGTGCTCATCACTGAAGGTGTGCACATGACTATGTTGCACAGCGTCACACTATGCAGAAAGTCGGTAACTGTGGCCACTCTCAGCTCGGCTCCATTGCAGAGCGTAGCAAAAATAACTCCAGTGCATGCTACAAGAAGTCTTGGTGTCAGTACAATCGGTATACCACTCGAAGTGTTGAAGTACTAACCATCGAAGGCGGGTGAGAATATGAGAACGACTTGGTCTTCTGGGGTGGCGTTGAAGTTGAAGGGAGTTTCGCTTCCACCCTGTTGAGTGTAATTAAGCAAAGCACCATGCGATACCATGACACCCTTGGGGGTCGAGGTAGTCCCTGAGGTAAAGATAATGTAGGCAAGGTCGTCATCTGGTTGAATGTCGTCCCAAGGCCGGAATGATTTCTCGGGTGCCACGATCCCATCCTGCGTCAATGATGGTGAGAACGAGGCTTCGATGTCTCGATACGAAATCTCGTCGTGAAGCGGATATTCATTCGCGGTTGTGTTCAGAATAACACCGGCGGAAACCCTCTGCAGCGTCCATTTGATACGCTCTGGACTCCATGATTCCGTGTCAATAGGCACGTACAAGGCGCCCAGTTTCAAAACACCAAGAAAGCATGCCACCATTTCAGGGCATCTTCGTGCCAGAACAGGCACCGTGCTCCCACGCTTGACCCCGTGGTTTGAGAGAAGCCATGCAATGCGAGTGGCTGCGCCATCAAGTTGTGCATATGTTATCAACCTATCACCAAAAGACAAGGCTGTGTGATCAGGTTGAAGGGCGGCCCAGCGCTCTATAGCATGGCACACTGTGCTGGCGCTCGGTACAGTGTGCTGATTGCGGTATCCGTAAGTCATTTTGTGCGACGTAACGTTATGGAGGTGTTGAACTCGTTCCGGAAAAAAATGCTTATAGACGGAAACGAAAGCGCTAGTGAAAGAAACATTTAAAAAGATAAGAGCATGGCTAGGGAAGATCCACTATTACGTGGATGTATGTCAATCCTTTAGCTTGGCGTACAGGTCAGTGACGAAGCTGCATACGGCGTCTTGGAGTGAGGACTAAATCCCCCGAAGGTAAACCTCCTGTTTATCCTCCTAAAATAACGCAGCCAGAGGTCTATCGGAGTGTAAACGTAAGTGCATACATGCTCGGTATTAGAATGTGATTGATCTATCGTATCGAAAAAGAGTCTTCAGGACCGAGTGAAACATGTCATCACTAGTCATCGCTAACGTCAGAGTCAGCAGAGCACCTCGCTTTGCCTTCCGTACTAGAATATAAACTTTTCACCGAAGACTATAGAACCCTGGAAAGCTTGCAGAATATGTCTCTATCACACTGTCCTATAGCTCAACAGAGAGCAAACTACTATGTTAAAAATCGGCCGAAAAAACAACCGTCCGTGAGAGATCTCCCGTGACGTATCCCTGAATTAATAGAGATAGTCTAGCAAAAATAACAAGGGTATGTTCTGCCGTGCCCTAATAATCGCCGAAATACTCGACTGAAAACGAACTAGGCCCTCGCTATAGTAACGCCGATTGTATGTGAACTTCCCCTGCGTCCTACTGCGTGAAACTTCGCACAACACTCTCCCCTTTGTAACTTAGTAGTACCGGCGTATAAAACTAATAGGCCTCAAATACGGCGCGCTAACGAGTACGACCCGGGTGTGCGAATGAAATATATTATATTAGCTACGCCCTATAAAATAGTCTCATGAGCTAATTTATTCTATATTTAATAGGTACACGGATATGTCTAAGAAGAGAATCTTATATACATAGCGATAAAGCTACTTGAATATAAAACTATTAATTAAATCATTTGTTTAATATTGTTATAAATACTCTAATAATATTAACCGAGTGAATCTTTATCAAGTTTAAGCTTTTAGTCTACAAAGTTCTATAGTTATATCTCCGACAGGGACCCAAAAACTCTCATCTCGAAGATATTCATCCACGCCCTTCGTGCTGCGGCCCTCTGTAACACACACATCGTACTGCGAGAAAAGATGTGCTACGATAGACTTGACCATGTGGGCGGCAAGATGCTGACCCAAGCACTTGCGGTGTCCAAACCCAAATGAGAACAAATTATACCGTAACTAATTAATAGAAACATAGAAATAAGCACAATCCTGCGATATCTTTAGGGGATTCTGCCACTCACCTCAGTCTGCTTGACAGTCTTAAAACGATCTGGGTTATACGTGTTCCTGTCTGAGCCCCAGAATGGGTTCCGAACATTGATAGCAAGTGTGTCAACTAAGACCATGGTCTTATGGCACTGTTAGTGGAACCTTTGTGCGAATGGTGAAAGAGTGATTACCTTGGGCTTGACAAGGATCCCACGGAAGTTTTTGACGCTCTGAGCACTCTCGCCGATACTAAAGACTAGAATAGGCAGCAATAGCAGTTAAAATCAATGTCGGGGACCAGGGTTTCTCTTCAGCATGGGGCTTGCTTACTTGTCAATGGCCGCAGACGGAGAGACTCGTAGAAGCATCGGTGGAGGTGGGTGTTCGTTTTGGCGATGTATTCCTCCATATTGTCCTTATTCGCCTCGACTTCTTCTCGCAGCGCCTGCTTCACTTCCAGGTGCTCCGCCACCAGGGTGACAAACCATGTGATAACATGAGTAGTCACATCGAGGTTGGCAAAAAGCATCTCATCGATGGTGTGCAGAATCTCATTATCATGTTAGTGCGTAACATTGCAAGGGAAGGGTATAGGCCCGCGATTCATGGCTTACCTCATCCTGTGAAGCGCTCCCTTGCTGAAGTTCGTCATAATAGGACGAAATTGGAGTGATAACACCCTGTTCTTTCCGTGTGCTAGCCATCTCTTTATTGAAAGAGCTCCAATCATTTGTAAAAGCTCGAAGCTGACGATAGGCTGCACCATTCCACCACTTGAACCACGGGGTCCGGTAGATTGCGCCCTTAAAGAGGTAGGGCGTTAGAGCAAGACGCTTTTCCGCAAGCTCCCAAAGCCGGTGTTTCTCGCTGTCGCTTAGTCGTCCGTATATGACCTCGGAGGCGAAGAAAAAAGGAAATTTCATGAACGAGGTCGCAGCATGTATTGAAAATCGGGTTTGGTCCAGCTTCTCTCGGCCCGTGATGGCGGTCTGACCCAGAGTGTCGACGAATCTCTTTGCCTCGGCGTTCGTGAGGGGTGCACGGCTTACAACGGCGCTATGTCTGAACGGCGGGTCGACGATGCGACGCAGGTTCTTCCAGTCGTTATCTGAAATCAAGCCAACACCTCTGCCCAGAAGCTGGCCAAAGAACCATCCCCAGTGCACGTTCAGGGGCTTGCCATGTTCAGCGGAGTCGGTGTGGAACGTACGAATATCTTCGGGAGTCGTCAAAACGCTATAGTAAAGTATTTAATTAGCCATAGCGGTTGCAAAGGGATGTGGAATGCATCAGAAAGACATTTGCATGTCGAGCGTACATTTCAGGCTGTGCACCAGCCCAGATTCTGTACACTGGTCCATAACGGCACCATTCTTCTGAACTGGCGCGGCCGTTCATGAATTTATCTTTAAACTGTCCGATGGACCACTTCCATCTCGGCCCTGGTACGGCGGCGCCTTTCCATAGAACTCCGCCGTTGACGGTGTTCAGAATTCTCTAAAAAGAGATAAACAATTTTTGTGGTTAGCAACGATGCAAGAGGCTGTGACAGTGAATGGCAACGAACATCAATGATCCATGGCACGAGAGTCGGGGAGGTGAGGCAGACGGTGGCGCCAGAAATGCTCAAAAGAATGCCAAACAACATGGAGGCGGATATTTGGTCAAAGATTTGGGAAATCATGGTAAAAATCTGATGGGGTTAACAGCTAAATGACACGCCTTCGGCAGCACTATGAGATCGAGTTACTCTAGAAAATAAGAATTAAGTTATTCAATCAATGTTTAATTAAAGCTAATACGGCAAATAGGTTTAGGGGCCCATGTGCGAAATGAATGTTCCGTGACGACAAGGATTATACGTCATTGCCTGATCGGTGAATAATTGTTTATCGGCGTATATCCATTCCCCGTCTGTGCGAAAATTATGAATTCGGTCACAAATGACCGATTTCTGTCAATTTATTGAGTATCCTTTGCGCAATCGTATCACAATTCTATGCAGAGGACATGTTAAACATTGTACATTTTGCGCTTGGAAATTCGACAAATACAAAATGCCTTTTGCAGTCAATTCCTTTCCTTACACAAAGACCATTAACGGTCATGAGATCGCATTCACAGATCACGGTTCCTGTCACGATGATCCCGCCATCATCACCTTTTCGGGTTGGAACTCTGATCATCGGCAGTACTCGTACGTCACATCTATGCTGATGGAACACCATCGCGTCATCAGTATTTGCTTCCGCGGACACGGCCCGAACCGAGATAGCGTCGAAGACTTCGGCTTTGAGGACCATGCGTGCGATGTTATCAGCCTGCTCGACTCCTTGGGTGTGACAACCTTCATTTGTCTAGCCGCCTCCCACGGCAACTGGGCAGCCATGTGCCTCGCCGACATGGTGGGCCGTAAGCGCATGCTAGCACTCCTCATACTCGACCACCCTTGCGCAAAGCCAAGTCCTCTGTTTTGGGACCGACTACAGGCTCTCCAGGGAGAAAACACCTGGCGCGCAACGACCGTTTCTTTTTTCCAGTCGTGGCTAGGCGATACGCAGAGCGTCAACGTTCGTGAACAAGTCCTTACGAATCTCGGCGGCTTCGGGTACGAGACGTGGGCGAGATCCGGCAGGACCGTGACAGATGCCTATCGAACTTGGGGCACGCCTCTGAATAGGTTGCGCCATATCAAGGAACCCCCTTTGGTACATCATGTCTACAGCCAGCCAAATACCGAAGAGTATAACACTTTGCACGAGGAGTTTAAAAAAGAGAACCCTGAATGGTTCACATATCTTAATGCCGGCGGCCAGACACACTTTCCTCATATGGAAAACCCTAGCCTAGTTTATGAGGAGACAATAGCTTTACTAGGTAAAGCTTTGAATCAACGGTGGGAAAGGAACTAGGAATAGGGCTATATAGAATTATTCAATAATCTAGTAAGGCTTATTAAGACTAAAATAAGAAGAGAATCAAGCTAAGTAACTCGGAATAAGGTTTTCTTTTTTATTTGAACTTATTAATCTATTTATAGTAATAATCTATTTAGACTATATCTTGTTAGGGGTATTTTAGTCTTAACGCTAGTCTCTATAAATCTTAATTTCAAGAGGTTTTATTATAAATAATAAAAGGAAAACTAACAAAGTGATATACTAAAAGGCAGATCAACAAGTAGAAAAGGGATAATTAATTCAAATGTCCTTAGGCAGCTAGTCGGTTAGCTTAAATAAGCATAGCGCGGCTGCTCCTTAGGTCGTGTGCGTGTTACCTTTCTACTAGTTGCTAGCGGCTAGGTACAAGACCCAGCTTAGTTCACCTAGGCACGTGACGCGTGCCCGCGAGGACGCATAGACCTCGTAAGGTCTTTATAGGAAAGGGGGACTATAAATTCCCTTTTCTTTCTCTTTTCTTACCTTATCGTTATATAGACTTGATCTAAGTTATTAAGTTATTTTAATAAGGCTTAGCCTATAATATATCTAACGATCTATCTAAAGATATAACGTATTTATATAGCACGAGCTACGATATCTGTCACAGCTAGTCAAGAGCGGGGACCCACCCTGCACCTAGTAGTCACGTGAACTCGCGCCTGCCTTTGTATTTTATCGCGATCCCGACTGTCTTCTGTTGTAGCTCTTCGAGCTATATCTTATATATAGAGTCTGCCTTACCTAAGGAGTGCCTATTTATAGCAATAGACTAGATCAGCCTAACCGAGTATTCCCTGTCCTACCTACCGACCGACTGTTACGACCTGGTCCCTCGTAACTCCCTATAAGCAGCTATTACGCCTGTATTGATCGCTCGTCATTCGATCAATGCCTGATCTTTTGCCCATGGCGCAACGGCTTAGGCGCAGCCGTTACACCGACCCCCCCTAATATTATATAGCTCCTACCTATAGGACGCTAAATACGATAACCTCCCGCCCGACGCCTCTAGAGTTACCTTAGGATACGCGCGTTTTCGTAAATACTATAGCTAGTAACCTTTTTAAATAGTTTTACTTCTATTAATAAATATACGCTTATATAGAATCCTAAGATACTTAGATTACGAACCTTACTAATTATATAGTTATACTAGACGAGAAAATAGCTACCCTCGAAACTAAGATTATTAAGGAGAGCGCGGCTAACCGGAACCTTCTTACTTAAATAAAGGATAAGGATATATAGATTATCGAGGTAACCGTGACCGCCCGACTCGCCTAGTAAGCTAGCTTACCGACTATACGAGTAATTACTATAGAGGCTTTAGGAACCCCCCTTATTAAAGAGGTTATAGCTCCTTACTTAGGAACGACTCCGCCGCTTACTACTAGATCTACTACCTCCTGACTATCTAAGAAGCTTCCCGACCTTAATAAGTTTAAAGGATCCCGCCCCGATCTCTATTATTTCTTATACTAAATCTACGTAAAAATAATAGCTAACGCCGACTGATTCCCTACCGCTATAAGCTAGTTAATATATATAGCCGGTAGGCTTACCGGGAAGGTATATGCCTTAATACTCCCCTATACTATCTTTAGAATCCTATAGTTTAGCGACTACCCCGAACTCCTAACTTATCTTAAAAACGCGTTCGGCGACCCTAACCGCGTTTAGAACGCCTAGAACCGCCTATACTAGCTCCGCTAGAGGTACTAAGACTTTAGTATATATTTCTTAAAGTTCTAACGCCTCGCCTTAGAGGGAGAAATAGCTAATAGTAATCTAACGCTATTATTATTCTAAGGAATATCCTATAAACTATAGGATATATTACTTTATAACCCGCCCCCTAGCTAGGAGTTCTACTAATACGCTAACTACCTATAGACTCTAGATAACCGATACCGCTAATATTAATAATAAATCTAGCGTAGCTAACCCCCGAGACTGGCTTTATACTAAAACCAGAGATAAACCTCCCCGCGTAAGGGACGTAGCCCTCCGAACTATAGCCCTTTATGCCACACGGTACCCGCTACTATAACCGCTAACGACCCTATAGACCTAAGTAACTAACGCCGACTATAGGGCCCGAACTAGAGGGAAAATAACCTCTACTTCCGCTATAGCTCCGATAGTTATTATATTCGAGATTACTAGAAGCTAGATACTAGACGTACTTAAGCCCGATTTACCGCTTTAAATAACGAAGACCTATCCCTTACTAGATCCCCTAACTCTCCCGCGCCGGATAGTCGGAGGTTAATACCCTCCTTAGACCGTATAGAAAATAAAGTAAGCTTACCCTAAGTTACCGGTAGGTATTAATAGAATATATAACTACTATCCCCGAGAAAACCACTTAAAGAATACTTTAAATCTCCTCGGCCGCTATATATAGCGTACTAATTAAGGAGGAATATAACTAACGATCGAACCTAATAATTCTACTTATTAAATTACTTTTACCCGATAATATTACTCTACCCGCCCTTATAATACTTAATAGTAAAGCTAAGGGGAAGGCCTTTATCGATAGAAGCTAGGCCGAGAACTATAACCTAAGAATATACTAACTAATATACCCGATTACGATCGAGGTATTCGATAGCCGCTTTATAGAGAGCGGCTAGATTATATATTATATCCGTAGCTAGATATAGATAAACGACTATAAATAAAAAAATATAATATTATATATAACCTAACTTAGAAACTACCCGATCGTGCTTAAGATACCTTAGTTAAAATAACACGACCCTCTCGTTAGTTTTAGAAGCTATATACTATACTTTAATAGCCTATATTATTAATAGTATTATAATATACCCGGACTTTCGTTAAAAGTTATAGCTATATATATTATTCCTATAAAAATCCGCTAGTATCTAAAGCCCGCCCCCGGACCACTAAGCTAACGCGATATCTTTCTAGTATCGTTAAGAGCTATATCTATATATACCCGAAGGAGTGATATAAGGCTATTCGCTATTACTATAGCCTAGATCGAAGAGATAATTATAGAACCTACTAAATAAGAACCTGCCTTACCCTTAGAGATCGCTAAGTTCGCTAACGTATTCTCGCTTAAAGAAGCTAATAAACTACCGCCGTACTAACTTAGAGACTATTATATCTAGTTAAAAAAAAGAAGTATACTATTATTTAGACCCTTATATAAGATATCTCGAGAGGAACTAAAGACCCTAAAGGAGTGGTTAAAGGAGAACTTATAAAAAAGATTTATTTAACTATGCTCCTCCTTTATAGCGTCCCTTATATTATTCGTTAAGAAGAACGATAGCGGATTATACTTCTATATTAATTACCGCGCTCTAAATAATATTATTATTAAAGACCGATACCCGTTATTATTAATTAAGGAATCTATAAATAACCTAGCTAATATATAATATTTCTCGAAGGTCGATATTATCTTTATATTTAATAATATCTAAATACGCGTAAGGGAAGAGTACTTAACCGCCTTCTATACTCGATTTAGACTATATAAGTCGCTTATTATACTATTTAGAATAACTAGAGCCCCTATAACCTTCTAGAGGTATATTAATAATATACTAAGAAAATACCTTAATATTTTCTATACCGCTTACTTAGATAATATCCTAATCTATAGCCGAACGAGGTCCGAATATAAAGAATACTTACGAATAGTCCTAAAAGCCCTAAAGAACGCTAGGCTATATACTAAGATATTAAAATACGAATTCTTTGTAACTAAGATAAAATTCCTAGGCTTAATTATCGGCCGAGAGGGAATCCGAATAAACCCTAAGAAAGTCCGGACCGTAAGAGACTAAAAGACGCTAACTTACGTTACCGATATATAAGCCTTTCTAAGTTTTAGTAATTTCTACCGGAGATTTATCCGGGACTACTTAAAGATTACTATACCCTTAAACCGCTTAATTAAAAAAGGAGTCCTATTTTATTAGACTACTAACTACTATAACGCCTTCGAAGGCCTAAAAACCGCTTTTAGCACCGCCCCGATACTAGCCCCGTTTAATTAAGAAAAGAATATTATCTTAGAGATAGACGCCTCTAACTATATCTCCGCTAGGGTATTATCTTAGGTAAGGGATAATAAGATATTACGACCTATTACTTTCTTCTTAAAGAAGTATACTATTATTAAGTATAACTACGAGATCTACGATAAAGAACTAATAGCTATAATTCACTAATTCGAGGAATAGCGCCCGGAGTTAGAGGGAGCTTCTTTACCGATTAAAGTAATCACTAACTACTATAACCTAGAGTATTTTACTATAATAAAGCTACTAAACCGAAGATAAGCCCGTTAGTCTGAGTTCCTATTACGATTTAAC